GGGGGGCGGGGGGGAGGAATGGACGGAAGTTGCCTGGAGATCCATCTTCTTCTCCATCTGCATGGAACGACTTGCAATCTCCTTCGCCCTGCAATGGCACGGGGGACGTCAAGGCGGCGGTGGCGGCGAAGCTCCGGCCGTCACCTCTGCGCGAAGGCGAGCAGGTTGTAGTATCTCTTGTCCTTCTCCTCCAGGTCCTCCCCCGAGGCCTCCACGAACTCCTGCAGCACCGTCGTCATCCCATGGCTCCATGGGGCAGCGGCCGTCGCGCCATCAAACCTCAAAGTATGTGAAGAGATCTTCATCGTTCTGTTCCACCAGCAGCTTGAGGGTGTTGGCCTGGTCATCGCGTGAGGGAGGCAGGAGCAGGGACAGGAGCAGCAGGGACAGGAGCAGCAGGGACAGGAGCTGCAGGAACAGGAGCAGCAGGGACAGGAAGGGGAGGGGTCACCGCTTTCGGATCCAGCATCTTGGCCTCATCATCGAGATTCGCCAGTTGGTCTAGCAAGGTCGCAGGTCGTCAGAGGGCAGGAGGGACGAGGTAGGCGGGGACTGACCGATCATGACGAAGATGTTATAAGAGTAGATGATGTTGTTCTTCTTGACTTTCGTCTTCTTGCCCGAAAGCCTGCAAACCCAAACTCATCACCCCCCGCTCCCTTGCTCCCTTGCTCCCGCCGTCCCCTCCTCTCAGCTCCTCCTACTCCTCTCCACTCACGCTGCTTCGAAGTAGCTTGGCGGTAGCCCCAGGCTTGCATGCAGCTTGCCGGCGATCGCTTTCTGTCGCTTCGGAAGTTTGTTCCCTCCTCGAGACATCAGCAGGGCGAGGGCCTACAAATCCATCAGATCATCTTTTCTACCTTCCCTTCCTTTCCTTTCCCTACTCTTTCTGCACTTCCCCTCCTTCCCTTCAATTTCTCCTCTCCTCCTGCTACTTCGTTTTTCTCCTGTTTCCCTCCAACCCCTTCCTCCCAATTCTCTTCTCCCTCCTCCATTCTCTTCTCCCTCCTCCTTCTTTCCCTCCCCCATCTCGCGCCACTCGAAGTTTTCTCGCCACCCACTATCTCCACCCTCCCTCACCTTCTGTCTGAGCAGATGGTCGACAATCGTGACTGGCCGGCACTTCTCTCTCACGGAGAACAAGATCGCGGCTGTCTCCTTGATCTCGAGCACTTTCTTGTCTTTGATGTACCTCATTGCAATATCAAACTTCTTCTTGTCGTCCATGCTGAAACCGAGCGAGCAATCCTCGCTCTCGAGGCTCATCAGCAGGGTGATGAACTTGTCTTTCTGCGCGTCTGGGACCTTGAGGTAGCCCGTCGTCTTGTCCATCAGGCTGATCCAGCACTTCCTGTACTTGAGCAGTTCTTCCTTGGAGATCAACGAGTACTTGTCGAGGTTGGCCTCGTAGTAGGAGTTGATCACGGAGGCAACGAAGGACGGAAGGATGATGTAGTTGCAGATAAAGCAGAAGATGAAGAAGAAGATGGTGGCTATCGTTCTGCTCCCGCAGTCCGCTATAGCAATCTGCGCCCCTCCTGCTCCTGAGTACCATCCCATGGGACTGTCTACATCTCCGTTAGGCAGCCAGGAGAAGGGTGTGCAGTAGGGAGCTGCTATGCTCGCGTCCACCACGATGTCTCCCCATGTAGTCTTGGGGTCTGGGCCGCCAGCGCCAGAGGAGAAAGTGAAGAGGAGGACCATGGTGGAGACGAGGTTGTCAGTCCCCGACCATGGCCGGTTGGCGATGCCGTAGCGAAGGCCGGGGAAGAGCGTCGTACCGATGGCGCCGAAGATGAAGATGAGCATGGCGAGGAGGAGGACGACGGCGAAGAACTGCGGGAAGCTCGCGGCGATGGACTGGAGCATCGTGACGAAGACCTGGGACCTGTTGCCGATGCGGATCAGACGGAACTGCCTGAGGGAGCCGAGGCCGAGCTCGAGCCCGTAGCGAGGGAGGACGATGAGCTCGAGCACTCCCACGAGAGTGATGAGGAAGTCGAAGCAGGTGGAAGGGTTCCTGAAGTAGCCGATGGGCCCTATGGCGATGATCTTGACAAAGGCCTCGAGGATGAAGAGGATGAGGCAGGCCAGGTTGATGTACCATGTGATCTCCGTGTGCTGCCGCGAGGCCCCGAAGTGAGTCGTGGCGATGGTCGCGCAGCTGAGGAGGACGATGAGGTCCATGAAGAGGATGAACTTCCAATGGGTGATGAGGAGGAGGCACTTGTACTGGATCGTCTTGAGCACCAGCAGGAACTTGTTCTCCTCCTCCGGCTCCTTCACGTCCGAGGTGTCGCCGAAGACGGAAGGGATCGACCTGATGGCCTTCTTGGTCGCCGGCCATGACAGCTGGTCGGCTGTGTAGAAGGCGATGCCGCTCTTGATGCGAAGGTAGGACAGGATGACTCCGATCACGACCTGCCCGATGAAGATACCCAGCAGGATCTGGAAGATGATCACGTAGAGGACGCTAGGAACGCTATGAAGCTCCACAGGCGCCTGATCCCTGTTAGTCATGCTAGCAAGGATCTGAACAGTCGGGCCGATGTTGGAGCGGAGGAGGAGGTTGAAGAGTGTGTAGTAGGAGTCCCCGATGTCCTGGAAAGTGAACTGGTTGCGGATGAGGGAGTTAGTCGACCAGGTACGAGGAGCAGGGAAGGAGAACAAGGAGGACGTGATGCCGTCGTGCCACTCGTTGTTGTCCGCGTAGGCCGTAGGGGCCCGCAGGCTCATGCCAACGCACTGGGTCTTGTTGCGAAGAGCGCCGAACTGAGGGATGTCGAACGCCGGGCCCCCTCCCGTCTCATCGCAGGCGTAGAACAAGCCGGCGAACTGATCCATGGCGATGATGGCGAAGATGAGCATGAAGAGAGCGAGTGCGACGACGAGGGTCAGGATTGCCGGCATGCTCGCGCCGAGCGCCTGAATGATCGTGTCCACCCCCACCACGATGCTGTCGATCTGCGTGCCGGTGGCCGGGAGCTTGCGGATGACGGCGATGAGGCGGGCAAGTCGGAGGGCGCGGAAGCCCTTGAGGATCGCGCTCTTGGGATCTCCTTCCTTGAAGACAAAGTGAAAGGAGTTCTCAACGACGTCCAGGATTTGAAGGACAACGAGGAGAAAGTCGAGCCTGCACCAGCCGTCCTTGAAGTATCCGTTCATGCCCAGCGCTATCATCTTCACTGCCATCTCGAAGACAAAGAAGGCCAGGAACAAGAGGCTGAGTAGATACTCCGTGTCCTGTTGCAAGGGAAGCATTCAGTCAGGACGTTGTTTCATCACCAAGGTTTACAGCTGGATCATCAACAACTATGTGAACACATCGTAGTGATACGCCATCATCACATCTACATTCTCATGTCCTTGTGTAATCTTGTCTAGCCCCATCATCATCATCACCATCACCATCATCACCACCAGTATCAAAGTGAATATCAGCATCAGTATCAACATACACAACTCACCGTGTTGCCTTGCCATGACATCATTGCAGTCACCACACTCGCGATGATGACAATGAAGGTAATCATAATAAAGTACGGAGAGAAAGCAAGCTTGTGCACGTAGCTAATCGCGATCTCCAGCAAGCTCGGAGCCTCGTCGATGTCGATTCCCCCATCCAACTTGCCGTACTTGTTGATCGACAGTCGGGTTACTATCATACTCTGAGTGTAGTACACGATGTTAGGATCCTCCTCCTCGTCCTCCGAGTCCTCCTCGATCCCATCGACTCGCCGGATGCCATCCAAGAGCTCGCCTCCGTCCACGACATCTTCCTTCTTCTTGCTCGAGAAGAAGAGGGAGAAAAAGCTTTTCTTCTCTCTCTCCGAGCTGAGGTAGTCCATCGACTCTCCTTCCTTGGCGGCTTCGATCTCTCGCAACGAGATCTGGGCACCGCGAAGCAGCCGCTCGTAGAAGTGGTTGAAGGAGAATCTCTCGTAGTTCCCCTCCATGAACTCTTTCTCCTCCGCGTTCCTCACCCTCTTCTTGGAGATGTCATGAAACTTGTGGTCCAAGAGGATCTGCTGCGCTATGAACTTCTCCTCCTCCTTCAGCTCGTAGTTGTTGGTGATGATGCACACAAAGATTCTCAAGAACTGATAGTTGGCGATGTAGAAGAAGATGATGAAGAAGACCAAACCACCATACCCGAGGCTCTGCACGCCTGCGACTGTGTTGTCGTACCTGCGATAAGGATGATGGTGAGGTTGCTAACAGAGCCATTGTGGTGGGAGGGAGCAAAAGAGCGACTAAGCGAATGATAGGGGAAGAGAACAGGAGGGAAATGGTGGGAAGGAACGAGAGAGAGAAGGAGAGGGAGAGGAAGCACAACGAAAAGCTGGGAGAGAGGAAGCGGAAAGAGCAGAGGGATCGTAAAAGGACCACGAGAAGAAGCGGAGACAAACCCACTGATGGGAATGGCAGAAAAGGAGGTGGGGGCGAGACGGTTGTAAGATCAGAAGCCGAGGAGCAAGGAGAAGGGACAGCAGAGCGTTGAGAGCAGAGCGTGATGGAAAGAGAAAGAGGGGGCGCAAACTAGAGAGAGCCCTCACCAATTCGACCCGATCACGATCTCTGACAGGAGGAGGAGGCCGTTGACGTTGGTGTCGAAGGAGAAGGTGCTGGAGAAGTGAGTGCTCGCCTGGTTGGACCTGCAGACTCCTCCCTTGGACCTGTCGAACTTGCAGGCGGACGACGCGTTCGCCCACTTGCAGATGTTCAGGTTGCAGTCCCCCTCAGTCTTGTACGTCGAGCATCCCTTGTAGGGTGCCCCCGAGCACTGGTCGACGCAAGTTCTAGTCGCGTCCTTGTACTCGCAGGCAAGGCACTGGTTGCAGCCCTCGTCCGGCCCGTAGTAGAGGAAGATCTCCCTCCCCAGCAACATGAAGAACCAGACCAGGATGAAAAGCTGGATGCCGGCGACCACGATCTTCATGCTCCCGCGGAAGCCACGGAGGATGATGGCGACGATGGGGATGGACTGGACGGCGAAGATCAAGTGGTAGAAGAACTTGATGACGATGGCGAGCCTGACGAACTTGAGGACCCGCGGGCCTGTGGGTGAGAAAAGTTTGAAGCCCGCGGGGTCCCCCGTACGCCAGAAGAGCGAAATGTTGGCGTCGAAGATCTGACAGCAGGCGTCAGGAAGTGCGAGGGACTTGAAGGGGTGAAGACGACAATGCAAACTTCTGAAGCAGGCAAAGAGCAGGCAGAAAGAGAGGGGCAGGGGCAGGGGCAGGGGCAGGGGCAGGGACAGGGGCAGGGGCAGGGACAGGGGCAGGGGCAGGGGCAGAAGGGCTGGAGCAGGACGATAGTTCCAAGAGCAGGAATGGTTGCACGAAGGATAGAGCAGGAGCAAGAGCAGAAAAAAGCCGCACTTGTGTTTTTGTGTTGAGTTCTGTCAACAAGATGCCGATGACGGTAACAAGATTGCAAACCGCATCCAAGATGTTGGTCACGTTGGGATATGTCTGCAATAATCATCATCTCCATCGATTTCATCATCTCAATCACCACCGACACTGATCATCATGATCATCATTACCAACAAGAACACGACCATCACCATCACCATCACCATCACCATCACCATCACCATCACCATCATTTCTCATCTCAATCCATGTTATCATCAATCCTCCCTCCACGAACCTTGTCGACCATCTTCTTCGATCCTTTCTTCTCCGGAACTTTTCTCTTCACCGTAAGGAAATTCATCGGCCCCTGCCAACGACTGTCATCCTCCCAACCACCTGATGCTTCACGTGCCTGGTGCCCGACATAGGTCACGATGGTCTCAAACAGGAAGAAGCCGGCCCATCCCAGCATCACGTAGTGCAACATGGTGCTGTAGTTGCACCACGATGTCCTCCGACTTGTCCAGTCAGCAGCAGCAGCTGTCATGCTCGGGATAGTCTGGCCACGAGATTGAGCAAGAAGAGACGAGGTGGATGGGAAGGAGACTGTACGGAAGGAAGGCAGGAAGGAAGGAAGGCAGGAAGGCATCAAGGCAGGCAGGCAGGGAGAGAGACAGAAGCGGGGAGGGAGGAGGGAGGAGGGAGGAATGAACGAGAACAATGAAGAAAGCAGGAAAGAGAGAGGACAGGAAGAAGCGACAAGTAGGGAGGGGATAGAATGGTGAAGCCGAGAAGGAGCAAGTGGAGGAGGAAGAAGTAGAGTTGCCTGCAGCCGAGGGTTGTCCCATGGATTTACACAAGCTTCTCCTGACCACTCTGTCGTGCAGTATCCGCCATGGCAAGTGAAGCCGGCCTTGCACTCTAGATCCTTCGGGCCCTGCAGCCAACAATCTCATCGTTACAACAGGCGTCCCAACGGAAGTCCAGCACCTTAGGGCCGATGGCGCATCGATCGGCAAGTGACAAGTCGTCAATCTGCTTGCACCCGCACTTGTACCTGCCGGTTGAGGTGAGTGCGAGCTGGGGGAGAGAAGAGGGGAGGGCTACTGGTTGATCGTGTCGTTCTGGGCCGCGAGGGTGCAGAGGTAGGCGAACATGAGGATGTAGCAGATCTTGATGAAGGGAGTCTGCAGGCCTTCGGCCTCGGGGATGACGAGGTAGATGGAGAACTTGTTGAAGCTCGCGCAGCAAGTCCTGAAGCAGCTCCAGACAGCGAGCTTGGCCGAGTACACTGGGCCCTTGATCTTCCCAAGGATTTTGATCTTCCCAGCTATGAAATTCCCGGCAGCATCAAGCCCTGCCCCTATCGGTCCCTCAAGGTAGTAGATGGGAAACGAGGCATAGCCGCAGCATGGATACTCGTCGCCGCTGTAGGCGGCGAGGAGATCCTGCCGAGGTCCCGATAAGTTAGTCAAATCCTGCTCGTCATCATCATCATCCTCCTCCTCCTCCTCCCCGTCATCGTCGTCTGCTCCTCCCTGCCGAAGAGCATCAAGTCAAAATAGAAGCCAAGAGGACAAGACTAGAAGACCTCTTGCGGTTCTGAGGACTTGGATGCTTCAAGGAAGGCATTCTCCTTGGTCATCTCATCGGAGAAGTTAAGGTTCATGATCGCGATGGTAAGGTTGAGCAGGTAGTATGAGATGAGAATGATGAGCCCGATGAAGGCGATCACGATGAATCCACTCGTGCTTTGACTGGAGTAGTCCGAGAACTGAACCCAGGCGGTCTTGTAAAAGGTCGCGAACATCGGGATGGACGCAGCTTTCAAACTGTCCCAGTTCAGATCTGTCACTGCCGGCCACTGGGTGTAGTTGACAGGAACGTATTCAGTGAAGGGAGGAAACCCCTCAAACCTTGCAAACGTTTCCTGGTCAAGCTTTCCCAGCTGCAGGTCCGGGCCCAGACATCGCACAGTTGACTTGGTCGCCTCCAGCACTGATCCAACAGACTCAGTGTTGGTAGCAGGCGAGTTGAGCTTCATGGGGCTGCCGACGAGGGTCGGAGGACAGGTTCCCTGCGGGTTGGCGATGGGATCCTTGTCCTGGCGGCAGATGTACGCGGGGACGATGGCCTGCCATGACTCCAATAGACACTTCCCTGTCGCGTCCACTTGCTGGCAGAAAGAGATGCCGCACCGGTTGTGAAAGTCTCCGGTGTTGCCGATGAGGGATACTGCCAGGATGCCAAAGAAAACCATGGCGAACAAGAGGATACCGAAGACAACCATCACCCTCGGGATGCCGATCAGCAGCGTCCGAGTGATCACCCTCAGCGGAGAGAACAGCACGAGGTTTGACTCCGCTGCAAGCTTCAGGATTCTCAGAACCTGCGACATAGGTCAAGGCGGTAACGACTCGAGACGGCAATGCCGCGTCGTCTCACCATGAAGAACATGACATTTCCAAAATGGTACACACGATCTAGCCAGGCACAGACCACGACCAACAGGTCCAGGTAACACCACCCTGTCCTCAGGAAACTTGTGGGATGCAAGATCAACCCCTTGCCCCAGATGCGAAGGCACATAATCCCCGTGTACACCCATATCATGTAGTAGTCGAACTTGTCCTGAAGGGCAGAGATAGAAGAAAGAGGATCTTGAGAAAGGAACCTCATGCTCTGCAAAATCATATGAAAGGATGTTGCTCCTGAGCTAACAGTCAGCTCCTGGAAGAAAAACAGATGCGAGTCTGAGGGGACAGTTGCGTCGCGCTTGCATGAGACAAGCTCGGGGACGTTGAGAACAGAAGATGAGAGGACGAGTAGTACCGAGCAAGAGCCAGTTGAAGTAGACGTTCTCCAAGACCTTGTCTACCTGATCCATGGCACCCAAAAACATCTCTTTGGGTGTCATGGACGCCCTGGAACAAAACATAAGGGCAGCTCGGGAAGAATGCACAGCTTACATCTTTGCAAGCTCTACTGCAAGATGTGACCTCCACAACAGCAACTAGGTTATTTTGTTCTGGTCAGTGACCAATGGTTCCCTCAATCATGCCTGGAAAGGTTGTCAGCGGACGAGAACTCTCCTTACCGCTATCAGATCCTATCTCTTTCCTTTTCCCTTCCCTTCCCTTCCTGATCTCCACTAGCTTCTCCTCTTCCCTCATCGCCTCTTAACTTGTCACCTCTGTTACATGCCCTTCGCCTTTCCTTGTCCCTCCTCGCCTCTCCTCTCCGCTCCGCTCCGCTCCGTACCCCGTTCGCCATCGCCTGCCCTTTCGTTCGTAGGAACCACCCTACTACCCTACCGTCTTTTACAACCCTACCCCTCAGTATAATGGCACCACCCGTGGATTGATTGATGTTTTAACTTATCAAACACCCCCTCAATATAACATACCCCACCCTTCAAATACATCCTATGACTACCCTACCCGTCAGTGTGCCTATTCATTCGCCGTTGTTTACCGTTACATCGGTCAAACTTCATCTGAAGAAAGGGAGTGAAGGGGAAGAACCCAACAAACAGACAGGAAAAGACGACGAGGGCGAGGACGAGGACGAGGACGAGGACGAGGACGAGGACGAGGACGAGGACAAGGACAAGGACAAGGACAGGGGAGGTGTGAATGAGAAGAAGGGTATGTAGAAGACGCTCATGAGTTGAAGATACAAACTCGTTAACCCTTCGACCAATGTCACAGGGTACATTTTCTTTTTGATTCTTTGTAGAGCAGATCAACTGTAAAGAAATTGATTGCCATCTACGTCACCTTCGCTCAACGATTCTCTAGTCTCACCTCATAGCTACAAACTTGCTGCACACTGAAATCGGAGAATAGAGGGGCAATATATCATAACGACAACCTAAGTCTGAGAATTCCAAACATGTGCAAACACATTGAAACTTTAATTGCATCATGCCAGCATGTAGTACTTGGTCTTCGGTACGCTTGGGTCAAGGTTGTTGCCTTTGGAGACCACGGAGCGCACAAAGGAAGACTCAGGGAACATTTCCAGCAGCTTCTTCCTCCTCCTGCTGATGTCTCGAGTCAAACTGCGATGACCTTGCGCGGTACTCCCTGCTCTGTCAGGGAGGATTTCCTTGCCATCGGCAGATGCTTTGAGCTTCGCGCCTCCGTTCCCAACCACAGCCAACACTAGATCCGCCGTCCCGTTCATCGTCCCTGCAGCTTCACCTAACAGGCTGGATCTTCTTTCGACGACTCGAGATGTCGATGGGCCGGAGGCCGGGCTGTCTCCCAGCTCAGTCACATCGGGATGAAGGATCCGCTGAACCCTTAGCGACGGCGTCTGCGAGATGAAGGGAATGACCTTGGGGTCAACCTTGTTTCCTCTAGATCGCCTGCTGTGAGAATGCTTTGCCCTCGTCACAGTCTTGAGCAACGTGCTCGATTCTTCGTCGTCTTGAGCAGGAGGTTCCTGCTTGCTCCTGTTCGGCTCAAGGGGAGAGAAAGCGGAGGAGGAGCCTGCCTTTCTTACCTGTTTCCTCTTAGGCACTCCGTTGCCCCTCCCTACTCTCTCCTCCACGGAATTCAGCTTCATGGCAGTCGCCTCGCCATGGAAAACATCATTTGCAGTGCCGCTATTTCCCAATCTCTTTTCTCCTCGCTTCTTTGGGACGGCCGATCGCCTGCCCCTCGGCTGACGGGCAGCAGCAGGGGCCTCAGGCTTGTCCTCGCCCGGCTCTTCCTTGCGGGATCCAATTCCAATCACTCCATCAGAGTCTTCGAGTCCGTTCAGCCCCGGCGGCATGAGTTTCTCCTCCTCCCCTTCTGCATCCTCCTCCTCTGCCGCTGCTGCTGCTGGTGTTGCCGCCGGCTGTATCTCGTCGTCATGATAGCTGGTGTTGTTGCTCAGGTTCTGTTCCAAGTCTTCACCTGCCACGTTCAGCCCCAGCACTTTCCTTGCCTCTCCCATCCCCTCCATCCCCGCCTTCACCATCTCCTCCTCTTCCGTCTCATCCCGTATCTTGCCATCGCCGTCGCTCTTGCTCGGCTCCTTCTCCCCGTCCTCCCTGTGTCCGTTCAGCTTCAGCGCTGCCTTCGTCCCCCCCTCCTGTCCCTTGTTGTCCAGCTCTACATCAGCTGAACCCGCGTCCCTCCCTGGAACAGGGTTGTTCTTCTCCTCAATGCCGTGGCGCTTCTTCATGGCGACCAAGACGTTGTAAGACTCGAGGCCGTCGGAGAAGGACGAGCTTTCGCTCTTGCGCAGCGAGTCGTTGCGGGCAGAACACCAGCTGCCATTGACGGAGGAGTAGTCGCTGAATCTGGAGATCGAGCCTCGCTTCTTCATGATCGTTTCCTTCCGGAAGCTGCGGATGATCTTGAGGGATCGCGGGTCCCTTCGGTTGACGAGCGACTTGAGACTGGCGTTATCGTAGGCTGTGCCTTTGTCTTCGCTCTTCTCCTGCGACTCGTGGACCCTCGTCCTTGAGATGATGCGGTTCCAGATCCAAATGCGTGCGAACAGCACGATCCACTGGAGAACGCTGCTGAAGGCGACGAAGTAGATGCACCTGATGGTGGTGTCATGAGCAGGAGAAGAGGAGAGGAGGAGCAGAGGAGAGCAGAGGAGAGCAGAGGAGAGCAGAGGAGAGCAGAGGAGGAATAGACAAGAAATAGCAGGAGCAGGAAGGGAAAGGCGAGTTGAATAAAAAGAGATCAGGGGGAGAGAGGAGAAGTTGGAGGAGGGCGAGGGCCGGAGGAAAGAAATCAAAGAGAGGATGTAGTGAAGGAAGACAAGGAGAGAGGAAAGGAGAATTGAAGAGGGTCAGCATTACATCTCGAAGATGGACCTCTCCGCTTCTAGATGTAAGTTGGGGACTTTGGAAGCGACCATGAGCTCTTTGGTCCCGTCGCTGACACGGAGGAGGAGGAGGAGGCCGAAGTGAAGGATTGAGCGCACGATGAGGATGAGCTTGACGTCTGGGAGCAGGACCTCGCCGACGATGGCAGCGGAAGAGATTCTGCTGTAGCCGAAGTAGCGGGAGAAGTTGGTGCCGACGAGCCTGCCCTTCTGGATGATGAGGAGATTTAAGAAACCTCGGAGGATCTCCCGGGAGGAGGAGGGAGGGAGGGTGTCCTTCTTGTACTTGGAGGAGGGGTTCTCTATTCCGAACCAGATGTACATCTGCAATAGAGCCTCGAAGACCTTGTGGGAGCAGTCAGATGAAGTGCGGGAGGAGCCTGTTCATATTCAATAAAGGAGAAAAACGATATTCTTGACACCCACTTTAGTCTTTCAATCCTGTTTGAATCTATTCCTAATATCCTCTAGTAGGGGGGGAAGGGGGAGAGGGGAGGATGAAAGAAGGAAGAAGAAGACATCAAATCAGGATGGAGAAGGATGCGCAAGGAGAAGAGGATGATGAAGAAGGAGAAAGGAGGGGCAGGAGGGGCAGGAAGGGAAGGAGGGGCAGGAGGGGCAGGAGGGGCAGGAGAGAGCAGGGATGGATAGATGAGACATACCAGCAACAGCGGGGTCAGGATGTTAGTGTAGCAGTAGCAGTCCTGAAGCGACTTGTAGCTCGAGGAGCCGCAGGGGCAGATGGTATACTCGAAGAGGACGAGGCCGAAAATGGTGACGCGGGAAGAGATCTCCATGAAGCGGAGAATGAAGACGATGAGAGCCTCGAGGACGCGGAGGAAGTTGGGGATGGGAATAGCGTGCAGGAGGGAGATCTCCAAGGAGACGGCGGAGCAGCTCGCGACGAAGAGGAGGAGGAGGAAGAGTGACCAGAAGTACTCGCTCACCTGCCCTCGATTGTGCTCGATGTGGATGGCGGCGAGCACGGAGAGCATGAGGAGAGGGAACATCAGGCTGTACAGCTCCAGGCGCTTGAAGAGCACGATGATGTCCTCGCTCCTCTTCAGCTCCTCGTTGGCCGAGTGCAGGTAGACGAAGTAGACGACGGACAAGAAGGCTCCTACTCCGTAGAGGACGGCAGCAAAGGTCACCTGAAAGAAAAGTCAGCCGAGCGATCGCCTCCTCTGCATCACAAACAGGGTAGAAGACGCCGTACTGCAGGTAGCTGTTGGCGAGGACGAGGGTGAGAACGAAGAACAGGACTGTTGTAGACAGGAACAGCTTCATCCTCTTCGACCCGAGGAACCTGCTCCTGTCTCTGGTGAGAAGGGAGCGGATGGTAAGGCTGTGGGTCAGCTCTAGCGGCGTCTTGCCCAGTGCATTGCGGCAGAGCTGAGGGGAGACGCCCCTGGTGCTGCTGGCGAGCATGATCGTGCGGACTGAAGGAACGCTCTGAACGGCAGCAGCATAGTGCAAAGAGCTGTCTCCTCCGATGTCTTGCCAGAGAAGCCCAGCGGCAAAGTGATCGATGAGAAGCTTGACGACTTTCTCTGACTCCGACGCTCTGTGGAGCAGCAGGAGTAAAGAGCAGATGGAGGAGCGAGAAAGACTAGCAGGGAGGCAAAGGAGAAAGGTGGAGAAGCGGGGCGAGCAGCAGCCGTGGAAGGAGAAGGAGGAGGAGGAGGAGGAGGGCAGCAGCAGCAGCAGCAGCAGCAGCAGCAGAGGCTGGAAAACCTAGAGCTAGCAGCATAGAAGAGAGGGATCCTCCCAAAATTGTCGGGGATGGCAGCGAGGGGGCTGCACTTGGGCTCAAGTTTGTAGGGCTTGATCAAGCCCGGGAGTTGCTCGAAAGGGATCTTGGCGCTGGAGGACGAGCACAGGAAGTAAGAGGAGGAAGCGGGAAGGTTGGAGAAGGAGGGTCAGGACAGTACAAGGCAAGGGAGGGCAGGGCAGGGTAGGGTAGGAGAATCTGTCTTCAACAGAGGAGGCAATGAAAGGAAGGAAAAGACGAAAATTTCTTGAAACCTGTGATGAAGAATTGCCTCTATGACGCTAATGTGATGAGAAACATTCCCGATGCTCTCGGTCAACTTGAACAAATTCTCCATCTGAAACTCCGAATCCTGCCATGATCGTGAGTTACCAGGTGGACAAGGCGGAGAGAAGATGGAGAGAAGGTGGAGAGAAGATCGAGAGAGCGTGGAGAGAAGGTGGTCGAGAGAAGGTGGGAGGGAGGAAAGGTGGAGAGAGGGGATAGAGATGTAAGTGGAGGGAGGGGCGGCAAGATCAGGATGAGGAGGTAGGAGGGGGTAGGAGGGGCAGGGGGGGGGGGGGGGGGGGGGAGGAGGAGGAGGAGCATTAGCAGCTGACGATGAATACCTCGAGAGGGTCGTCGGAATGAGTGGAGATGAAATAAGTTTCAATCTAGAGGTCAAGTCAGTACCAGCCAGTCACCTTCTCCTCCCCCCCACAAGGTTGATGAACTCTGGGAAGTCCAGCTCCAGGTTGCCTGAAGAAGCAGTCAGATGTGATGGAGAGGACGTGCGTGGGGGAGGAGGACGGGAGGAGAGGTGAGAATTGGAGAAACGGGGAGAGGGAAGGAGAGAAAGGAGGGACGGAGATGGTGGGGTCGGAGGACAGAGAGGCGGGGGAGAGGAGAGGTGGGAGTGAGAAAGAAGTCAGAGAAGGGGAGAGTGGGAAGTCAGGAAGGAGAAGCGAGAAAGGTGTGGGGGAGAGGAGAGAGGAGAGAGGAGAGAGGTGTCAAGGGCAGCAGCGCAAAGAGATCGAGGGAGAGGAAATGGCGAGAGAAGGAAGGCTGACAAGGCTGACGAGCGGGAGCAAAGGGGCAGGAGGGGTCACTCTCTCCTCCTCCGCTCCTCCCTCACCGTCTGTGTCGACCTCCTGCACCATCCTCGTGATCTGCTCGTCGGACGCGTCATGGCCCAGCTGGTGGATCGCCTGGATGATCTCGGGGAGCTCGAGGCGACCGGACGAGTCCTCGTCGTACTCAAAGAAGATCTCGAGCATCTTCGACCTGTTCTCGCTCGAGAGCCGCATGCGCGTGTTGGTCGAGGACAGAAAGATGCTGATGATCGCCTGGTGCAGGATGCTCTGCCCGTGCTTGTTGAGCCTCCACATCGACTCCGTGTCGGCCTCCAGCAGCAGGCTCACGACCTTGCCAGCGCTCTTGCTCTTGCTCCGCAGCGCGTAGTCGATAGGACGCATCTTCATCCCGTCCGTGACGTAGATGCCCTCGGGGTACTGCTCCAGCAGCATCGCCACTATCTCCTTGGCCTTGGGGTTGGAGTTTGCGGCGGCGAAGTGGAGGGGAGGCAGTCTCTGACGTCCTTCCACCTGCATGCCTCCGGGTTTCTTGCTATGAGAAACTTCACCACCCCCACCACCGACTCCACCTCGTTCTGGCACGCGTCGTGCAGTGCCAACTGCCTGTCCCAGTTGGGCACAGAGGCTCCGTCCTGCTGGTGCTCCAGCAGGACGGGAAGGACGCGGTGTACGTGGCTCGAGGGGTTCCTGCAGGCGATGTGGATGGGCAGGCGCTGGAAGGATGCGAGGGCGTCGGCGACCTTGTACGTCATCCGCTTCACGTCCTTGTCCAGTTGGTCCGTCACGCACGTGTGGAAGGAGGGAGTCTGCGCGTCTCCGAGCTGGTCAATCCTGGGGAGGAGCATGGGGTAGGCCATGGAGAGCGAGAGGAGGACGGAGGTCGAGATGTTCTCGGAGAGGAGGCCGGAGCTGAAGGCGTGAGCTACCGCTTGATTCTGGTCGCTGATGTTGAAGTCATGGTCGATGCGAATGACCTTGGCCGTCGTCTCCGTCGCCTCCTGGAGGTCCTTGACCTGCCCCTGGACCGAGCGGCACTTCCTGTCTACCGTGAGACTAGCAAAGGCGTTGAAGCAGATGGCTAGGGTGAGGGTGGAAGTGTTGAAGAGCGAGACGTTGGAGCTGTCGAACTTCGCGAGCCTGCCATAGCGAGAGTCTTTCTCAATGCTCTCGACGCCGTCGGGGAGTTGGTGGCAGAGGAGGGCGTGCTGGTGGGAGGATTGGAAACCCCCGAAGAGAGTGGAGATGTTCCAGGAGCTCATCTTGCTCCAGACAGCGTGAAGGTCAATCGTTAGGATCTGAAGGTAGAGGCTGTCAAGAGCGAGGCGACAAGACAAGAAGAACGGGAGGGGGGGAGGGAAGAGGAAATGCAGGGGAGAAAGGAGGGGGGGGGGGGAAGGGAGCAGGATGTGAGGGAGGGAAGGGATGGAAGGGAGGGAAGGGAGGGAAGGGAGTAGGGGGACGACAAAAACTGGAGGACTGACCTCAGCAAAGCTCAGGTCCTTCTTTGCGGACAGCAACTCCACCACAGCCTTGTACGCATCCTTGTGCGGGTTGTGAACCGCAAAGTCAAGGGGGAGAAGACCATCGCAGTCCTCCACTGCTACAGCCTCTGGGTTGATACTGAGGATGAGCCGGACAAGGTGGAGGACATTTCCTGCTTCTGTGTCGGAGAGCTGGGAGCTTCTTTCCGTCGCCGGCCCCACATTTTGACAAGCTGCCAAGTCTGTCACAAAATGGAGGGAGCTGGAGGAGAGGTGAAGAACGCACCAAGATGCAGAGGGGTCTGGCCCAGGTTGTCCTTGAGCTGCAGGACGCGAAGGAGTCAGAGGAACGGAAGTACAAAGGGAGTTGCGTCACCAGCACGACGCTCTTGTCCTTCTCGAGAATAAGGTTGGCCATGGCGCGGGCTTCACGATCCTCGTTCATGCAGACGATGTGCAGGGGGGTATGCCCCGCCTCATCCCGCATGTGGAGGATCCTAGAAGGGGCATGATGCAGGAGCTGCGCGAGCTGCTTCACGTTGGCTCGCCTGCAGTAGACGAAGATTGGTCGCATGCTCGTGAAATTGACCTCCATCTCCTCCCCAAGTCCATCGACCGAGCCCAGGAAGGTGCTGTCCATCAGCCGTCTCGAGTCTGCAGCTGCAGCCCTCAAGGTTCTCACTCGTTCCAGCCGCGTCCTATCCTTGATCTTGGCGTTGTGAATCGCCAGGTTCAGGTCTTCCACATTTGCTACAGAAGTCCAGTTCAGTTTCAGCCTTACCTGCGGCACACTTTCCTCTCCCTCTTCATCGGCAAAGCCTGAGAAGCTGGGTACTACGGTACCCTGACCCAGCCGATAGAGGTTGAACCAGTGATCCGTCGTCTCGTTCCACCCTGAGACGAGAGTCGGGACCCGAAGCTTGAGGGAAGCTTGGTCTGAGGTTGCCGTGCTGTTGACGATGCTCTTTGAGAACACGGTGATGGTGATGGTCTGACTCTTGAAGTCTGTGATGGGAACGTAGACGTTGCTGTTCCACCGAGCGTTTTCTTCCTCGTCATGGCTGGCAAACTCCGTCGTCTGGGGGTCCTGACACTCCCCATCGAGCGCGCAGACGCGGCATGCTGACGGCCCATCCCACTGAAAATTCCTCCCGGTGACAAACGTAATAGTGAGCACTCCGTGGTTTGACATGGAGCTGGAGACTATCTGGTCGTTGAAGTACGACCTTGTCAGGAGCACGTCAAACTTGTACGAAACGTTGCTGGTCCTGACGAATGTGACCAGGATCTTGCAGAGCAGTCAGCAGAAGCTCCAGACCAAGGAGGTCAAAAGTCACACCTTGGTCCCATACTCTCCCAGCATTTCTTGAAAAATCGTCCTCGGCTCTTGAGAGTAATCCACATTCGTCTTCGAGGTCCTCACGACCACATCTCCTCTCACTATGCCGCTGCGGGGACCTGAGAAGGTCTGAGAGGTGGGACTGGAGGTCAACGAGGGCTACCTGGTCCATGGGGAGGGTCAAGGACAGCGGATACTCTAAGTTCTCGACTAATCTGGTTGAACGAAAAGTGGATCCCTGGCCCCCAAAATCTGAACCCTACGTGTCAGAAGTCGAATTCCAACATCACAACGTACGGCAGGTCGCGATTGCTCTCGTTAGACGGAGATGCTGCAACGCTGTACTTGCTGAGCAGACTGACAAAGAACGCATCGTCTGCAGTCTTCTTGCGGTGATCTTTCAGCTTCTCCCTCACCTTGATAATAAGATCGCCGTCATCTGAATCGTCTGAATCAAAGCGATCGCTCATCTCTGGGCTCTTGTTCGACGTCATTCGCTTGTCCTCATTCTTGGGCATTGTAACTTGCGGATCAAAGTCCACAGGAAGTTCGTCGAGCTGCTGCTGGCTAAAGCCTTCCAACTAGCATACAACTTGCAGGCGATGTGCAATGGACTAGCGCTATATTTTTTCTCGCGTGCCCAATCTTCAAAACAGCTCCTTGAAGTGATGGCAACCTGTCAGGGTGGCGGAATGATAACCGGGTATAGAAACGTAGATGTGAATGTGTATCGAACCATCGTGTCCCCTTCAAACATTCAAAAGCACCGTCAGCTCCTGCCAATCAAAAGGTCAATCCCGCATTTGCTCCCCCTGGTTGTCGACTGCGTCGGTCATACAACTAACTCTAGATAAATTAAAGTCGTACGTCCCTGCTTCATTGTCCTCTCTCATCCTCTGATGTTGTAATCGTCGCTTTCTACTTCAAGATTCTGCACCTTCCTGCTTTCCTTGCACTCTGACTCACTTCTCTTGTAATCCTCCTTGCATCCTTCCATACTGAGCTCTTCCGGCCACTAGTATCTCCTGTCATATCCCATCCTGTCAACTGTCATACCAGTCAGTTCCTGTGCTGGGACGCCCCTCGCGAACACCCTCCTACCACTACTGCTCCTCAGGCTGTACGCAAATCCATCACCACCCTGAAGTTAACGTTTTGACCTTTTTTTTACCGGGTCGGACTAATATAAGTAACTTAACTGTAAAACAATCTGCCAGGCTGCGAGGACTACGCCGTACCGTACCGGCGTACCGTACCGTAGTGGCGTACTGAGCTCTTACTTATGAACTGCCCTCCCCGGCCTGTTTTTAACTTAACTTTGAGTAAAGAGTTTCCCGGCCCCGGCCCCGCATCACTACGGGCCTTACCGGGTGCGGCCGCAACTTGGCAATATTATCTGGGCCCTATCATACAATCATGGGAGCGTCTGACACTCAGTGACTGTCGCACAGGCCAAACGGCGAGAACTCGGAAAAGACAGCGAGAACCAAACCTAATCCTGCCAACTGAAGGCCCTCCTTCCAACGAGCGGCTTGCAGCTCAGGCGGATCCCCGAGTACGGCCGTCACACGACTACCGGTCCCAGGACGGTCCCGGGGCCGGGCCGACCGTGACGGTGACAGTGTCCGGTCCGATCGGAGTCACGGTCGGAGCCTCCGTGCCCCCGGCGGCCCGGCGCCGGCTGCGCGGCCCGGCCAGTCACGCGGCCAGTGCCGTGGTCACGCCGGATCGGGAACTGACGGGACCCCGGGCCCGGCGACCGGACGCTTCAGCTCAGTTGATTGGACAGCCCGACATGCAGAGCAACGAAGAGAAATGGCGCTGGGATGTTGGAACGCCATGAAGCCCGAGAGGGAGGAGGAGGGGCAGGAAGAGAGCAATCGAGGATAGCAGAGGAAAAGAGGAGCCTCTTTGTCCGCTAGTTGGTGCGTGCTTTGCTTCGTGCCAAGTGCTATCGAGGAGGTTGGTGTGATCCGAGTAACAAGGAAAAGGAGGTACGGAGTGGGGAGGAACGCAAGCATGATACGATTCAGTTCGGCCTCGACCCTTGAGCTTCTTGTCTTCCTCGAACTCTTCTTCTCTTCATTCAGTTTCTCTCCTGTGATTTCACCTGGGCTTCGCTTGGCCTCCTCCAGACTTTGCGCTCCCACTGGCAGGTTACAGCTTGCAAGGCGACCACATGTAGTGAAGGCGATGTCAGCGGGAGGAGGAAGAGATACGGAGGTTGCTGCAGGAAAACATGTCATTGCAAGACAGTCTCATCTAGTAACCTTCAAGGGTTGTGACCCTACAGCCCTAGCAGCTAGCCAGCCCGCTAGCTTTCTGTCCTCTGAACCCTTCACGCTGGAGGATGGGACATCATGGCAGGTCGTCCTCTATCCAGGAGGAACGCAGACAGACAGCTTGTGGGTTCCAGGGGGAAAGAATAACAGCTTCATGGGATCGACTTACTCCCGGCGGGGGAGGACCGCAGTGTACCTGCGCTACCTGCCGGAGGCAACGCAGGAGGAGGAGGGAGTGGATTGCTGCTTCACCCTCTGCATCTTGGGGCGTCAAACGTCTGGCCCGAGATTTGACGTGGCGTTCGACTGCGGGATGAGGTTCTGCGGGGAAAATTTTGCCGACAGCTCCAGCGGAATGGCAAACGACTGGGGTGCGCACGTGCTCCCCCAGGAGAGGATTGGCGACTTCGTGGACGAGGAAGGCGTCTTGTCTGTCATGGTGAACATCACCAACTTTGGGAGAGTGCAGTTGAGTCAGGGAGATGAGAGCAACGGGGGCCTGGTGAAGAAGGTCGGAAGCCTGTTGATGTTGTACGCCACAGCTGGGGCGTCCGATGGGTTCAGGAGGAGGAATGGGATCTTCTGGGAGTGGCCAGAGGATGTCCGCAAGTCTTTGAGATGCGGGCAGGTGTTCGTTCCTTCCCTGGGAATCGGGCGAGCAGACTGGAGGAGGAGGAGGGACGAGCTGTTCTTGAAGGGGGTGTATCCCGGGTTGGAGTACCGCATCATGGGGATGGAAGACGCGGAGGACGGTACAATGATCTTCAGCGCATCCTCGTCGAAGAACCCGATCCTCAAGGTAAGGGAGGAGGAACGGGGGATAGGCTGGGAGGGGGCTGGTGGTAAGCAGACGAGCAGGTACGTCCAATCTATGCGGTCAGGAAGGACTTGGACAGGAGTTGGCCTGTGCGAGTGAGCATGGGAGAAATTCCTGTTGCTGTGACACAAGCCATGTACAACACGGCGACCCTTATAATCGTCACGATGGTCTCGATTTCTCTCCTCCCTCCTTCTCTTCCTGTTCCTCCTTGCAACCACCTGGTCGTCGTTCTCCCTTTCCCTTTGCATGTACATGTCTCACCCAGTTCCCCGCATCCTCGTCTCCCCTCGATCCTTGTTCTTGCTCTCTCATGATATGGCCCAATGGTCTCGCATTTTCACCCGTTAGCTCCTTAGGCCTCGCTTGGTCTGCTCATGTCTGGCCTCATAGCCCGAGAGGCCATCTCCCTGTACAAGATCCCTTCACGCAGCATGGAGCCGACGATCATGGCTGGAGATCTGCTGGTGGTCGAGAAGGTGAAGCCCCTGCTGCTCACTGCTGAGGATGACGGGGATCAGATGACAGCGCGACTCGGAGTGCCACTCAAGAGGAACGAGATCATCCTCTTCTCCCCTCCGGAGGAACTTGAGGTAAGCGAGACGCTGGGGTGAAGCAAGCGGTAGAGTCGGGTGCAGGCGGCTGGGGAAGGAGCAGGAGCAGTGCGGAGATGGGGGGGGGGGTGGTAGAAAGTGTGACTTAGTTTGTTTCCTGTGCTGTGGATGAAGCCGAGTGAGGTTTTCGCAGAGGATTGTTCGATCCAACGGAGGAAGACTGCGAGGAGGCGACTTGTTTGTGAAGAGAGTGGCGGGGCTCCCTCATGAGAGCTTCAAGGTGTCGGGGGATGGAAGGTGAGAAGACCGTGAGAAGGAGGCGAAGTCCGGGGGAAAGGAGAAGGAGGAAATGTGTTGTAAGGAGGAAGATGGGAGGGGCAAGAGAAGGCTGGAGGCTGAGAGCGCTTTGAACTTTCAGGGTTTTGTTGGACGGAAAATCTTCAGAGTCGCTGCTTGCAGAGCGGAAGAACCTTTGCGAGCCCGACAAGAGGACTGGGGAGGCGACCTCCTCGAGAATTCTTCCAAGTGTGTGAAAGAACTTTCTCCTTCCCTCTTTCTCCTCCTCTCCTCCTCCCTGACTAGCCTGGCAGAGGAAGGAGTAATCCCTGACAAGTCCCTCCTGGTCCTTGGAGACTGCAAGGTGTGAACTCCTCCGTTCTTGTCTTCGTCCTCGTTACGTTTCCCAGGCTGTCTCCGTTGACTCGCGAGTTTGGGGGCCACTGGACGCTTCGAAGGTCTTCCCTGCTCCTCCTCTCTCCTCAACCTTGCTGCTGGAGCTCACCATCGAGAGCAGGTCAAGGGACGTCCTCTCCTGAGGCTCTGGCCCCCTGAGAGGTTCGGGATGATCGAGTAGTTCGCCGGCGTCTTTTAGCTGCAAGCCTTGCTCAAGCTCAGCTGGAGATGGTCAAGGGGCTATGACGGGAGGAGAGGAGAAGGATCCGAGTTGTTCAGCAGACGCCGTGTAGGGTGTTCCAACAGAGGATGGAAAGAGCGAGTGAAGCAAGCTGGAAGAGGATGAGGACGGAGATGAGGAGGTAGACGATGTGCTTGTGTGCAGGCTGCAAGGGAAGACGTGTCAGGGGCCTTGAAGGGGGGAGGGAGGAGAGGAAGGTGGGGGGAGGGAGGGGAACAGGAATTAGGCGGGAAAGGAGGGGAAGCGAGAGTCAGAGGTGAGAAGAGGAGGGCAAGTTGAGGACAGCAAGGTACGGAGGGACCTGCATGCACTTGGGCAGTGGCTTGACGATTGTTCTGCTCTCCAAGTAATGGGAGGGGGATCTCCATGAGAATGACTCGGAGTTGGTGTCCACCGACGTGTCGTCCTTCCTGGAGCTCGGCGTCCTCGAGGCGATCTCCTGCATGGAGAAGTCGAAGGCCTGGGAGGAGGAGAGTGAGTAGGAGGAGGCAGCAGCCACTGAGCAGAGGAGGAGGACGGTGGTACAGGAGTCAGGATCGTGGATCTAGTAAAGCGGAGCTGGTGGCATATCACCTTGAGGGATACTAGGAGGGGCAGGACGAAGTTGATCGGGCCGTTGTTGAGTAGTCCGCTCCAAGAGACGATCTGCATGCAGACGTCAAGACTGTCGCCCGAGAGGGAGGAGAGCCGGTCACGTTGTTGAAAGCTCCTCCGTTGTAGAACATCCAGGCAAACAGCCAGGGAAAGAAGACGGTCCAGAAGAAAGCCCAGCCTTCGCCACAGATCTGAGGGAGGAAGGGAGTTGACTGTGTCAGCACGACGAGGGCGCCGACGCTGTCAGTCTACCTCTCCGACGAGAAGACTGTACCGGGTCATGATGCAGTAGATGGGTACACTTGCAAACAAGTGAGATCTCTGAAGTGATGTTGGTGATGTTCACCTCAGTCCAACGCAGATGATTGCGAACATGAACGACGACTGTCGCATGCTCGGTCACTAGAAACCTCTTCAAGTTTCATCTTTACCAGCCTAACCCATGCGGGGTTGCAGTGAGATGCAAGAGAGTTCAAGAAGTTCCCTTGGATCTGCAGTGAACCCCTCCATCAGTCAAGGAACTCTTGACCATCGTCACGAGCATGGGGACATCATCGAATGGAAGAGACATGATACCTGGTCATAAGCCAAACCACCGAGCAAGCCAACGATGATGTACAAGACAGTGGAAAGTGCGGTAGAGGTCCAAATAGTCTTGTTGACAGACACCTTCAAGTAGTCAACACACGCCGTGTCACCTCATACGAGAGATTGCGCGAGCTCACATCGCGCCGCTTCTCATTTAACCATGACGGAACCATCACGATGAATCTGCAGACAATGCGTCATCATCGAGCCTCTAGTAGGACATTTTCCATACCCGTAATTAAAGATGATACTTCCAAGCATGTTCCTACATCCCGCCGCAGTTATTGGACGTACTCTTCCCGATCTTCATCTTCACTTTCCATATTCGATCCCTTTGTCCACTCTCTCTGTATTTACAACATCCTATCCTTCTCCCCTCACTCCTTCCTTTCCAATTCTCACTTGTCACTCAAATACCCCGTCACAAAAAAAACTCTACCACCTTGTTTCTTGCCTCTCCTCTACTCATCCACTCTACCTGTAGCTGTCGCCGAACGCCGGCACTCTCCGCAACACCAACCCCTCCTGCCAAGAAGGATCAACATCGCGGAGAGAAGGGGGCGGAAGCGAAGGTAGGAATCATCACCGAGAGAAACTGAGTGATGAATGTGATGGTAAACGCGATCAAGAGCACGAAAGCAAACTTTTGGGATCCAATACTCTCATCGAGAGTGCGATAACTGTGGCATCACGTCAGCCTTCTCAAGGACACTGCAGTTTCACCCACCTGAAAGGGGTGAGGAAGATGAACAGGAGGAGATATCTAGAAATCGTTCATGTGAGAACGCTATCATCTTCGGACAAGACTTGTACCCCAGCGTGATCACGAGCCCTGAGTCTCCCTGCTGAAAAGGAACAGCGTCGCTCCCTGTGCAGACTGGGATGACGGGAGGAGGAGTCGATCCCGATCCCGCAAAATTTGACAATTCGGCTTGCGGCTGATCAGGAGCCGTCCACTTGAGTATCTTGAACTCAGGCAAGACCTGTTGCGGGGTCAGCTTCATTACACCTTGAAAAGCAAAGGGATGAACCTGAAGCGCGTAAGTCGACCTGGTCGGGTTGACAAACACGACAAGACTGTCGACGACCTTGTGCTGAGGGTCAGCATGGACAAGCACGTTGAGAGAGACATCAGGACTACTTGTGAAGTTGCAATGATCCCAGACAAGATCTGTGAGAAGAGGCATATGATCAGCATGATCTGAGCCGTTCGCTTCATGCGCTGAGTTCAACCCATCAGTGAAGTACGTCAAATCAGAGACTATTACTTTTCCAAAGAACTCCTCAAACACGCAAGCGAACTCGATTCTCCGATCAAAACGACTGTTAAACTCGTGTGAATTCTCCGCAGCAACACCAGAGTCTACGATGTTTACCTATTGCCCGGAATCCGCGCAATGGAGTCGGTGAGGAAGGTTGCAGCGAGAGAGGATGCAACACAGATGAGACCAAAGGTCAAGATCGGAAGAACCCATCCCTACAAGGTACATGAGACCGATAGCAAGGACAACTCTTGTACGGTCACCGACTGCTGAAAGACTTGGGGCAAAGTCAGCATCCCGGCACCAGAGATGTTGTTGACAGTCAGGACGACAGATCCTCTGAACGATATCGTCTTGCATCCGAGAGAACTAGACGATCTGACAAGACGTCTTGCATGGAAGATGCAGATTCAGCTCGACTGTGATTGCATCAGGCAAGCTTACCTCAGGGCGATCCCTTCCTCCTCCAGCGGTGTGCCCTCGTCAAATTGATCCTCGTCCTCCCCCACCTCCGATCTACTTGTCCTCAGCGCATCGAAAACGTCATCCAGTCCCTCCTGCACCACCCTCAGGCGCTGACTCAAAGAGTTTGCTCACTACCTCCTCAGGTCGCGGTTCCTGTGACCCAGGTTCCTCGCTCCAGACCTCTCTATCGCCCAGAACAGTCGCGGGATCGTTCCTAGCTCGCAGCATTGTACTTGCCTCCCTTCACGTACAATGGGATGTTTCGCTCATCTTTCTTGACGTCGTTTGTCTCAATTTGGTATCAATCCTTTCACTTGACGGGGTTAGCGTGCGCAAGATTCGAAAACGGATGAAGAATGTTTCTTATACCCCTTGCACACAACTCTCCCTCATCCGAGATGCTCGATCTGTGTCATATCGCCACTTCATCTATCAGCTTCCCCCCTCCTGCATTGCCCTCGCCGTAGAAACCTCCCTGCAAGTTGAATTTTGTTTCCTGCATTCCTCCCTTTCCGTACGTCTCTTGTGGGTAACACAAGTATGGGTGGGTGGGTCCTTAGCTATTCCGTACCCCTAAATTTATACTCTAAAGTAGGGGTACAACTTCAAACTACATTTTCATAAACATCAAAGACCAGTTGTATCCGTTACATAGTCGTTGCAGTTGCGCACATTAAACGGTTCTAACGGTCTGAGCTCCGAAAAGGCGCGGCGGTCTTCATGCGGATTCAGGTGCAGGGGACTGAGAAGTAGAGGAAGGAGGAGGAGGTATCACTCGCGTTCTACCCTCGTCTCTTGCTCGCATCCTCCCTTCACCTCTCTCCTCCGCTCCCTGCTGCTGCCTGTGTCTGATACAGCCTTAGCATGTCCATTGCAAGCTTTCGCCAAATGCATCCAGCTTCGTTCAAGGCAGGAATAGCACTTCTAATTGCGTTCTCCTGCGTTGCTCTGCTCTTGTCATGGTCAAGGATTAATGGAGGTCCTGTTGAAGACCTGGGAACCTGGGAGCAACCTCATGGTATCGGCATCGACGAAGAACCTTGGAGTGCCCCGGCCAACTTGTGGCTGTATTGGGGGTCGAGCACGAACCGACGCTTCACAGGGTCTGGAGAGACTGTTCGCCATATCTTCAAGTTAGGAACCATCATGGGAGGAGAATACCGTGATCCTCGCTTCATCTATAAGCTAGACGGACCATTGTTTCGCAAACTGAGCCACTCTTGTTGTGTCTCTCTATTGTTTCCACCCATGGAGTGGGATTTCTACGTCCACAATCCTTCGAAGGCGATCGGTCAGCGCCTGAGGAGCTTCGTGGCCAACGGAAATGCAATGATCTTCACAGGAGGGATCATAGACTTTGAGTTCATCAACCGATACTTCTTCTTCAACTTGGAGCAGGCAGACGGCGATTACTCACCAGGGCCCTTCCCCTTGATGCCCTCGTTCGACTCGTTGAGTGACAGCCAGAAGGAGATGCTGGAAAGAGCTCCGTCCCTCCTCCCGCAGAAAGGCATCGCGGTCACAGCTGTCAAGAAAGAGAGTTTGCCCCAGGGTGCGACAGTGATCTACGGGTCACCAAAGAATGCTGTTGTGTTCATGGTCAAGTTCTGCATGGCAGACAATCCTGCTAACGATGCTTCTACTACCCTTCCTCCTGTGAGAGTCTACCCCAAGGACTGTGAAGCAAGTGCAAAACAAGGAAGGCCGTGCTCGTGCGGCAACATCTGCTACCTCGGGTACAACTACCAGGAACAATACCCGTCCCGCTGGGACAAGACCATTCGCTTGATGGTCGATGTGTGCTCGCAGTCGCCACCCGAGTATTCGAATCCCAAGAATTACTGGCCTTCGGGTGCCTCTCCGATGGAGGTTTCACAGAAAGAAGAAGACTCAGCTGAGAAACACGCACAGGATGCAGAGGAAGGTGAAAGCGCGGAGGACGATGACGACAAGGCAGCGCAGAAGTGGGCAGATGATGTCGAGAGGAGGAGAGTTGGTGGAGGAATGGGTGGTTCAAACTCAGGGGTGCTGGTCGACAATCCGAATTCTATGAATACCGTCCGAGGAGGTATTGCGTCTGAGGCAGATCCCGGCCCTAGGGCGATCAAGTCGAAGTCTACTTTGCTTCACCAGAAGTTTGCAGGACGCGGCAAGTCAGCCCAGAGACTGTCTCATGGAGCGTGCGGTCCTGTCTGTAAGCTGAAGAAGATGGTGAAGTCCCTCAAGACGAAGATCGATGCTTCCATGGAGAGCGCGGGGGCCTGAGAATTCCACGAACATAACATGATGACGATTTGATTACATTTTCTTTTTATCCATCTATCTCTCTTTGGTTCACTATCCTGCATGCTCCCTCATCCTGTTACAATTTAGAAAGCTTGTTTCTCTCTCTCAACACGCTGTGCATGATAAGTCGCATGGCTGTCTCTTTGTCAGTCTGTATCAGTCAGAGTTGATTTATTGAGATTAGTTTACACACTCCGATCAGCCCAAGGCAAACTGTTGGTCATTCGATGCTGACAAACTCGGAGACAACTCTTCGAGGCGAGCTCACCCACAGCGCCCGGACCTTGAGAGTCTCACGTATCTCATACGGAGTTGATTCGCTGGACAGCACCTGTTCTAACGATCTCTCCGGAACTTCTGTATACTCGAAGACCTTGTCATCGATGGACTTCCCTCCCTTCAGGTGTGCCCGCGTTATCGGCCTTCTCGGAGAAAGCTGACTTGGTACAGTGACTACCTCCAGCGAGATCTTGTGCTCAGGGTGTGCAGATGGCTTCGTTCCAAGACAAGCAAGTCAATGTTGGGAGTTCAACACATGAGGCATCAACTCACAATCGTACGAGGTCTTGTCGCTGGCTGAGCGGTCTTGATCTGCAAGAGAAATCATTTTCTTGCGAGGAACAGAACCGAGCATTTTGTCCACCTTTCTTGGGGTCACCCAACTTGGAACAGAATACGAGTCATTGCTATCGTATTGAAATGCGGAGATGAATGCCATCCTCGACTTCCGTGACGGGTGAATGGTAGTCTTTGGACGAACACCCTCGAGTTGGTCTTGGAACGCGTCGTAACTTCTGGTGCCATACGACGTCGATATTCGCATGGGAGAGAAGTTCCTGGGCTCTGAGTGAAGATGTAGTCTTGACCCGCTTGGCGGGGGAACTTTTCTGACTGAGTGTAGAAAGTCGTCGACACCCTGGAAGTCACTGTCCCCACTTGTCTTTGACTGTTGTGACTCCTGTTTGATCTCATCTGCCAACAGAAGGGGTGAACGCTCCTTGTAGTAGTCCAGCCTCTTTATATGTACCGTGCTGTGCCTGAGATCTTCGCAGCCTGCTTGAAGTAGTCCTCGGAGACTGAGCCAGCAGAAACATTATTCTAGGATAGGAGAGATGCATTGTTACAGTGTTCGGGGGAGGCTTTTCATGTAGAATGCACGATCTATTTGACATAGAAGCACGTATCTCTTCTTCCGATGCCTGGCCATACAACTAGTGAGACGGAAAAGCTCAAGTCGAACAGCAGAAACAGTAGTGCCTGCCGATTGCTGAATTGCCATATCCTATCCAGCCTTAGAGGTCGGCTGAGACTCTGCACCATGTTTCAGGGACAAGGCTGTTTCACGGATATGCCAAGAAGTCATGTTCAGCAGTTTACATTATCGACTTGAACAGGTCTTCCCCTCTCCTTGCTCCTTTCCGCAGTCAGCAAGAAGATATTATGCGTTCTATCACATCCCAGGTCAGCTCAAATAGAGTCCGAGTCCGAGCTCCTTCATGGAGCTCGCACCTGGGGGTCAACTTCATCTGGCTCCCTTCAGCGAGGACGCGCTCGATACTTCCTGAAGGTCCCTTGTGCAGGAACCTTGAACTCAGGGGAGGGTAACCCTTGTGAATCTGTCTTGGCGTCCTCCAGTCAAGAACATCCAGGTGAGTTCCCTGCATGAGGAGCGTCACGGCAGCCCGGGCCGGTTATCAAAGGATGTGAATCACAGGCTAGTTGCCGCAGTTCCTCATCTCGATCGCTTACCTCGTCTGTCAACCACAGCGGCGAATCCGACCCCTCTCGCTCCGCCGCCATACCCAACGGACCGCACGTCAAGCAGATTCTTCAAGTTTACTCAACTCCATCATCTTTGACCCCGGCGCATCTGGGGCAAAGAGTGCATCAATAGAATCTCAAAAGTACCTCTAATATTTCAAATATGAAGTGTGCTCTTTTAGAACTAGCCTTTTCATTTCTGGAATTGCAAGAGATCCCGAAATTGTGTTTTGAAACCGGAGATGAAGGTCTACCATCATCTGCGGTTTCAACCAGATCGTGCAGGGGAAAATGCATATTGAGTATGGGGTGGGGTAGTACACATGTGGGTAGGGTACAGTTATGAGTGATGAGAAAAGGGGTACTTTTGATAGTGATTCTGCTGGTAGGGTAGTATAATTGCAGGGTGAGGTAGTCTGATGGAGGGGTAGGAGATTTTGAGATTTTCAAGCCGGGGTCGCAGCATGGCGAAACGCGGAAATGAAGTTCGTAAACCCTCCCCAATTCTGGCATGCGAAGAGAAAGAAGAATATGGCAGATGGAGGAGAAGAATAATCTTAAGGAAAGGAAGCAGGCAGATGTTTGCTATTCAATCATCCCCCTGTCTCTGCTCTCTGTTTCTCGCATCGTCAGCAATCCTATTCTGCACTGCTCAAGGCGTTAGGGGGAAAGATTCTGGAATTTCAGCTAGGGAGGGCCCCGCCATGGCAGTATGCACATCTTTACTGGGTCTTCGTACAGCCGCTTTTGGCGGTGGAGGGTCGCCTTGTAGAAGGGAAAAGAATGTGGAACGTGCTTGCAAGAAGAGCACGACCATTGTATGTTATGCCATCCCTCGCTGTTCATAGATCAAGATCACTTGGCGCTTGTTGTGCACCTACCACCTACTCTATGCATTTTGATACCTTTCGCCTTGATGGCTATGCTCGCATGCTGCCCTTGTTTCCTCAATGAGCCCGGTGTCGCAGCTGCACATGTTAGATTGTACTTGTGAGGCTTCATTCTATTCTATGTGCATGCGATGTCAGAGATCTGTTTCATCTACTCTGACTTGGTCGTTTTAGATGGGGCTGGAATCTGCAGACGTGAAGAAGCTGAGAAGCAGCATTCCGTCTCTTCCGCTGCTTCCGACGCGAGAAGACGCATCTCTGGACGTCAACGTTCCGACGGCTGCTTTTGATGCCTTGGCCGAGCGGTGCGACCTCCATGTGTTGGCAATCAGTATAATACGCTAACTCAAGTCTCCTGGAGATATCGTGCCAAGCAGCAGCGAAGGGAAGCGACATCGAAGCTCCTACACGTGGTGTGTTGGTGACGACAGAGTTTTCGAGAGTGGTTGAAGGAGATTGAAGGTATGCCGGAAGGGAAATGAAGCAATTTATCACCTTCATCGCGGAGAGCTCGTGCAGGTTTTCTTGATCCCTGATCCTCATGTGAGTCTTCTGACAAGAATGCAGGCCGACCAAGCCATCGAGGAAGCTTCTACAAAGTTACAAGTCAGTGCTGCGATGCCAGTACCGCCACCCTAGTTGAGATATTCTTATAGCAATCCTTGGCCGAGTTCGATGATGATGGTGAAGGACGGTGGGGTTCACTTTCAGGTAAGATACTGATGTGATTGTGTCCCGTGTAACGCACTAGAGCAGGGGCTATCGAAAACAACGTGCGAGCGAAAGTAATTATCACTCCTCTGCTGGAGTCTGCTTTGACGTGAGTGGATAGACTTTTGCGAATTTTCTCAGGACAGGACAAGTCTTACGTCGCAGTGAGGTGATCTTGTTACGATTCCGTGAGAACATCACCGTGAACTAGCATTGTTCAGGTTCCATTTGCTACCTACAATGAATACCTGCCTGGCGTGATTGGATTTTCAAATGAGCTGGAGAGATATGCGGTACTGCTGGCTTGAGTTGAACACACACTATATATTGTTGATGGTTTTGCAGATAAAGCGTGCTTCAGACAAGGATGCACGATCTGTGATGGTAGGGTTGAAAATCTGGTCGTTTTTCTGCTCATGATTTGATCGACAGGTTTGCAAGAACGTGGTGGAGCTTATCAATTCGCAGCTCATGCTGTTCGATTTCAGGTTTTGAAACTGCGTATATGTTTTTCCTGTGTTGTCTGACATGAGTTCTGTGAAATCAGAAATGGGCCAATCAGGCACAGATATGACTCGATGAAGTATGTAGTTAGGAAGGTTGTTAATCGTTTTCACCGTAGATCGCTTTCTTGACTTGTTCATTATCAGATGGAAGACACACTGTTTGAACTCAGCCTTGTCCATGAAATTTTTGATCCAGAAGTCATGGAAGGTGGACAGAAGTCTAGAATCTTTGGTTGTGAGAGTGAAGCATATCGCAGATGCAAACAGTACATCAAAGAACGAGGAAGTGATGCAAGATGCTGATGCTCCTACGATACTAGATCTCCAGGAATTCGATCAGATGCGGCAAGAGGTAACAAATTCATATGTTTTTTTGCAGAGTCTTCAGTTGATCAAGTTGTTGTCGCAGATGGAGGCGTTCGATGAAAAGAGGGAAATTGTTATCAAGAAATGCAGGGACTTGCAAAAGCTTTGTAAGGTAGGACAAGATTCCTTCTTATCATGTTTCTTGACACCGTTTCTATACTCTAATGCTTGGATGCTAGAACTCTATCTATGATCTACATCGTGGAAATTTGGAGAAGGTAGACTGCGAGCAAGAGAGATAGAATTTGAAGTCATGATTTGAATTCCTTCAGGCAAAGAAGCAACTCGATGGAGTCAAAGAGTCTTCTAATGTTGGATCCATTCTTAGAATCTGTGTGTACGTGACACCTGACTTATTTTCAAAACAGGAAATCTTGAGCGTCATCGCAACTAGTCCAGGGCTAAGAAAGTTTGTTACTATCGTCTTTGGCTCAATGCTGTAACACAGTATTGCGTGCAGCGGAGCATTCGAGGGTGTCATGGAAGAATATGCTGAGGTATTCCATTCCTTCCTTTTCACAGATAGCCATGCTGTAAAGTTTTACTGTCTTACGATCTCCCAGGCTTACTTGTTCTACCAATTCCTCCAAGACGGGAGGATCCTTGAGCTGGCTGACTTGGAGGTAAATTAAATCAGTCTCGTTGGTTGCCGATCTGTTTTCGATCATCTTGATCACTGTTGACGTAATGGCGATGAATGATCTTTCATGACGAACTCTGCTGCAGCCGATCAACGCAAACGAGTACATGGGAGGGATCCTTGACTTCACTGGGGAAGTTGCGAGGTTAGGTGGTGTCACTACAGTCTGCCCTTGTGACGTGGTAGCTGCAGATACGCAGTGGCGCAGGCGACCAAACGAGATGTGGCGCAAGTGAAAAGATGCATGGTGAATGCACGGGAGAGCCTGAGGAACTTGTGATGCCGATGGCAGGACGTTGTGGATCAAATCATCGGACTGACCATCGTGATTCCCGACATGCCTCATCAGGTAGAAGCTGGCAAGCAGCGAGTAGTCCAGCAACTCTAACAAAAATCTATCGACAGGTTATCAAGAAAGTTGACGTGGCAAAGTCGACGTGAGGACGAGTTGAGTTGTGCGGACTAGCCAACTGAGTTCAACGGCAGGCTGAAGAAGCTCGAGACTATTATCTACGAGATGTCTCTCTCGCGCAAGCCTCAGGTCTGACACGAAGGTGAAGGGGAGGAAGTGAAGAATGTTTTGCAGTCCAACAACATGAAAGAGGAAAAAGCACCACAGGACGACTCTGCATGATTCAGTTTGATTGCAATTTTCAAATTTTTCTCGAATTACCATGAAATCTCTACTAATGAAACATAAGTGAAGGACAAATCATCATCCTAGTCTGACAATGTTGTTCCTCTCCCTCCAATCTATTTTTCCTTGCTCACCTTCTTGTCATCCACAGCTATCAGTCATCTCAAGGCAACATCTCGAACGGAAGCGTGCCGTACACTTTGGCCTGCCGATCGTTAAGACAGATCGCAAGGACATGTAAAGATCCACCACTCACCTCCTCTGTCTCAAGGAATACAGCACTCCACATACTCCCGCACGTCATGCTGCTCACCGTCTTCCCCTCCAGCTCCTGCACCAACTCTGCGCCTTCGTCGTCAGTCGCCGTCAGATCAGCAGGAGCATCTCACTCGGCTCATACTGGTCGAAGCACGTGCCGTGCCCCAGCTTGTTTCCCTCTCCTTCTCCCCAGGACCACACGCGCGGAGGATCCGCAGAGTAGGCCAGGACATGGCGGCTGCCGCATGCGATCTTCGATACCTCAACGTCTCTCAGGAGATGAACCTGCTGCGGGAGGCTGCGAGCTCTAGCCCGACCGTCGTCTGCGGTGGAGGAGGAGGGAGAGTAGCCGAGATTGCACCTCATCTTCCCCTCGTAGACTTTCAGACGGTTCAGAATCTCCTGCATCTTCGAATCCTCCGCGTTGCTCCTCGTCCTCGCAGCGCTTCCCCTTGCGTTGTCTTGCTTCGTCTGAGTCAGCAGGGACAAGGATGGCACGCGCGAGAAGAACTGATCCACATCCGACCGCTTCCTCCTCGCTGCCTCTCCCCCCATCACCATCCTCTCGTGCCCCAACTGGCCGTGCCATCCGTTGCCCCACGTCAGCATCCGGTTCTCGCTGGTGATGGCGGCGGTGAAGTCATCTCCGCACCCGACCCATCGCACCTTCAGGTGCTCCTGCCGCGCGCTCTCAGGGTTCAGCACCTTGCAAGGCAGCCCGCAGTCTTGCCAGGTCCCGTGCCCCAGCTGCCCGTACCTCCCGTCCCCCCACGTCCACAGCATGCTGTTGTCCGTCAGCGCCAGCGTGTGGTTCGCCCCGCACGCGATCTGGATGCACCGCCGCTTGTTCAGCGCCTGTACCTGTCGAGGCTGTGCAACATCCCACAGCCCGCCATGCCCGAGCTTCCCGTAGTCCCCGCAGCCCCACGTGTAGACATGGCCCTCGCGGGAGAGGGCGGCGCAGTGGGAGACCCCGACGGCGACATCGAAGACGAAGATGCTCTGCATGCTCTTGAGCATGAAGGGCCTGCTCTGCATCATGCAGACGTACTCTCCCTTGTTCTGCAGGTACATCTCCCAGTCGTCATTCCGCTGCTTTATGCGAGCTCGCTGCTGGTCGGGGTCGGGGTCCTCCTCCTCCTTCTTCGAGAAGTACTTGTTGATCATGCGCTCGATCACCTTGTCGTCGTACTCCTTGAGCATCAGGTTCATCGGGCCCTTCACCTTCGAGTCCCCCCAGCTGTGGATGTTGCCGGACTCGTCAAGAGCGAGACAAAAGCTGGCGGCTATCGCGAGCTTCACGAACTGAGTCACAGCGTGATCCTTGTTGTTTGTGTGCAGGTACGAGAGAAACTTGAGCGAGGTCAGGTTCCTCAGCTTGTCTTGCACGGTCTTGAGACTCTCCTTCCGTCTCTCCGAGCTCCAGGCGTTGAACTGAAACTCCCGCGCGAAGTTCGTCCTAAGCTTTGCGGCCACCTCATCGGGCTCCGAGTAGATCGGCATGACTCTGCTGCACAAGGCTCGCAGGCTCTGTCCAGGAGGGAGGAAGATGTTGCTCGAGGACTGATGTGCCTGTCCTTCCTCCTTCAAGACGATCTTGTCTCCCTCCTCCCACGCGATGAGTCGCCTTAGTCTCTCATCGATCTCTTCTGCCACGTCGTCCAACACAGCAGACGAAGGCCCTTCGCTCGTCGCGCTCCTGTCGAGCATATCGCTGCTGCGATCTGACGAGGTAGCGGTCAGCTGCAGGCGGGTGAGGCGTCGGAAGGACAAGCAAAGTTCGCAGGTGTCGTAGTTGACTGATCGGCACTCGAGCTTGATCCACCGCTCCTTGGACTCGAGCTTCCTCGCGTTGAGCGCGACAGGGTCACCGGTGAAGATGGACTGAGAGTGAAGTTCCTTGCACACCAGAGACAGCCTGAGTTTCTCACTCGTCTCAAGAGAGGAGTCTGAAGTGAACCGAAACGTGAAAGTCTCGTACCAGGTCATGTTCGGTCCTACTTTCTTGAACAAGGTTCGCTCGGACTGATCTCTTAACTGGAGTTGGAGGGAGACCTCTGATATCTTCTTCTGCGAGAAGACATTCGAAGGATTGTGCTTCCCGAACAGCACTATGACGACGATCTCCGTGTGCGTGCGCTTTGGAGACAACCTCCCATCTGACGGCGAGGTCTTGGAGGCAGAGACGTAGGAGGAATCGCGTCTTGGGCGAGGAGCAGGTTGACGAGACTGATTCGCGTCCTCGCTCGTTCCGGCATCAGACATAGGGAGAGACTGGATCGATCTCTGCCTCCTCATGTGGAGGAGCTGCAGGCTTGCCGGCATGCCGTCGTTGAGCAGCGTCCTCGTCTCCTCTAGCCATTTCATGGTCTCGGGGTTGTAGAGCTCTACCAGGATGTCCCTCTTGCCGTACCCCAGCTTCTTCAGTTGATCCTCGAACTCCCGGAAGGTGAGCAAGGGAGGAAGAGGAGGGAGCAGGCGAGGGTCCTGGAGGATCTTGAGCATCCTGCAGGCGACGACGAAGGACTCGGAAGGGAAGAAGCCAGGGTTGTCGGGGACCTCGAACAGCTGGAACACGTTCCTGATCTCTTCCTTGTCGTTGTCTGCTGAGGAGAGATCTTTGAATGACTTGCCCCGCCTCACCAACCAACTCTTGAGCGAGTGCCCGCCGACTTTCTTCAGTTTGTGCGACAGGATGGGTTCAAACTTGTCCCCCGAGACATCCGAAGATGGCGACATGGCTGAGGGAAGACGCATCATGTTCCAGTCAGCCGTCAGCTCCTCCCTGTCCCTTCTCCTTCATGCTCACTCGATCTCATCTTCTCTCTCGTACCTCCTACATCGCTCTCCTCACTCCTTTCCACCTGCCCTCCCCGCCTCTTGCTTTGCGTTTTTTGGTAGGGCCGTTGAAATCATGTTCGGGCTGCAGATTATTAGGAATGAGGTAGGGGGCACATAGTAGTGGGAGGAGGGAGAGGGAGAAGGGGAGGGGGAGGGAGAAGGGGAGGGAGAAGGGGAGGGGGAGGGGAGAGAGAAAGGTCAGTTGCGAGGAAAGGTAGTGAAACACAGAGGGTGTGTTAGGACTGGGCAGGAGCGGGTCGGGGCGGGGCGGGAGGGTGGGGCGTCGGTTGAGAATAAAGCAGGAGAATGAAACGTGAGAGCGCTGGTAGAGCAACGATAGTTCACTTGGTTGGTATGTGATACTGAGATAGGAAAGGAACATCTATCCCGTATATCCCGTATGAAGTGAAAGGACGAAAGATCGCGGAGGAGCTGATTGAAACAGCTGCTAGTGCGATTCAATCTCCGACTCACCGTCCTCTCTCACTTGCTCTCTCTATATCTATGACTCATCTCACCCGGTTCGTATCCCCCGCCTCTTCCTTAACTTTCCCTGCTCCTTCTCCCACGTCGTTTCCACTCGTGTCACCTAGCGTACATCCAGAACCCATCCACCTCTCCATCGTTGACGACCTCAAAGTCTGCCACCCTCCACCTGCGTTGCACATCAGCACATGCTGGCGCTGCTTCGGCAAAGTGGCAGGAGGGAACCTGACTGTGACTACGTCGATTCCCTCCTGCAGCCATTGCAAAAATTTGGGCTTCAGCTTCTGCAGGATCTCCGGCAGCAGGTACATGGCGACGAGCTGGCGAGAACCTTGCAGCATGTCACGTTCAGCCAGCAAGAGGAAGAGAACAACTTGTCGATGACTTCTTCTTCTCTATGACCTTGAGCACGTCGACCTGCAGCTTGTGAGCGCAAAGGACTAGAAGTCTACAGGCGACTTCGGTCAGGTCTTGCTCGAGGAGCTTTGAGGGCAGTCAGTCCCTCATCGTCTGAAGGCTCAAAGTTTGCTCACCTCAACCATGCTTCCCACACCCGCATCAGCCGCCCTCTGCATGGCCTGCAATCCTCCGTCTCAACAGACGGGCAAGAGGCTAGGAGTCATCGTACAGCAGCGTTCAAGTCCCTAGAAAGTTCGACCCCTGAGCGACAGGATTTGAGGTCAGGGAGGAGATCCGAGCATGGCGGTACGTCACCAACTGCTCTTGCTCCTCTCTTCGCAGCCGCAACAAGAAGTATCCCGTCCCCCGACCCGAGATCGACTACAACGCTCCCAGCAGCAACTCCTGGAGGCTCAAGTTGGTTCCACCAGCGAGAGTCTTCCTACGCACCGGCCATCTGCATGATCTTGTCCGCGACCTCCTCTGAGGTCTGCCGGAAAGGAGAGACGTACCCACCTGCTTGCAAGTTTCACCATCGTCCTCCCTTGCAAGCCCTCTCACCTGCCCAGTCATACCCGAACAGCCTGCGAGGACGACGCGGGGCAGTCTGCGGTCCCTGTCATGTCGACCTTCTTGGACCCTCCCCACGTACCGCAAAGAGCTCATCCTCCTCGTCGACTCCTTCCTCCTTCCCTCCTTCGATCTTCTCTCCCTCGTCCCCCCCCCCGCCGGCCGCCACTGTCTCCGACATGCGCCCCCAATTGCAGCAGTTATAACTGACAGGGGCATGCAGGCGATGCGCCCAGTGATGGCAGGGAGAGGAGAGGGGATGGGGCTGCCGGCGGGTGTGGAAGGAGAAGAATGAGCTGAAGGATGCAGACAAGGATGGAGGGAGAGAGGAACGGGAAGCAAGAGCAGCCAACGAGTCTCATGTGAAGAAGCGTCAACCCTTCTCGCTCATGCCCTCCTACCCCACCCAGCTCCTGCTCCTCGTGCTCGCTCTTCATTCACATGGGGTGGTTGTGTGTGCATGGCACAACGTCGCCATCCGATGCTCCAGAGGTGTAGTTCCCGCACAGTCTTGCTTGCGAGGAGGATCGGCATCGATCGACACAGATCAGGTAACGTACACCCTGTGGAAGGGGCCAACGGGACTGACCTCTAGTCGCAGGAAGTGGTAGCAGAGGACCCGATAGACATAGGGAACGGATGGTTTCAATACTTCGACGACATGAGCAGATTGCCATACTACTACAACTCGCACACTGAAAGCACACAATGGGAGCCTCCCCCGCACCTGACCCTGAGGAGGGCGGCTTCATCCGAGCCACGAGGCTCCACGGTTCTTGCTTCCGAGCGTGAAATCTGAAGAATTCTCACGTGGTTTGCGTCTGTCAGGAAACTGTGCAGCGCATCATAGAGGAGAACGTGAATCATACGAAGAGAGCAGGTTCTTCTATAGACGTTGTGGGATGCCTCTCAAGTACTTTGCTCCAGACTCGGTTGAGCCTCTTGTCTCTGCCGACAAGGTCGAAGACCAGGACAAGCCAGCTAAAAGTCCCTTCTCGCACGAGTACAACTTCAGGTGTCCTGACCAGACCACATGGGCCTCTCGTGCTGATGACGCTGACAGGCGGAGCTTGTCTGCGCCCTTGGACGTCCCGAAGCCTCAAGTTGAGGTATCACAGGGTTGCGTTGAGAGCGTCCAGGTGAAGTTTTTGGCACGAGCAGTCTGATACGAGCATGATGTCAAGCCTAAATGTGGCCGGATTGAAAGTCCTCGACAAGGATCATGCAGGTGCACAAGAAATTTAGTGTAGCTCCTGCGGGTGACACAGAGGGGCAGGCATCATCAAAGATTACGTGAGCGGGATGTTCAACGAAGCCCTTGACGCTGCGACCAAGCCTGTGAGAGAGTTCTGTTCCTCCTTTTGGAGCTGAGAAAAGACAGATGGAAGGACTGCTCGGTACCATCGCAGCGGTCACCTCTGGGTTCAGCAGCAAAACATCCACTTCCAGGCTGGCCGGCAATTGTTTGAGCTTGAATGTAATGCTTCCTGACGTAGCTCCTCCGGCACAATGACGCTTCTACAACAGTTCGACGATTGTCTACACACTCGGGTTGAGTGGCAGGTTGTGCAAGGGCAGAACGAAAATGGCGATGTCTACACAACGTGAGATCTTGAGATGCCTGTTACCCTCTACATGCTCCATCGCGTCTTCCTCCTCTGCTTTCTGCGAGATGTCGTCATCTGCCTTTGTAGGTATCGACACCGCAAGTACGGCACAGTATTAGAGCTGTACCATTCGAGCTGGGTGAGTGTCGAATCTGAAATCCTCGCATTCACATGTTCGACAGGGATGTTTCACTTTCCAGGCAACGGACAACTCAGTAGTCAGGCGTTGTGTTGCTGTGACTGAGTTTGCGATAGAGAACCGAGACTACTGGTGCAGCAGCTGCTTGTCCACGAGATGAGTTGATGGCCGTGCAGGTTTCATCCCGAGCTGCTGAATATCCTGCGATGTTCGAGCGACAATGATGAGCATTCTTTGCTCAAATATGCTGTGGTGAGTTGTCTTTGTACAATCTGTTTCTCCCGCCCTTCCTCGACAATCTTCCCTCGTCTCCTCCTTCCGGGCCTCGCTCTCAGTGCTCCAGACTCCCTCAGCTCCTCGTCGCTTCTCCCTCACTTGATCGTTGCAGGTGAGGAGTGGGACTTGGACAGCCACTTCCTTGCAGGGAAAAGCGATTCGAATCGAGCAGAGGAGCCCATACGACAAGAACAACGAGACCTTGGTGCTTGTACCGGACGGATTCGTCTTCATCTGCAGGTGAGGACGAGTCAACTTCCCCCTCACAGCTGCACGCCTTCGAAGGCTCTCCTCCTGCTGATCGCTGCGGCACACAGGGGGAACATCATCAACCTGCAAGCGTATCGGAAGCGTGAGGCTATCATACTGCGCAAAGGGGTGGAGACGGTGCAGCCTACAGCCAACTCTCTGCCCCTCTGACGACTGAGGCAGACGGTGACTGCCGATGACGCTAAGGCTTTCCTGCGAAGTTTCGTGGGAGAGGTGGGTCAATCCTAGCAGACTAGGGGTGTCAAACTCCATGGCAGGTCCCAGGGCTAACCAACTTCGAGGCTCCAAACGCCACCTACCCGCCAGCATACGAATAGTGAGGAGGCATGGGGAGCTTAGGCTGGTGCTGACGAGGGCCCATCAGCCTGCTAGAGGACGGGAAGCGGTTGCAAGGGCACGAATCTTCGCTAGAGGAGAGGTGGCTGTGGAGAGGTAAGCAGACTGCTGCCTCTCGTTCTCCTTATGCCCCTGCAGGACGGGAATACACAGTGCAGTGGACGCCTCGGTACAAATCATACAAGGTCCTGCTGGATGGGAAAGAGGAAGGTGCGAATGGAGCAGATTAGTTTCACATATTCTACCAGTTCCAGTAAAACGTCGCCACATCGACAAGAGCACAGACGAGGAAGACAACCATGCTCGGGAACCACCCGAAAGAGTACCAAATGAAGGCCATAAACGAGACCGAGAGCACCTGCACGTCATTTCATGCTACGAGGAGGAACGGGAAGTTCACTTCACCGGCCCTGTCATGCTCCAAGTGATCCAGTCGCTAGCCTGCAGGATGTACAACGTGAGTTATGGAAGCAAGATAAGGCCGACGGCACCTTCCAGTGCTTCTTGTTCCAACCCACAGAGCTCGGATGCCTGACACAGATCAGCGTCAGAGCGAACGAGGGAGGTTGTCGACGGGATCACGGTTCGTATGTCATGAACGGCTCATCCCAGTTCTTTCTCCTGTCAGACTTCCATTAGACATTTAGAGCACATACGGCTGCCAGCAGAACCTGATCTCCTGCATCTCTTCATCCTCTACTTTTTCTTCCTCCTTGGTGTCCCCTTTCTGCAAAAACTCTCATTCCCCTCTTGCCAATACCGAATGGATGCTTACCGTATCCTCGTCCACGTCCATCCATCCCGGCGTCACTACTGACACACACCCTCTGACCGTCTGGAACGTCTGGGAAGCGTTCATGGCCGGAGCTCCCATCAAACTTCCGTTGCGCCAGAAGATCTTCGAAAAGTCCGACGAATTCTTACACCAGATCCACATGCCCAGAGTCTCATTGCTTGCATTGACGGGTTTCTCCCCATGAAGTTCCCAGTTTTCTATCCATCTACCAAAAGTCGCACAATCATCCAAGGTACAACACATTCCAGGTTCGTAAGTGAGAACAACCTGAATTCTCCAGGAATGTTCTTGGCGGCTGCAGAAACGTTCGAAGAATTGTTGATCAACACTCTTTGCATCCTGATCTTGGACTGCAACGCTCGGACCTCAGCCTCCAGTTTGACAAGATCGTCGGGCTCAGTGACCATGCCTGCGTATGGGGATCAAACGAGCTGTTTCTTGTCTTGACGACGGTTCTTACTGTCAGCTTCACGGATTTCCCTGAATGTTGTTGAGTTAGGGTCTTCTACCCCATGACGATATAATCTGATGTCATTTCCCTCGTTGTCTGGCTGTGAAAGCATTTCATCTCGCGCGTGAAGCCTTTTGAGTCCTGTTCAATCGATCAGTGCAATCTAGGCATTGAAGTTACAAATACCAGCTTTTAGACTGGGATTTTTCCACCAAAGGCTCTCCAGGGCAATAGCAGACGGTGCATGAGAAGTATGAGCCTTGCTGGGTTCTCGCTGTATTCGCTGCTTCAACTCTAAGAGTCTTTGAAGGAGATCCACCTTCATAGCGGGTCAGATCTCAGGAAGTTAGTCTTCGCACGTTCTCACATTTGAAGCATCTCCTTCACGAGCGTTGCAATCGACAGTAGCACAGATCAGCACCAGGATCGCTGCTACCAGAATCATCCTTCGTCCAGCGCCGAAAGATGAGAATCTGATAGCAATCTCAGGCATGCCCTTACACCGAGGCCATTTACTCACCGCAGCGACATCTCGTCACTTTAACAGTTCAAAGGAGATTCCAGGGTGTATTCAATGTCTGGTTTTCTTCTCGCGCCATCGAAGTGGCAACTCAAAACCCATAAATCTCGCCTTCTGTCCAGTTCATTTCCTGTCCGCCATTCGAAGCCCCCCATTCGGTATCATCCGCTTCTTCGCACGATACTGCAAATTACACCATGTCGCTTGTTTTCGTGACTAAATTCCTTTTCCTCCCTTCATGTTGTTCTCGCTGCTTTCATTCGTTCCAATTGCGCATACACTTGTTATATCGGCCATGGCTATTTCCAGGCATCAAGAGCCCGTTACACAAACGTTTGTGGTAGACTTGGTACCGCGGATGATGGTGTTCCTTTCTTTAAAATAGCAATTTTTTTTTTTGTTAAAATGCAGGCTCAAAATCAAAAAGTATGCTTGTAAAAATCGGTACACCATGACCAGCTGCCCTACAGATAAATATATATATCGATATATAATTGGAATATTTTCTAGAGAGCCCTCGATGTGTACCAAGTAATTATAATGACTGATATTACATGTTCAAATATTGTACTATCTTCTCGTATAAAAGTATTTAACTTTAAAAGTGCACGCGCGCCGCCGCAGAGGTAGATGCAGGGGAGAGGATCCGCAGTCGATAGGAGGGGAGGAGGAGAAGCGGGAGATGGAAGGAGGGACGAACGATATCGAAACACGATACTTGAGCATGCACATCCAGCAAGGTGAATAGGGAGGTCGAAATCAAACTGCACAGCAGAGGCAAATCAGGGAGTCAACGCTCGGGGTGGTTGTCAGTCCGGACGAGCAAGGTGAACAAAACGAGGAGTTGTTTGCAGGACTGATTGAACATGATATGCGGTTGATAGATAGAAGAATTTTGTGTCAAGTCGAAACTTGTTGTATAGAGTTCCTGGACACCATCTGTTTGTGTAGTACAAATTCAATCTAGCGATAATAAGACCGTTCGCTAATTCTATCGCCAAAATTGATTTTCAAGCTATAGACATAATATAGACATAATACTATGTTTTTCTTTCTTCTTCCTTTTCCGTGGAAAGAGGAGATGATTCCATCGGCTAGTCAGTGGATTGGTGGGCTGGATGGCCGTATTTTGTTGAAAAGACATGAGATCCTTCTACTGACTTATTCGAAAGGTCAAGTCTGTCGCTATGGGTCGAAACTGTAGGGTTTATGTTGGACACCTGAGGTGAGCATATAGGGAGTTTTTCTTAGCCGGTCAGTGAACCTATCACCAGCTCGCGAGTACGTGAAAGGGATTTGGATGACGAGTTCTCGCGTTTTGGAAAGATAAGGTTTGTTCCCGAGGCCCCAGGACCTAGTCTTAATGGATGGCAGGGATATTTCCCTGAAGCAAGGATTCGCGTTCGTTGAGTATGATCATTCAGAAGATGCGGTGTTGAACGATCGTAGATTTTGTTACTTCTGCTAATGCTGATCCAGGAATACGCAGTCCGCAAAATGGATGGTGTGAACTTGGAAGGCAAGTATTTCTCTATTGTATTTTGCAAATCATAGTTGTTGCTTCAGGAATGAGAATTCTGGTGGAATTCGCGAAGGAAACTCCAAAGAGAGGCCCGCGGGTAGTTCTGCCTTTGTTTCTGGCAGCCCAGGGCTTGACTGATACCACTCATAGGGAGGTTCCGGATACCGTATTTACGCAGAAAATCTGAGCCAGAACACGAGTTGGCAAGACCTCAAGGATTTTGCGAGGAAAGCAGGTAGAGTGCTGGATGGCATTCATTTTCATTTTAACCTGTGAACAGGGAAGGTTATCTATACCGATGTCTTCAGTGAGCGTGGTGAAAAGCTGGGAGTCATTGAATATGCCACACGGGTCATGGTACTTATCTTTCTTGTAGTGGCATTCAAAGGTTTACAGGAAGACATGGAAGACGCTCTTTACAAGCTCGATGGAACCGAACTTCATCGCTCAAAAGTTCGACTTGTGAAGGTCAACCTAATGTTCTTGTTGCTGTTGTTGTCACTTGTGGATCCATTTTTGCCTCACTTTGTACATTGTATCGTGTGCTTGAACCTACACTTGAGTGCGTATTGTTGATTTGACTAAAAGATACCCGACAGGAAAGTGAACGTGGCGGCGGCTCGGACAAACGTGATCGCAGCCGATCTCGCGACAGATCGCGTGACCGATCGCGTGACCGTTCTCGAGACAGGAGAGAACGGTACCATTTGTTACACAAAAATGTGTTGCTGGGGTCTCATATGTGGTTTCACGACAGTTCTGACAGTCGCGATCGTCGTGAGAAGTCTCCTTCAGGTCTTATCACATCACAACCTCGAAGCAGAGCGATCTCTTGACGTCTGTTTAGAGCGTGGAGATCGTGATCGAGAGGGCAGCCGAGATCGCTCCCCTTCCCGGGAGAAAGGTGAACAGTTTCGTGGAAGTTGAGCATTTCAGTGTTGTAATTTCGCGACTAGATGATGTTAAGGAGGATCGCAGAGACGATGAAGAAGACAGTAAGAATCGCAGGTACCTGACCTGATGTCATTCTTTGCCGATCCCGATCTCAATATCGTGCAGGGGAGGCAGCGATAATGAGTAGATGAAACGAGTTGTCTAAGCAGCTGCTGCATTTAGCCACTAATGCCCATCGAATAGCTAATGACCCTGATTGTTCTCGATCTTTTTGCTCCCAAGTTCCGACTGTTTCCTTGTTGCGGGAAATGGATTACCGTGGATCGAACCCTTGTAGTTGATGCAGTCGTCCTTGCAGCTCTGCTTGTCCAGTTCAACGAGTCCAGCGGAAGTATGGCTGGTCGCGGCGGGCCCGCCTAATATCAGTGCGGCGCCACCCGCCCGGCCGGGCGGGCCCGCGGCCCGGTGACGGCGGCCCTGAGTAGTAGCCTGGCAGTCACATTGTTCAAGTCAGTGCGCGCCTTGTCGCTGGTTCCCACGGTGGCTTACATGGTTCTCCTCGGTCCTGAACAACTCATCCCCTTCATGATCCTCGAGCCGCTGCTGAGTCGGCGTCAGAGTCGGCCGATGAGCCGGGCCCGGGCCACTCAGCGGCCAGCCGCCTTAGTGGTCAGTGACCGGGTGCCCGGGCCAGTGGCGGAGGCTGGGCCAGTGGCCGGGTCCCGGGTAAGAGATGGGACGAGGAGCACGATTCCGGAAATAGAGCAGCGTTCTCATGTTCCAGGTAAGCTGAAGGAGCAAGACAAGATGCTCGGTGCACGACGATGAGAAAGGAATGAACGGATCAGGGGAACATAGCGGAGGATTGTTGTGGTTGGAACAGAATGAGAGGTAGAGGAAGGAGGAGCGGAAGAGAGCATTGATGGCAGAATGAAGACAAAGAGACCATGACTGTATGATGTAGAAGTATGTCGAATGGGAGAGGTGAAGAAGGCTACAAGCAAAAGCTCCCATCACATTGAGAAATATTTGGGAGTGGAAGCGAGGGGGAGCTTGCAAAACATGTTTTGTTTTGCATCAGGTGATGGGAAATGGTGACTGTGTGAAGAGAAGTAAGAATAGATCTCAAATTTTTGTGTTAAGAACAGTTGAGAGAGATCTAGTCAGAGAAGCTTGTGCACAGGCATTATGCCGAAGTGAAAATATCTCTTGGGAAAGGAGTAGATTTTCAAGTCATGTTCGCTACTGGGGCTGTGTTTGTTGCAACTTGAGCTCCTCATCGAAGGGGTTTGAAAGCTTAACAAGCCTAACACTGTCTTCCAGTTGCTTTCGGTTTTCACTCCTCCCCCCGGGATCTTTCCAGTTCCTCACTGGGTGAGAGATGGAAGTGGATCCTTCAACGTTGACATGTGCATTCAGGCCGCAATCACTGATCGCGAGGACCGTTTGACCATGGAGGATGGTGTTCCAAGAAGAGATTTCTGGGGAACTGTAGGATTTTCCTAGATCATCTGTGACAGCATCTGACATGGTTGACAGTACTGGGATCCCCCCGTTCAGCACTTGTGGGGCACGGTAAGACTGCAGTTTTGTTGTTTGTCCGAGCCTAATGCTCCTGGCAGTACACTAACCCCATCGAGTCCACCTAATTTGGGTCGAAGAGGGAGGAAGAGAACAAATTACGTCGAAACTGCATTGTGATTTATTAGTAAACTCGCTGTTGGGCGTGATTGGGCTCAGTTTTCAGTTGTAATCTTGCAAGGCGAATGTATATGCAAACGTGCGGAAGGGGATATCTTTCCATTGACATAGCTTAATTTGACTTTCCTACCGTATGTGCTAAGAAAACAACCAACCATCCTCGCGTCAGGGATCCAATATGATACGTTTCTTTACAAATCTCGAATGTATATACACAAGAAACACCGGCAGCGTCGTTCTCCATTACTAGGTTACTCTGGCGGTGGTGACGTTAAAGAGGGAGAGGACGATGGTCTTGGGGGCCTTGCAGAAGCATTGTCCTGCGGCGATTGAACCTCAGCTTCTGAGGCGGCTGCATTTCAAAATTTAGTCCCCGTCCTCGGAATGCGGGCGCGGCAGATTCCTACCTCTCGTGGCTTCTGAAACCGGACCATCGTCCAGGAAAAGCCTCTGCTCTAGTCTGCGAGCCTCGCCCGACTCGCTGACTCGCAACTGATCCTCGGGCAAAGGCTGGCAAAGAAACGTCACTGATTCTTCTCATCGGTGATGGTAAGTGCATTACAGGAATTGGCACGCCCGGTAGCGAGGGTACATCTGCGCTGCCCTCCTGGATCGTTGGAGAATTCATTTGTCCTGAAGGCAAAGCCTCGGATGAGGAAAGAAAGGAGAGATGTCAACGACGAAACCTTTGATGTTGATGCCGCATTGATCGAAGGTAATCAGCTTTCTCATCATATTCTCGTGACTGTCTCCCACCTGAGTGATTGTCTTCAGACACTTTGACACATGTGGGAAAGCCAAGGGCCAACTTTAAGAGGTGAAGGAGCAACTTGTTGCAAGCCAGGCGTTAGCTTCCTGCTCCCCTTGGAGTCCGGATGGAGGGCAGGCGAGTCTTCGTATCTCCTGGATTCCTCATGCGTGCGGATCTTTTCGAATTTCCTGAGATAGCGTAAGAACACACAGAAAGATTTGAAAATGAAATATCTTACAGAACTGGACAGGAACAATGGGGGCAGGACACCACAGTGCTGCAGCAAAGCATAATGTGAGTAGCGAAATTCACAACATAAATGTGAAGGTATACTCTTCGACATCCTGTGCCGTTTCCAGTCCCCCTTGTTGAGAAACTTTATGATTCTTCATCGCTTTTACACAATCGAGACAAATATGATGTCCACAGCACTTGGTTTTCTGTGATATGCGATTTCAGAGATGCAATGCAACGTGTTGTTTCAAACACCTGCATATCCGCAAGATAGTACATGCAAATAGGACAAAAATATTTGTGATGCTCTGTCAGCTCATCGCTCTTGTCGACGAGTAGAGGAGTAGGTTTCTGTAGAGCCAAGGAAAAGGAGTCGAATCAAGAAAAGGAGAAAACGAAGAAGTGTCCAGCAAGTGTCCACAAAAAGAATGAACGACAAGGGCAGAAAGAAAGGGAGGAGGAGCAAGTTAGTCCACTAAACCAAACAAAGACATAAATTACAGATTTGATATCTTTGGAACTATTGGTCATCTGCACACTGGAATCCAACACCCTTCTTGACCGTGTTTGCACACTTCATAAACAGATTATTAGGGCAAGAAAAAGTCCAGGACGAGGCAGACCGGATGCAAGGGAGAAAACAACAAAAACAACGTGAATGGTCGCTTGGTATGTCGTCATCGGCACGATTTTCATTGATAACCTTTGAAAGGGGGTTCAGCTTCGCATGCATCATTCAAATATCACCTCAGTCATCGCCTAAGATCGTTTCCACCAGGGTGCAAGTCGCTCAAAGAGTCAAAAATGACCCAGCGATACAAATTTGAAGCGTCCAAGAATCAGGTCGTTCAAACATGCAAAACTGTACACAAGCAATTGACTCAATCTTTCTGCCCACAGGGACGGTTGCAACTTACCAAGGTCTTTCTCTATTCAGGAAACTGGAGTGTTGCGGTCCCGTGTTGATTTCCTCTTGCGATCGCGGTCGTTCCTCTTCAGCCCACGGTACTTTGCACAATAGCTTCGATCCAGAGTCTAGACACCAGCACCCATACATCCTACCAAGGGGCTTCCCATGTTTCTGACCCAACTCTTGGTAATAATTTCATGCAAAGCTTGTCACCTGGGCTTATTCCCCTTGGCCCTCCTTTCGCTATCCACCTCCTCCCTCGCGGACTTTCTGCTGGCAAAACGAATCAGCCTGACCAAATCTCTCACCTCCCTGTTTGTACTTGTAACCGAGGTCGCTTCTCACTTGCTTATTCTGCAATCTCTATTCCACTGATCTCCCTTCTTCACAGCTCTTCCCTCCTCTCCTCTCCTCTCCTCTCCTCTCCTCTTTCCTGCTCGTCACTCTACCACACCTGCATGATACTTCCAAGTCAACTTCTATCCTCCTCAGTTCTCGTCCTACGACCGCACTTCTTGCTCTTCGCTCGCTCCCTTCCCTTTCGATCTCGTGGTGCACCATTGGCAACCGCTTGTCCAAATTGTTCTTCAGACGGAACAGCGCCAGTTCTGTGTAAAGTACAAAATGTCATTCGAGGACCCCTAGGCTAGTCCAGGACCCCCTCTGTCGCTACTCGGGACTGTTCCTGGACGGGGTGGAAGTGTTAAATTAGACAGCAAGGGTGGTATGAAGGGTCAATCGAGGGGGCTGGGGTGAAATGAATTAAGGCAGGGGTAGGGTACCAGTAGGTACCCTGTATGTACGCTATTTTGGAACCACCCCACCTACTGGTTTTCCAAATCTCAGCGTCATTGCCCATTATACCCCATTGCCACTACCCTACCCTATCATGAAACACAGTACCCCTGCACTTACCTACCCTGCTGGAGGAAATGTACCCCACCATTTCTAAGTCAAGGACCCCGTGCAATTTTGACTACCCCCGTCGTCTCAAGAGCAGCAGCACCCCATTTTACTATGGATTTGAACAGGGTGGGTGCTATTGTGTACTCAAGTATGGCGTGGAGATTCGGCAGGGAAGGACGAGGGCTGTAGAGGAGGGAGGAGAGGAAAGCAAAGACAGGAAAGAAGATGCATAAAAGGAATCATGCAGCCAACAAGAGATGACTTGTTAGGATAGCAGGAAGGATGATGTGTCCAAGGAGAGAGATCGACAGAGACGCGAAGGGATCATTCGGGAAGGAGACTGGAAGGGAGGTGAATGGCATTGATGGCAATGTATGAGAAGCGAGTGATCATCGGAGACGGAAAGAGCATGTCAAAAATTAGCGCATGTTAAGTGCGATGGAAAGGAATGAAATGGGGACAAAAAGAGCTTGATTTTGGTGCGAGGGATTATCGTAAACATATTGATTTGGCCTAGAAGAAGACGGGAAAGGCACTTATTTCGTTTGGAGATACATAGCATGGGGCATAGATCGAATTTAATTTTTGTTAGATCACAATTGAGGAATATGCAGAAGCGTTTCTAATGTGAAGAAGGAACAAAAGCTCGTTCTTATCATCGGTTATCCGAATTTTTAGAGTTTACCGAACTTTTTGCGATAGTGATAGACAACAGGAATTGATCCAAAGATGTCAGTCTTGATGTTGATGTTTTTTCCGGGAAGAGAGATGTCGGGGGAAAGTTGACGGCTGCATAGGTGTCTGGTGGCACATAGAAAGAGGACTGTGATATCGAGGTTGTTGGAGGATGTATTCCTACAATCAACCCTTCGTCTACGCAAACCTCCCTCCTCAAAACGTCTACAACCACCATGTTGGATATCCTTATGGTGTTCCTTCGATTCCCGGGCAACTACAACAGAATGTTCCGGTAAGCGCGAGCTTTGTCGTCCATTGGTAAGCGCATGAATCCAGATTCGAGCAAGTCGCGTCGATGGCATGGAGTCCCATGCCCCTGATCTGAGAGGATCTCAACGTCCGATGATGCAAGGGCCTCCAAGTAGTCTTGTGTGCTCATAGAAAATTCATTTGATCTGCTCGGCAGGCGGCGGAAGATTGACACAGCCGCTGCAATATCACAACATGACACCTTTACGTTCAAATGTGAGCGATGCCACTCTGCTGGTTGATAAAGCGACATTTGAAACCCTGAAACCAGGTGGGGGAAACCAGGAATTACATCGAGCCGAGTAGACATGAGGTAGAAGTGCTTGAGATGAAATGTTGCCGCAATGATTTGTCTTTGCTTGCAGAACCTGCTATCATCGTCCACGTCAAATCTGGATCAGATACATGCTTCTCGCGGTCAAGGTCGACCTTGTTATAAATCGGATCGTTGAAGACTAATAATTTTGTTGGTTTTCCAGCTGATATTTTGAGGGCTTCAACGAGCAACCTTATGAACAATCAGCCTTTGAATCCGACTCAGGGAAGCAATAGCACGTATTTTGATGGGAAGAATTACCAGCATCAAATCTCTACTCAAGAAAAGGATAATCTCCGCCAGAAGGTGCTTGTCAAGATGAATAGCTCCTCGTTGAGCATGAATGCTGATGAATGTTGATAATTGTGCGGCAGGTGGACGAGTTGAAAAGCAAAGTGGACGTGCAAGTTAGTGTTTTGCCCGTGCTGACGATTTTCTTTGCCAATGAGCCTGTCGTCTAGGCCGAAGAAATCATTCGAAGGAACGAAGAATTGATCGATTTGCAAAGAAACCATGTTGACAATCGAACCTCGGGGTCTGCAAGCCTGATTGATGGTTCACAGGAAGCTTTCAGAGAGAAATTTATTCTATTCCGCGAAGGAATGCGGTCCAAAACTGTAAGATCTATTTGCCCTTCCTGTTTCCCGTGAATTGTTTTGCAGGATGAGTCAGATTCTAGAATTCAGCAGATGGAAGAAGAGCTCAGGAAGACACAAGTCAGCGTGTGTTCTGTTATTTTGGTACTTCTCACAAAACGGACCCTAGGAGGAGATAGCGCAGTTGAATACCAGCGCACAGTACCCACCTGATGCTCAGGTGACTACACCGAATCGACCTCCGCCTCGCAACTTCTATCCCTGAAGCGACCCCGGCAGGTGAAGGAACTGAAGGATCAGGCACAACAGAAGGAATCACAGATCGAGGATCTGCAGTCGGGTATCTCGCAGGTAGCTCACTTGCCACAATGCCGTCTCAGCCCACCTGAAGTTGGTCTTCAATGTCCTTCAGCTGCAAATGCAGCTGGACTTGGAGAAGTCTGGGGGTTCTCTCAGACTGAGAGACGAGTTGAGCCTGAAGGAGAGCATCCTCCGAGATCTGCAGAATAGAGCTGAGAATCAGGTGAGTTGCACGACTAGTGGGATCAACATGCCTGATTATGGAGAAAGACGGAGTTTCTGCAATCGCAGAGCAACCGGATTGCTGAGCTGGATGACTTGGTGAGCAAGGTCAGCCAGATTGTTGCAAAGAAGATCTTGGGAACGTCATCTGTATGCTTGCAGGCGAATGCTGAGAATGCTGCAAAACAAGAACAAGGGGCGCAGCTGCAAAGCATGAAGGTGAAGGCTGTTAGACTTGCATGGTTCCAGCTTGATGACATGGTCGCAGCTGAGACCGCTCCTTGATGCGAATGCGGAACAGGACAAAACCCTCCAAATGCAAAGTGAGATGGTAACTCCCCAAAGGCATTCATGTGGATGCATGTCTAACGATCATTTTGTTGAATAGATCCAAAAACTAGAGAGGGACGTCTTGGATGAAAAAGAAAAACAAACTGGTCTTTCCGAGATGACTCAACTTGCATTCTGTTGATGATTTCTTATTTCAGAATCGAAGAATCTTCTCGAGAGCATGAATTCGCAGGTAAGAGAGATAGTTCGAGGTTGTCGAGCATCAACTGACCTTTGCTCGATAAGATTTCGCGAGCTCGAGTGGAGATGGGGGCGAGGAACGATGAAATAGAATCCAAGAAAGCAGAGATTGTTGGTCAACTCTTTCCCATCTTCATGTGTTTTACATGCTGTCGATCAGAAAAGGATGGATCAGGAGTGTGCGGCTGCTTTGGAATCTGAGAAGAGCCTGAAGGTATCGAAGTGAGATATACTTGTGCTTTGCTGACAGTGAAATTAGAACATGCTGCAAGAGAGTGAGAAGCTGCTTCAAGTAGACTGTTGAACCTCGATCGAATACTTTCTGAGGGAAGTGGTTGCAGGCTGAATCCCAATATCCTCTAGCAGTTCAACAATATCAGGGCGAGATTGCCAACCAAGTATTTGACATGCCATTGCCCCTGGGTTCTGAACTCCAATCACTCCAGCGATCGATGACAATGAGGACTGCGGATGAAAATGAAGAGCTCCGGAAAGCGGTGAAGCAGCTAATGATTTAGCGCCGTCCTTACTTTGTAATCGCAGGAGAACTTCCTGCAGATGAAGCTTGAGCAACTTCAAGAGCAGCTCAAGCGCGCAAGACAGGAACTTGAAGAAGAACGTCAATGACGGAAGAGTGAAGGATTTGTTGCAGGCATCGCAGAACGAGTCTCTGGCATTGTCTGGCAAGAGGGAAAGACTTCAGGTCATGATCTACCAACAAGGTCTGGACTGTAAGAGCTCAGACTTGCAAACAGGCTGAAGTCAACGACATGCGCATGAAGGTGCAGGGTCAGCAGTCAACTCCCGTAAACGATGTTGCACTGTTCCAGGTCGTTGTGATTGAGTTGGGATGCAGCAGACGTCGGCTCAGCCCAACGAAGAGCTGAAGCAAAGTCGATTGAGGATCGAAAACGTGAGTTGACCGTCGATCTGTGCTTCTGCTGACGCGCGCACAGGTGGAGCACGTGATCAAGAGTCTGCGAGAGACTTACAACCAGCGGATAGCAGAGGTCACTTAGTCGCCTTCATGGTGAGTTGTGACACAGTGGGCCAGGCACAAGGGCTTCACCGGAGCCTTGGGGAGAACTCGACACAATCTCAACACCCGAAGTGATCAACTTTGAGTTGTCAAGACATTTCGATTGACGAATTTGCGCTGACAGCAACGTTGACAACAACTTGGGCCCTCGGTGAGCTTGTTGTCGTGGGATTGCGGTGAAGATTTCATTCCTGCTCATATTGCACTCCTTGCAGGCTGAGGATGGCGGAAGAGAGAGTGAGGGACAACGAAGCGGTGTTGAGGTGCTTGTGTCTCGCGGCAGACCCACTGGCAAAGGATGATGAGAGAATCAGGGACTTGAACATGAAGAGAGAATTCTTGCGGAACCGCATGCAGCAGGTGAGCTGCCGGCGTGTCCTGGCTGAGGTTTTGAACTGTTCGGTCAAGGCCGCGAGCCAAGGCAATCCACGGGTGGATCAGAGCCGGCTGATCCGATGCAGAGATACCCTCCTCAGCAAGCTCATCGGTTTGCCTCCTGCCAAAGTAGTCCTGTCCGTTGACATAAGCTTGTCACCCAGGAAACTGGCAGAAGCAGACACTTGGACGAGCCTTTGCTGCTTGGTTGCGCTCGATCGAGGTCCTCGAATGCGCTGTTGCTCCTTCTTGTCGCTCACGTGTAACGAGCGCAGGCGTTCAAGATGGATCGGATTTTGATGGAGAGCGATAAATACATGTCGATGGACTCGAGGTGATTCCCTCCACCTCCTCTTGCCGTGTCTTGTGCTCTTCCCTGACATAGTCGACAGCATCGATGACCTCTTGACTGACGCGCTGTCGAAGCGACGGGCGAGGTTGTTGAGCTGACGTGCCGAGCTATCTGTTCTCATCGCGTCGTTTCCTCTTCGCAGGTCCATCGTTGCGTCTTCGGTCTCTCTGGGAGGCTCAAGGTCAGAGTCTCTCTCCCCTCGTTCTGCTTGCATGATTGTCTTTCCTCAGCATCGACGACGAGTTGTTCCAAGCCGCAGCCACGAGACCGGTGGGCATCTCTATCTCATGCCTGTGTGATCCTGAACGCCTGCTGCAGGTCTCTGGCGGCGGAGGAAGTGTCGTGAGCTTTGGAGGATCCAGCATGAGCGGCTCGATCGAGTGGATGGTCTGATTGTCTTGCAGTGTCGCACTGTTTGTGCGGCGATGTGAAGTATGGGGCGGTTGATTAGCTTGTCCGACTCAACGGTGATGATCCTAGAGGGAAATCATTGGCACTTAAATCAGATTTCAATGAATGAATCCGCTCAGGCCAGGACCCTTGCCAGTACGGTATCTCCGATGGGTCCCAGCTCATAGGGGAGTCATGCCACCTCGTGACTCGGTGACCTACGGTTGCAGTGCGAGTCAACTTGCAAGCTCGCGGCGGTCGGGCGGCAAAAATGCATGAAAAAGAAACGCAATCGGCAGGACTCGAACCTGCGCGGGGAGACCCCAAAGGATTTCTAGTCCTTCGCCTTAACCGCTCGGCCACGATTGCTCTGTCAGGTACAATCTTTCAGAGTTTATATTAGATATTTTCAAAATTCTATTCAATTTTGCTCGTCAATTTTCAATTGATAAAGGACATTTTGATATGGTTCACAGAAATCAGTTGTGACCTGCAGGGCAAGTGAAATATTGTTTAATATTTGAAATGTTCTCTTCATGTTTCAAAGTTAGCCTCAAAAGATGGGGTGCACGGAGGGTCCCGAACAATTTGAGAATTCAGTTTTGAAACAATAAAATAATGGTCCTCGGCAAGGCTGGTGACTCAATAGGTCAAGGCTTCTGATTTTGATACTTACGGATACTGATAAATACCAGAGATGCTCTTGGGGGCATTGAGGATCGCAAACAGAACATTTCTTCTGCAATATTTGAAATTAATTTATAGAATGAGGAATATTCGAGGGTTTATTAAAACTGAGTTTTATAGTGAAAGCTGCCACCTCCCCATGCGCACTGACCGCATCAACACTGAGGAGGGACGGGACAGGAGAAGAGTTCAGAGGAAGTATGAAGCAGTAGAAGCAGTAGAAGAGAGGAGTAGAGAGAATGAGGAACACGAGGATGATATGATCTTTTCAGGGAAGGTATTGAGTGCTACATCTTATGTCAGGCTAATTGAGATGATTGGAGAAAATCCCTCCAAACGTGCATAGGTGCAGCTTAGGGATGCCAACCAGTACATTGCAGACTAAGAGATCAAGGAACAAAGTAACAGAGAAGTCTTTCATTTGATGATAGGATAGGAACATTTTATTCGACGTCAAATAGGCATGAAACGTAGGTAGATTGCAAGGGGAAGCGGGAAGAACTTGACACCAACAGAGATCAACGTGCGCATTGTTGGTGCAAAAACACTGAAAGAAGATAGGACCATAATAAGATGCAAATGGACTTTGAAGGAAAAGATTTCTGGAAAGGTGTCATGTTGTTCTTGTGTAGCCCTGCAACCACCAGTTGCAACAATCACTTGGGAAAGGAAAATAGAATGAGTATAAAAAAAGAGAAAGAAAGAAAATCTGAATACCAGACGACAATTTTACTAGTTCGCTTGCATTTATGTTTACATGGTGGTCGTCAAGCTGTTTGCTTGTTCTATGAGCATCAGGTCTGCTGTCCAATCGGTGAAATGCCTTCCAGCAGGTCAACACTAGAGTCTGGTTGCCATGGCTGATGTGAGGGGGAAGAACAATTACAAAATTGTGCTTCTCGGTGAAGGTGACCCTCATTTTGCTTATTCTCTTGGTTTGCTGACCAAATCGTGCAGGTCGTGTTGGAAAGACATCGCTCGTTTTGAGGTACGTGAACAACACCTTCTCGGACAAGCAGCAGACCACCATCCAAGCATCATTTCTCAGCAAGCGAATAAATATAGGAGAGAATACGTGCAACCTCGCGATCTGGGATACAGCTGGTCAAGAGCGTTTCCATGCCTTAGGCCCAATCTATTACAGAGATGCCGACGGGGTATGCCGGCGCTGCCCTCATGTTGTTTGGCTCATATGAATGTCAGGCACTCCTGGTGTACGATACAACTGACACTGAAAGCTTTGCAAAAGTGAAGAATTGGGTCAAAGAGTTGAGGAAGATGGTTGGACAGGAGATTGTCCTGTGCATTGCAGGGAACAAGATTGATCTGGATAAAGAGAGACAAGTTGAGAAGAGTGAAGCGGAAGAGTATGCAGCTAGCGTTGGAGCATATCACTTTCAGGTTCTCGGTGTTGTTGGTTGTTCTTCACCTCACCGTAGTCGCTCCAGACTTCCGCAAAGCTCGGAAAAGGCATCGAGGAAACATTCCTTGCGCTGGCAAAGAAGATGATCGGTATGTCAACATGAGGCTGTTAACAAAAATGACTGTAAGGTCTTCAGAACAAAGGCAGGAGAACGACTCTAGGCAATCGGCTCGGCGAAGTGGGGGAAATGCGCCGATTCTTGTGGTTGCCGACGACACCTCGAACGGAGGAAGTGGAGCAGCCAGTGGGAGCAAAGCTTGCAACTGTTAGGAGGAGAAAGATATCGCTCCTCACACGCTCTCTCAGACTGTGAGACCAGACAAGTTGGATAGCCAGTCTCTTGATGTTTCAGTACGCCCATTCAAAGTATTTATAGATATCCATCTCATGATAGACCCCAATTCCGATATGATTACATAGTTGTACCCATCAACTCATTTATAACTCTTCCTTTGAGATCGTTTGTTCCTTCACACCAGTGTTACAACCCTTCCGGCATAGGATGATAGACCTTGATCTGGCTTCTTGCCTCATTATCCCGTTGCTGCCCTTTCTTCGTTCCCTTTTCTATTCCTTCCGATCTGTCAGATTTTGCACCCTCTGATCATAAACTCTCACTTGTTGTTGCCTTTCTTCGCTGGACAACCTCGAGAGCAACCATTCCGCCTGGATGTGTCATCGCTCTCTAGCCATCACATCGATCACTTACCGACTGTAGGCAAGCTCTGCCACCTCTTGACCTCGAAGCCAAGTCCAGAAGCCCAGTCCTTTCCGACGGTCTCAGCATTAGACAACAAAAAAGGAAAGGGACCGACCATGACCGTTGCAGCTTCTTCTTCAACACCTGAAACAAGAAATCATTCAAAGATACGATACAAACAGCTCGACCGAAAAGTAGCGGTTCTCCTGCCATTTCGAGGATCTTCTTCATGTACGAGTGCTGCATGGAAATGGGAAGAAAGTGAGAGTCCAAGGTTTGAGATGTCTGCAAGGGAGGGCAATCGAATCACAGCAAGGTTCACCTTTTCACCCCTCACAACTTGGGTGTGCAAGTAATCGAAGACAACCACCGAGCTTGAGAGATAGTGAGACACGTGAGACGGTGAGTTTTTGAGTTCACCCTTGCGCACACTCCGACACAAAGTCCAAAAGCTGGGTGACCTTGTTTTTTGGGAGATAGTAGATCAATCCCTTGCAGAGAATGAATGGAAGAATCAAGTCTGAATAATTAGAAAACCTCCACGATAAAGATGGTTTTCGCATTTTTGTTAAAGCCGCTCTTCGAAAATTCTTTCAGGAGAGTTAAAGAACATCATTTTCTCACCTTCTCTAACTTTTGCAGCCATTGCTCATCGCGGACATCGAGCGGTACAAACGAAACACCTTGTACAGTTTCAAAACTTGAATATTCCTAGCCAGCTCACACCTGACGCGTCCATCCCAGCCGCAGCCTGAAGCAAAGATGGAGAATCTCACAAATTCAAAAAGGAAATGCAGCACTACCAGCGAGTCCAGCTTTGCTCGTTGCGTCACGTTAAAGTCAACCTAGTATGACACTCAATGTTGGTGGCTAGTGAGGTGCTTCTAGTACCTCAAAGAACTTCATCCTCCTACCATGCTTGCCGTACGCCCTCACATCGAATCCGGCGCCGAGTATCACAGCCTGTATGAACGTTGATTGTGCTATGAGCCGGAGAAGCGGAGGAAACCTGCTTTGCACTTTCTTCCTCCAGTACAGCATCGATGAACAAGTTTCTCTGTCGAGATGCCACAATCGGTGACAAGGCAAGGGGTTGAAAGGATTTAGGTTTACTTACCTGTGGAACGAGATCTGGAAAGGTAGCCTCAAGCCCGAGCGAAGCTAAATCACGATTGTGAAAATGACGACCAGAGATTTGCAAGCACAACAGACCTGAATCGCTGTATATCCAGAATCCAGTCAAGATTGCCTGGTTAAAGGATTTTAAGGAGGAATACAGATCATGGTAACGATGAGAGAACAAGACCGGATAAATGTATAACATGTTCGCATGATTTATGGCGCTTGGGGCGAAAGGAGAGAATGGCAAAGAATCGTACAGCCTTGCGGCCTCTTTGTCTTCCCTCACCCCTACATGACAAGACAATCAAAGCCATCCAGCATGCTTTCTCATACCTAGCATATGCATAGCATTCCTTTCTTGTAATATTCGCAATGGAGAATATTTGATTCCTGTTTGACTTCGACTCATCAAAGGATCGGAGGGTAGCAAGCAATACCAGGATATTTCTTGAGAAAGCCACCATATAACAGTGGAGCACTAGAAAGAGCGAGGGGGCAGAACACACTCTGTATCGGAGATGAGTACGAGCATGTCAGACCAACTGGTCCCCTACCTCCAAGATGACGAAAGGAACAAGCTTGGCCCGGTCTGCATGCAAAGCACAGGCACAGCAGACGAGAAATATCTGCAGTGAGAAGATAGATCAGCACTACTGGGAGAGATTGGACAAAAAAGAGGGTGAAAACCAAGAAAACGTAGAACAAAACTGCTCGAAAACAGGCCTGCAAACCTTATAAAACTACTATCACAACTTTGACAGGAACAGCACAACCGTAAGCACGCTTCGACGAAACTTGTTGAAGTCAGGCTGCAGGTTCGTGTACCTTCCAAACTGCATGACGAGTCAACAATTACCCAGCAAGGACGACGCTCTGTCAACATACCATTCTAGGTCGCTAGCACTTTGCTCGAAGATCACAGCCTGCAAACTTGATGCCCTCACACTGACCGGTGCCACGAGTTCACTGAATCCCGAGCTGAGCGCCCGGGCCCCGGCGCCGCCCGGGGCCCCCCGCCGGGCGCGCCTGCGCCGCGCGGCCCGGGGGGGCTCACTGTCCGAGAGCCAGCCCCACCCCCGATCGGCGGCGCTGGGCCCCCGGTCCGGCTCGCGGGACGGCCCGGGCATTGAGAGTGCGGCCGCCCGGCGCGGGCGGCCGGGGTGACGGAGCCGCCGCAAGCCTCCGATTCAGTCATTGTCCTCGTACTGCTTTTTAACTTAACTTTGAGTAAAAGACATTTCCAAGTGTTAGTAGACTTGTACTTGTACTCAGTGCCAAAGTATTTTGCTCAACTGAGTCTGAGTTTAATGAGTCGCGCGGGCAATGCCGACTTGAAAAGAAGAAAGCTGGAGCAGAGAGATCATGAGACAAGGCGAAATATCCGAGAAAGGTTAGTTGGTGAATCTAGAGCGCGAACCCGTTTGCATCAATTGAGGCTTCCGATGTCTTGAATGCTCCGAAATATTTGTCTTGTGACTGGGACATGGAGTTTGATTTGATTCCTCCTGTTGGTGTCTTTTTTCACGATGTCACGGTGCATAAGAAGCATAGATGCGGATTGATCAAGGAAGTCACTTCAGATAAAATGCTTGAAGTACGGTATGTGCTGCCAGCAATCAACAATCCTGGAATTTCCATATACCGGTGCAGCGCCCTCAATCCCAATAGGCAGCAAAGAGACTTTGACGGAAGTGTTTGGGAACATTTCCCAAGCCGACAAGCGAAGATATCGCAGATATCTCGATTCCATGCAACCCAACGATTGTTTTCAGAGCATCTACACGGATATTCTTCCACTGGCTGATGTGGTCGGAATTTTCAAAGTTACATTTCCTTTCTGTTCTGTCCTAAGTTCCATTCAGAGTACTTCAACATTTGCGTGTGATCGGATGGCTTTGTTTTGAAAATGTGAACAGGGACGAGCGACTCCAAATGGGTTTCTTCCAAAAATTTCGTCTGACAGCTGATATGCTGCACTCATATTTTGGACAACCAGGAAATACGATCGATTATTTCAAAACCTCTACAGAGCTTGGGATAATCAGAGACACTCTAAAGCGATGGCTCAATGCTCGTGGAGCTGTTAATTGAAATTCAAGGAAAGCAAGGGGGCTTGACTTCGACATTCATATTCCTGTATTCAACTGCATACTTGCCTTGTTGCAAAAGGTCCCAATTGATGACAAGCTTGTTACGTGTACAGGATCGGACAGTGGGAAACAATTCACTTGGTGCATAGATGCAGAATTGTTGAAGACTGCTTTGTTTCAGAGAGAGCTGCACATCCCTCTCAAAGCGAATCCTTATCATTTAGGACCTGCAAGGGGCACTATCTATCTTGAAGGTCCGCTGTATGTTACACTCGTTTCCAAGCCTAGCTTGAACGTCGATCGGGCTGTAATTAAACTTATGATGAAATTTTCGAGAATCGTGCGATTAGGTTGGACTAATGAAATAATCTGGGAATTCCCAGACCCTTGACTCTTTTGGCGCTTCGTTTTCTCCCATTCTCCCTCCCTTAGTGCTTTGTGGAAGGGGACGGAATGAACAGGGAATGACAAGGGAGAAGGAGAGTGGAGGGGATAGGACAAACGATCATCGGATTCAGAAGGAGAGTAGAGGGGAAAAGACAAACGATACAGATTGAAGCATTGATTGAGTTTATCTTGATTCGCAGTCGATGCCAAAGCCTGAAACAGATGCTCGTTGAAATCTTCCATTAGGTTCGTCAAATTGGAACTATCGGTTTTCAGAATCATGTCATTCAGTAGCTTGACACTAACCTACTTTCGGATGAATCATGCCGCATGCAAGTCATGTAGCATCCGGCCAAGCCTTCGTATAGCATCTGGTTGGATCTGACATCAGTGTGAGACCACCTCGCCAACGTGGTTGTTCTTCATGGACCTTTCAAACTCTCAATGGCGAGATTTCTGTTCAAACTCATTCCCCGCGGCTATGTAAGGCCGATTGACTGAGGACGTCACTGGTTCTAGACTCGGAGGTTCAGGCATAGCAAACTGTGAACTTTCTCTACTTCCTTTTTTTATCGTAATCTAAGGTTGGTCTGTTTGAACTGAGCACACTGAGAGACACAATGAGTAGAATTCTGGACGTGCCACCAAGCGCAACAGCGAGTCGGAGCACGACCGTACTAGGACGCTCGGCGCCCTTTCCAGACGAGGGATGCTTTGAAGAGATCGTTGATATCGAGACTCGCGGCTTCACACCTCAAGCAGGGGTTAGCATATCAGCTTATTACATCGCCACAGCCAGCTTCATACGGTCGAGAATAACAAGGTCTGCACGCAGGGACCCTCTGTCAAGCGGACGAGCCGGATCTAGCTGCATCAGGCCCTGGTTGATCGCCGGTGGCATGCCGCAATATATGGACCTTATGGACCAGATATGGACCTCAGTGACCTGGATGAAGCACGCTTGCACAATTCGATTCCATCTCCAGCTCTCTTCCACCTCGCGGGCGGACCTCCTTTTCCAGTGCACAGTTGATGCAGACTTTCCTCCCTAATCTTGAGCGGCGGGCGCACTTATCCCAGGTTCAGGCAGCTCTTCTCCGGGCTCATGGCAGCTACCGTGACAGTGGAGCTCTATCCCCCCGAATCCGCGCTTGGCGGCCGGATGCTACATGAACGATGGACTCGGATGGTGATGACAAATGATATCGATATTGGAGAAAAGGACTCGACGGTTTGACATTCAGTGTATTCAAGCCTCTCCGGTTGGCTTTATTAGCGGGCCATGAGATCGATAATCTGATCGAGTTTAGTGCTCAAACTCTGATTGATCTCAGATGATACATTTTTAATCTCGGATCTGATTTTCTGATCCCTTTCCTTGATCTCGGATCTCATTGCCTCAATACTTTCCTTCAAGTTCAAGTTTGATTCACTTCCTCGATTGCGGTGAACAAGTTCCGATATGGAGTATGAATCAAGAAGATAGGGACTTCCCAGTTGAACAGCTTACCAAGTTTGTCGTCCTCGGCTGCTTTGACAAGAAATTCTTGTACTTTTTCACAAGAAAAGTCGAAGACGGCCTTGTCTCCATTCAAAAATATCCCTGCCGCGGCGATCTGCGCCTCCTTTCCAATGAAATCGCTCTTGAGAACATGAGATACTCGACTAAGCTGAGAGATCTTTTCGAATAGTTTCTCCGGAGCCTCCGTGATCTCAAAACAAATGTAGTGGTTCGTCCTAACCAGAACGCTTGTGAAAGGGGCAGATCCTCCCGGAGTGACTGATCTCACGTTTCTCCCTGGATCGTCTACAATGTCTTTGAATAACGTGCAGAGATATACGTCTTGATTGAAAGATAACTTGAACACATGTTGCACTTAAGATAGTAGCCTTTCCCTGGAGCAGTTCCTGAGGTCTCTGGAAGGGAGCTGTATTCGAAGCTCGGCGGCATGTTCTCAGCCTTCGGGATTACTGATTGCCAGGCTTTGTTGTAATGCTGGCGGTGCCAGATCGCCGGGCGGAATCGGGACGGGCCTGGCCGCGCCCATGTACGGTGCCACTGATCTGATGATCCACTGAGTCAACTGAGAGGGCCCTCGTCGGACAGCCGCTGGACGCTCACTGCGGCTGCCAGCCTGGCAGTGCCATAATGGCACACTGAGCGCCGGCCGGGCCGCCGGGCCGGCCCGGCACTGGCATACGGTTACAAATCATTAGAAATCTGTAACTGAACTGCAAGTGGGGGAACAGGCCGAGAGTAGGGTGGATGGTACGGTAGGGGTCTGGTCACTGCCACTTTGGTTACCGAGAGCCCCACCCCTGGTACCTACCACCCGTCCTTGTAATAGTCTCACTTTCTCAATTTAGCACCGACTATCCCTGTTGTTGGGTATTTGCATATAGGAGTGTCAGACGAAAGTATGGGTGGGGTGATATACCCCACCCATCCTCATTGCTATTCCATCACCTCTGCAGGGGTAGCAGACTAGTGTCTCTATTGGAAGGATCTTTTTGAGGCTAAAATCCTGGTTTGAAAATACAAGGGGGTCAAATTGGTGTAGGGTGGGTTGTGGGACGGAAAAGGTTCAAGAAGGGGTGAAATTGGGTAGGGTCCTATCGGAGGGGTAGAGAAGGGTAGTGGAACACTCGAGGGTTGATAACGGTTCGTAACGGTGTTGTGTTTGGTTGGGTAGGGTACAGAATGATCGGGGTACTAAATTCCAGGGAAGGGTCCAGCTCAGTTGCCTTGTATCAATTCTGATTGAAGGGTGGGTCCAATCAATGGAAAGAAGGGGTGTGTGCGGAGAAGGGGCAGGTACCCATTCGAAGGGTAGTGTTGTCGAGCCTCAATGGTCAGGTGGGTGGTATCTTGAGTCTCAAGAGGGGGGGGTAGGGTGACAGGCTGGCAGCTGCTTGCGCAGGTATGGCTGGCAATGAAAGGCGAAGCGATATCGATCATGAGCTCGAGGAAGTATTTGAGAGAATGGCAGCCTGAAGATTTTCTTGTTTTGAAGGTTTTGGACTGAAGAGTATCTTGGAGGATGCAATTCCTTTGATCCCTCTCTATTTCAGAGATGAGTAGCAAGAGGCTTGATTGGTGTGTATTAGTCTTGAAATTGCGGACACACTGCCACGCAGTCTCTTGTGAGGTATAGAGAGGCCTTGGGTAGTTTTTGGTGACCGCTGCATTTCATTTCCTGCTGTGTTGGACAAGATTGCTGCCAAGTTGTTGTGATATATTTCCGACCTGTTCAAGTATGTACTGAGTGGGGCTCATCTTTTCGTAATTAACTCTTCAGAAGTCGGATTAGGTTTGAGGAGGGGGCAGGGCACACACGTGTTTGAGTTATGTACAATAATTGTAGTGCAATCTCATTGCGAGAGGTTATGAACGGAGGAATTTCAGTGCAGTATGCTCTTAGTGAATGTGCACTAGAGAATGTGCAATGGACATTGCTGCCTGCTCTTTTTTAAAAATTATTTTGTGGTTTAGATTTGCGTTTTCAAGGTTGAAGGTTCTCACATCGTTCCTTTGGCAGGAAATGGTTGTTCCTAGGAAGGAATAGCATGGATCGGCTATAGCTCCTTTCTAACAATGAACTCCATGACTGAAGTTGTTGCAACAAGCCAGAATCGTGTCCTTCTGGACATGATAGCAGAGCTTACCAGGAATAGAAAAAGCGTTCCTGCCTCGCAAGGGCTCTATGCTCTACGAAGGAGAATTAACAATCTATCTACGAATGGTCGAAGGCTCCTGAAGCTGACCAGTGAGCAGGTATGCGTTGACTCTATGCTCAATTTCGTTTGGAATATGATGTGTTTTTCATTTTCAGGTCGTATGGCAAGATGGTTGCTTCAGCGTTAGCACTGAAGCCAAATGGGATGAAACACGTTGCGGGCGAGATATTGTCCTTTCTAACAACAACACCACTGTAACGAGAAGCAATGGTAACGAATGGGGAGGTGTACTTGGAGCTCAGTTGTATACGTCTGGAAATCATTCTTTCACATTTCATATCAACAAATGTCAAACAGACTACGTCTACATTGGAGTTGCATACGACAATGTGGACCTAAACGATAATTACAATGCTAGAAATATAGTGCTGAGAGCGGGCGATGGCTCGTTTCGTGTGTTCTCTGCATCTCAGGGTTGTTACGGTGGATTTCGTACAGGAGACAATATAAGTGAGCCGATGTTCTGTATTGATGAACTGAAACTGATTTTTTCTCAGGGGTTGAAGTCGATATGAATGACAAGGTGGTAACATTCTACAAAAATGATGTCCGATTATGTCAAGCAACGGGGATTACAGCATCGCTACGTCCATTCGTTAGTATCGGGGCCAGAGATGTTGTTATTACCATGAAGACTCAAGATCCAAAGCTGGCATTAGAAGTCTCTGAAACTCAGCCGCGGTCCCCTATGATTGACATAGCGGTTCGTACTGGACTTGAATTGATCTTCGCGATTTTGCTCAAAGAGGAGAACAAGATTATTCGTGCACGTCTATTGCGTTCTGCATTGAGTGCGTTACAATCTTTACCCCCCCTATCATTTTACTGTGAGGTTAGTATTATCTCTCACAGTTGTTTGTCTGGTGTTAAGTTTGCCATTAGGCATCTGGGCTGAAGGAAGAAGCGCTGTGTTCTGCAGCTGACTTTTTGAAGAGTATCTCTACATCGGATGTAGAAGCAGACCAGCAGGTATTCATGCATTCTGTTGACTTCAATGCGAAGTGAACCATCTTCAGGAGAGGCAAATTGCAGCCATGGTGCTTCTGGAACTAGCAGTCGCGAGGGGCTTGTTGAGTTTCACCCTTTCGATCATGGTTCATTTAATGGTGACATGACGTTCTTTTCTTTTTTGAAACTAATTCTTCTGATCGTGCAGGAGCACAATGTTATTCTTGATGCTTCCGTGTTTCCAACCCTCAGGAGGCTTGGTAACATTGACTCAATCTCAGATCCAAAGCTGCGCTCCCTTTTTTCAGAATCTCTTGGAAGCAAACAGGGAGCTAACAATGCAAGTACAATGCCGAGACAAAATGACAGTCAGAACGAATCCTCCAATGACTTGACTCCAAGTACGCAGCAAGGATCTGAGAACGACAGAGTCGTTTCGCCTGATGATAGTAACAAAGACGAAGGGAATGTCTTCCACAAGAGTCTTAAGATCAGTGGTGATGCTCAAGATGCGAGATTGATTGCAGAAGCAGCAGAGCAGGAGGTGGGGAAGGATCCAACCTGTGGAGTCTTGTACAGCGTGATAATACTTGCTCAACTTGAGCATGCTGCTAAACGACTGAAGTCAAGTAATGCTGTCCTGGCACCGTGCAGTGTTGATGCAAGTCCTCGCACTTTACGGCAGTTGCATTCTCTCATATCCAGCCATTCGTCCATTATTGATCACCTCAAAGATGCCGAAGATTGCAATGTTTGGAGTTGTTACGTGCTTCTTGCGCTTGTCCGATTGTTGGCTTTAAATCTTCGTCAGATTCAACGACATCCGAACATGTCAGAATTAGAACCAGATCTTTTGGCTTCTCTTAGGGCTTTGTTGCTCAAACTTGTTGCTGGAAGTGCCAAGACGAGTGCTGAAGGGCAGATAGCTTACACCAGCATTCAAGAAGAAGCTGTTGCTGCTCTACGTGCTGGAACTCCCGTTTTGTTCAGTGATCCGGTAGAATTGGTTGGCCTTCTTGAAATCATGCTTCCAAAGCACTGCGAGGAGAAAGCAAGTCAAACGGAAGAACAATTTCTTGTGATGCTGCTTTCATACATAGCAAAACCGCCCGTAATTTGGCGTGTACTTCAATTGGATAATTCTATTCAAACGGTAAGTTCGTCTATTCTCTATCCTTTCTATATTGATATGTTGAATAGGATGCCGATGCTGGGTCAAAGAAAGAGATTTCTGTGCACGACAGTGCTTGTTTACGGTTTTTTGAGTGTCTTCTTAACTCTACGATGCATTACCTGAAGACGTCTCTGAATAGTGGGAGGGACCCAAAAGATCCTCCAAGGACGAATGAAGTAATTCCCACAGCATGCGGAGAGGTGCTGCAAGTCGCATGGAGGTTACAACATGTTCATTGGAGTAATTTGTTAGCAAGTGAGGATTCCAAGGCCCTTGCACTTTGTTCTCAAATGGCAGTTTCGGCTTTGCAGCATGTTGTGCATGTCATCGATCTGACAAAGCGCTTCATCGAAGTCGAAAGAGGAGATTGCAATGTTGCTGTCATGATTCTGGAACAATCCGCGGTGTATAAGTTCCTTCCAGAAATTTTGGCAGGAATTAGTTCAATGCCTCCGCATGAGAAGATCCTTGCATGTCTGAACAGCTTGCTTGCTGGCCTTGATTCACTGTCCCCAAAGCTACCGGGAGTTGTATTGAATGCGTTGGACCCTGTAACACCTGCAGACCTTCGCCGACAACACGAGCTTGCAATACAAAGGCTCTCCACGCAGCAAGTCATCAAACAGCAAATCGTCAACGCTAATTTGAATAGCAACGAGGAAAGCAGAGGGGAAAATGCAGCCGACAAAGTGGACCGAGAGGTTGTTGCAATACAAGGTGCATCATATCTTCTAGTTGAACTTGATATCTCGGCCTGCAAACTCGGCTCATCCGGGCAACTGACAATCGAAGATGGGCTTGGTCATGTGCTTGCTGGTAGACTCATGGGTTCTTATGAAGGAAGCGAGAACTCGATCCTTCCGATCATTGTGCCAGGCGAAACAGCCGTCTTCAATTTTTCCCCTCGCGACTTTTTCAAATTTTCTGCTGAATCAAGCGAAAGTGAGCAAGTTGCGTATAAGGCTATTGTGACAGGTTATTTTGCGCCTTCATTTTCAGTTGAGTGCATCGAAGCACATGTCGTTCACCCTTGCAATTCAAATGAAACTTCTTCACCACTTGCACTGCCGGATACAACCATTGTTTCACAGATTTCTTTTGATCCAGAGAGTTGCTTAAAGCCTTCATCATGCGTTGCCCTCACACTTGGAGGTCATCTTCAGGTGTTTACTGGTGAAAATGATTCTTCGTCGAAACAGGTGAACGAGGCTGCAGAATTTCTACAATCTATGGACACGTCTATTACCTCATCAGAGATGTTCAAGGATCAACTGAAGAGTTGCCCTCTTCTGCCTTTCCCATCATTTCCGCTCTTAACTGTCGACCCCAATATACGGTTTGATCACGTAGATGCCAGTTCTCGATCTGAAACTGTGAACGATTCCTTGGTGGCGAAGGGTCCTGTGAATTCTCTTGCGAACGGCAAATATGGGTGGAAAGCGTTCGTATGCAGTGTCAGTGTTCCGCGTGATGCGGACGCTCATTGGATGATGGAAATTTTGCGGCTGACTGCTTGTGTAAGTGCACAGCTGTCTGGAGCTATGGTATCTGGCTTACAGGGCAGTGAAATTGAGACAACTTGCAAGAAATGGATTACGTCAGACCTTTTGCGTGGAGGACGCCTGGAAGATCTTGAGCTCGAGAATGTCACGAAGGATTTTGTTGACAAACCACTGAGGCTTCCAGGACGACCGCATCCTCTGCGTCAAAGCCCGATCCTGGACAAAGTGGAGAGTTCCGCTGCTTTGGCTATGTTGCATCATGTTGGCTTGCTCAGCCTCGTGAAACAGAATATCGACGCAGATGGAAACGTCAATATGGATGAGGAAGAGCACGTAGCAGTTCTCAGAAAGATAGCAATGGCTGCCGGTAATCTGCGCCGGTCTTTGATGCAACAGCGAGATCAGCAGTTGGCCGATCCAGAAAGGAATGTGGATAGTGAGAACAAAGAGTCACCAGCTGCTGCTACCAACAGTGTGCTGAATTATGACGCATTATGCCTTCCAGTTATGGAAAGGGCAGAGTGCCTTCTACGATTTGTCCCAGCGCTGGGAAAAAGGCAAGTAGGACAGGCATGCTCAGAATCATTGGCACACGCAGAGGAGATGAATTTGAATCATGATGATCAGACTGATGTGTCTCCAACCAAGAAGTGGCAACAGGCTGCTCTGAGGATCATTGGTAGTAACGGGGCCTCAAGCCTCGCAAACAAAGATAGTGAAATCTCAAATTCACATGATGCTGGTACATCCATCGATGTTTCAGCTCCTAGTTCATCCAGTGAAGAATTAACAGAAGACATGTCCGGTGGCAAAGCAGAGACAGAGCAGCAGAGCGGTTGGAGCTACGTCATCCCTCTTATCAGGGTTCATCGTGCGTACTGGAGAGTCAAGCAAAGAGTAAAACAGCGGGAGGACAATATCATTGATTTAGTATCGAAGTTCCTTCTGTCAGAGGTATCTGATGTGAGAGGCTCTTATTCATTCTATTCTGAACAAACTTGATCAGTTTGTACCCGGATCTATGGAACCAGTCCTTGTCGGACGAGATGAAAGGCAAGATGTACTTTTCACACCAAAAAGTTTATTGACTTTTGTTCCTGCAGAGCCAACGAGATTGAGAATGGTTTGCGGTTTCTTGCAGAAATGCTGGAGCACTTGAAAGTCCGTGTGGTTCGCGCTGAAATCTTACAAGCTCTTTTCAACTCGAATTGGAGCGTTCGCCATTACTTGAGTGATATTTCAGCCGGCAGTGCTTTGAAGATTGGAAGAGTCCGGGCACTATTTAACAAAGTCTGCCGACTTTTAGTGGATATTTTGAAGGATCCTTCCTCCAGTTGTCAATTGAAGGGATTTGCAGCAAGGTAAGGGCTATACCTTCTGAGTTCTTCGTTTTTATACCTCTCGATCTTGTTTTCACCTCTTTCCCAAAATGTTTCTATTCTGCATAGTTTCTCTGACTGTGCTTGGCAGTTCGCTGGTTATGTTGTACGAAGCGCCGGATCTTACGTACTTGAATATGATTGGTCTGCCCAACGTGCTCCGAGAGTTTGTAGATACTAATGGTGCTTCCTTGCACCTCTCAACAACTATTAACAATTCCGACTCTTGCTTTTCTGGTCCAACGATGCAATGCTCAGGCGGTATCACAATAAGGAGAATGAATTCTCCTGTTGGCAGCTTGTGGTTTGGAGTAAGTGACAAACGAACAAACTCTGCGGATCGACAAAATCGGCCAGGCCATCTCTCTACAGCCAAAGAGATGTCGTTAAGGTTGGCAGTACACCAGGGTGTATTGAGAGGGGCTGGTATAGATTCACACGGAGCTTTCACGATCGAAGGAATTATGCAAGACCCTAAAACCGTTGAATTTGAATCTTCGCACTCCGGGGGACGACGTACAACATGTGCGGTCGAAGTCGCAGGAAGAACTATGCAGGGGAAATGGACAAGAGGACCGAATTCAGGAACTTTGACACTGCACCGTACACATAGGATTCCAGTAGAACCGTCCTATTTCAGCAGAGTCAACACAAATTTTATCAGATTTGAGGGCCGTGCTGTGGTTTTCACGGGCACCAATCAAATTGGTGTAGTCCAAGCTGCGAAGCCGCTCACGAAGGAAAACTCGTATTTTGAAGTGCAAGTAAGTGAATCCAATCCTTTGAAGTGTGAAAAGCTTATTTTGGGCTTGCGATAGGTTTTGGACAGGGGAAAGGACTGCGCCATTGCTGTTGGGGTTGCTCACCGCGACTACCCACTGGATCAAATGCCGGGTTGGCGAAATGGCTCGATCGCCTATCACATGGACGATGGAAAATTGTTTTTTCAACGTGGCCAGGTGAATACTTCCAATTTCTGAGCATAGTGCATTTTGATATGTTGTTTGTGTCAGGGTTCTCGATTTGGAGACAAATGTGGTCAAGGCGATATTGTGGGGTGTGGTATTGAGCTTTCAGAGGACGGAAAGCGTGTTGCGAGTGTCTACTGGACACGCAACGGTGAATTAGCAGGGCGAGAACAGTGCGCTAGTGTCCTCCTGCTACCTCTTTATGCATCGGTTGCCTTGCATAGTGAAGGAGAAAGTGTTTTCATTTTTGAAGCACCGCCACCTCCATCGCTGACTAGTGCGATTCATGGACTTGTGAACGCTGCTGGAAACTCTGTGAGACTGGGAACAGATCGAGGATTCACTCACCTTTACTACTGCGGACAACGACAAGGAAATTCACGGGGTTCGGGATCGCAAGACTCGGTTTGTGGCCCATCAGGTGGTTCACAATGTGCTGCCTGTGAAGCTCTACAGGAATCGATCGCGAATAGAGACATGTCGGAGGCAAGCAACTTGCCCGGCGAGGATGAGAAAACAACCTACGATTCCCTCGGAGAAGGCGATTTTTATTCGTCTTTGTCTAGCAGATCTTCGCCCTCAGATGCGGAGATGAAGCAGCTTGTCGCTAGGGAGTCGGTGTGGAGACTGCTACGTATCCTACTTCTTCAGATTTCTGACAACATGACGAACCTCACAAATGGACAAATATGTGAAGCCCAACGCAGCTTGTGGGGCACTCTGCTTGCGGCAATGCAACAGCTCTCAGCACGAGTCGAGCTGAACAGTCCTGCAGTGCTTCTTGACTGTGGAAGGGCCGCTGTTGTTGGAAGTAGATGCGTGGAATCAGTGACTGCTTCAAGCTCCGGGGACCAGGTTCCAAACTTACTGTTGCCAGATATGACCTCATCTTGGACCAGCGGAACCGATGGTGAACATTGGGTGCAAATTGTTGCTAGAAATGAAGTCTGTCTCTCTCGCATGGGCGTTTACATACATCCTGATGACGGTGCAATGATGCCCCGAGAAATTCGAATACTTGCAGGGGAAAATGAGGGTTGTTTGCGTGCTATTCAGGTCGTTGAAGTTGACCCACGTGAACTGAATCAGGGTCCAAACGAAGTTGTTGTGCTGCAGGGGTCTGATGAAAACTTGAATGTCGTGCGCTTGTGCCTAACAAGCAACGGTCCGAATGTCCGTTTACGGGGGATTTCTGTCCGAGGATTTATGTTTGGAGATCCAAATGTTATTGGACGGGGCGAAATGGAAGAGGCCTGCATATTCAAACGTGTGGAAGTGTCAACCGGCAAAAGCGCAAAGAAGTTTCTAACTGATGGAAGGAACGATACTTTCTGGCAATCAGATGGCAGATCGGGCCAGCATTGGATTCGATTGCATGTAGAACCCGACGCGGTAATCACTGGCCTTTCGATTCAAGTCAGCGCCAGTGATGGCAATTATTGTCCAAGTCTAGTAGACGTATTTGTTGGAGAAGTAGCGTCCAATTTGAAGAAGATCAGAACTTGCAACCTGACACCCACAGGGAATCAGAGATGTGTTCTCCTTGACAAGGTCAACTTGATGCATCGCATTGTTCAAGTGAACATCCGTGAAAACAATGGCGGGTGTGACTGCAAAGTGAGAGGAATATTCTTAACCGGCCACTTTGCTCCTACTAAGAGGCCAGGCCTGGATGTTGGAAATACTGGGCAAGTTCTGCGCGATCTTTTGTCGACAGCATATGCCACAAGCAAAGCCAGGGTGGTTGGTATCAACCCAGTACAAAGTCGAGAGTGGATTCGTATGTTGACCAAACTGATGCAGCTACCTGTCTTTGGTGAAGCAACAAGGATTCGTGCCACCACTCTGCTCCACAAGCTTTGTGTTTCTTGGGCCAACATGGAGGGAACCTTATCTTTAGATGAGGAGCTTCAAGAGGATGTGATTCACGCAATTTTGGATACTTTGTCGCACACATCAGAGATTTGTGCATCGATGGAGCCATTGTCGCCTACTCACCTTTCTCCTCTTCCGGATTTACATTCTCTTCTTTGCAAGGTTGCCGTGGATTTGATTGCAACACCAGCATGGATGCCAATCATGCAGCCTTCGATTAAAGAGTCATTGACGTATCTCCTCGACATGTACAGCCCGAAGCAAAAAGACACGTTTGTGAAATATGACTTCATGGAGGTTTGGTGGAGCTCTAGCAACGATTATGAGGCTACAGCCCTCCAAGGCCACGAATTTTTCCGGCCTACGAGTGGGTGTAAGCCTCGTGTGGTATTATTTTCTGCAAGTGCTCCGGAGCCTATGAGAATGCTACTGAATCTCAGTGGCCTCGGAAACGACACATCTCAGTCATCATCTTTTCATATTGAGTCGTTTGATGTTGAGGTCTCTGGGAAAGAGAATGATTCTTCAAAGCCCACAGTCTCCGGGGTGTACGTATGGCTAAGGCCTCTTTCCACGCCTGGTCGCCCGCAGATGGGATCCTCGAGGTACCTGATGTTCGACTTGATCAAGAAGAGTAGAAGAGGCAGTATCGGAAGGAATGGAGGCAATGTAGGTGGAGTCATCCTTGCTCAGAGCCTGGAGCACCTCCTACAACTCATGAAAGGAGAAAACATCTCCAGTTCAGAAGCAGACATGGGATCTGGCAGTACTACCATTCCAACAGACATTCCATGGTTTGTTAGGCTAGGCAAATTGACTGACAAGGGACCTGTCTTATTGTCAACGAATTGGACTATGCTGGCGGGATGCAAAGATGCTGGGAACAATCAGTCTTCTCCGCCCGTCAATCACATCCTGCCCTCGCCAGTTCCGACTGCGCTGCCTGCAGTTTTGCTGGCAGAAGGCATTGCACAGCGAAGTCAATTGTCGGATGTCGCATGTGAATTGTTTCCGTCGCTTTTACAAGTTTTGACAGTCATCTCACAACCAGATCCATCAGAGCCAGCACGTCCGCATGGGCTCCGTGTGTTGCACTCACGGCTTGTTCGTGCCGCTTACTTGTTCTTACAAATCCCTTTGTGCATGGAAATCCTCCTCCTCGAACAGGGAGAGCCACTCAGAGACATCTTGCTTCTGCTCGCCTCGCAGGATGTCAATGCTCCCTTGGTCTTAGCGCTGGACGACTTGTTGTCCAAGTCATCATTCTTGTGCCAACGCCTTGGACCTGATGCGCATCTCCACACCCTATCTCTTCCAAGGAGCATTGTTGGTTCCCTGAGTGTTCCCCGGCTCGCCTTGTCTTGGGGTGGAAAATCAGCTGTTGAGAGTTCGATCGAGACGATAGATACTGAGCCAGTTGAAGCCAAGTCACAGAGCCAGCTCCTGACGTGGACATCACAGTCAAGAGTAATTCAGGAGAACGAGGGAGATGATGAAGAACGAAGGGTGGAGGACATGGTTGCCTGCATGTTTGCCAATGCGGCAACTGAAGAGCATCTACTGCTTCCAACAAGTCGTCGTGAGCCTGACAAGTCGAAGCCGCCATCACATACCTGGAGCAAGAAGATGAGCCGCTACCGGACTCCTCGACTGCTTACTGAAATAGCGACGACTGAAGATGCCATTGCAATTTATTACGCTCGTTTGGCATTATTGACGATACTACATGCAGCTCCTACTGGATCACTGCCATTGACTGTAGAGAATCTCGCGACAATTTTACGTCGTTTGTTTCGAACGGTCAAGCCAGACTTGTCTTCGCAGTCTTGGAGACAGAGCATGCGCAAAGTTTTGGACAATGCCCTGACTGCATCCGACGAGGAGCGACCGAATGTGAGCAAGGTCCTGGGGCTTTCAAAGCATTGCAGCTGGCTACTAACTTCGTTGTCCAACAAAGTGAACACTGAGAAGGACAGAGCAACTCAGTTGACTCCACCGCCGGTTACTCCGACTGCTGCCCCGAGCTCGTCCTTGAAGGTGATGCGTATCAGCCTTGAGAGCAGACACGGGTATGCGCCCAACACTCATCTGGCGATAAGACTGCGAGCTCATGGGGCCTCTGCATTGAGAGTCTCGCTGGATCCTCGGTGTTGTTCCAAGCGAGACCGGGACAAGCTCACTTTGTATTCCGATGCTCAACTGAAACAGCAGTTGGCGTGTTACCATGGCCCTTCTGGTGCAGGAAACTGGGCTCCGCCTCCTGATATTCAAGGAAACAGCCTTGTGGTAATATTCGAGAGCGATGGCGGCCATGGAGAATGGGGCTTTAGAATTTACATCCAACCTCTCGATGCTGAGATGAGGGCCATCTCTGTCCCGTCGTTCCTTTTTGAATCTGTTCCTGCATACTCTCAGAATCTCAGAGGAAAGCATGATGTCACACTATACGCTGACAACCCTGACATGGGTGATAGCAGTATCAAAGTGATGTTTGACAAAGAATTCTGCTCTGCTCAACCAAACTCGACTGATTCTGGAAGGCTCAAAATCATATCATCGAGAGGAAAACACTTGTTTCAGTCATCTTCTCCATGGGAAGCGATGGACATCCCAAGAGCGTCCAAGTTCACTATCGATGTCAAAGGCCCAGCAACAAATCGGCTAGTGTTTCGATTCTTTTCATCTTTACAGAGCGGTGACAGTCAAGAAGATGGGGTGGAAACGCTTTCGTTGACTCCAGAGGGCCTGAAAACAAACGGAGAAGATGGTATCAGTGCAGGAGTTGCTGACTTCGATTTCATTTGCTGGTTGATGAATGCGTTGTCATCTCCCAGCAGCGGACTACTCTGGAAGTGCAAACTGAACTCAGACGACTTGCAACGAGAGATCAAGAATCTGATTGAAGCTGGTCTCGTGGCCATTGAGCATGTTGCAGGTGTGCACGAGCAGGCCAAAGTGAACCCGTTGCATTGATTGTTGTGCTGCAGGTTCTTCACGACCGGGACTTCTTAGAAGCATCGCTTCCGCGGCTCGCGGCCTGAGGAGAGACTCTCAGGGATTGTCGGAATCAGCGCTTTCCATCGTTCGAGTGCTTCGGGAGGCAGCAATCCACCAACATGCCGTAGAGTTACCGCAGGTGTGACACTTTGCGGTTGCATGTCTGATCCCCTTAACCTTCTTGCGGTAGGTCGGGTCTCAAAGGGCACAGTTCTCTCCGGGGCTTCAGGTATGATCGTTGGGTCTGAGGAGTTGAGCTGCTTCTGACTTGGCATCTCAGGCCCTTGTGGAGGTGGTTGCTGTGCTCGACCAAGGGACTTCGATAGATCTCTCTTCCATGTCTCGCAAGGAGTTGATCAGAGCGATTGAAGCTGTAGATGGACCTCCTGGAACTGCACTTTGCAAGGCTGTTCTTGAAGGGAACGAGGAACAAGTGCGCTGGTGTCTCTGCCGAGGTGCTCGTGCTGACGCGGTAAGTTGTCAAATGATTCATTTACACCCTCCTGACGACGATCTCAGCCCTGTACCGAGCGTCTTGTCTCGTCGTTTCCCGTGCCACACTACGCAATTCACTACGCAGTTTATGCTGGGCGGGATGATTTGGTCAAGCTTTTGTTCTCTAAGCATGCAGACTTGCACAGCATAGATGGAAGTGAGAATCAGCCGCTCGCGTGGGCAGCTTCGCGTGGAATGAAATCCACAGTTGAGGTTCTCCTGCAACTTGGAGCGGACTGCAGACATCGCAACAGTGCTGGAAAGACTGCTCTTGACCTGGCGACCCAGGCACAGTCTTCCTCGGCTTCCGACGACTCTCAGCACACTGCGTTCCAGAAGCCTGACTTGAAAGGAGTCATTCAGGTCTTGCAGAAGCACGGGGCGAACTGTGTACCTTTGTCCATCCAAGGGTTGGTGCTCTGCGTGGAAGCTGGACATGGGATGCCGAGTGTTGATGGCCCCCAAGTTCTTCGAGGAATTCATCTCTATCCGATCGAACGAACCACTCGAGCAACAGAGTGGCGATGCGATGGTTGCACTTCGCAGGGTCAGGTAGATAGTTGACTTGCTGTCAAGCTAGAATTTCTTGACGTGACATCATGACAGGGAGCACGTTATCGCTCTACCGGACAAGGTTGCGACTTTGACCTCTGTCAAGCTTGTTGGGATGCTGCCTGCCGATTTCGCTGGGACGATGTTCGAGAAACGCAGCTGAGCACCGAGTCTGGTTCGCAAACCAGCCAACGAATGTATCATACCATCCAGGCTGTGGCCTCTCACGGTTACAACCCTCTACCCGAAAGCTGGCGTCATGACAACTGGCTGCCCTCTGATGCACGGTGCAAGAATGACGGCAGGTGTGGATTCCCTTACCTTCATTTGGATGGAAATTCCGTGTTGCGCACACGAAGCCCCTGCAGGTTGTTGAGCCTTGAATGGTTGTTCCCGTCCTTCTGACTGTATGTTTGTGTTGGCAGGGTGGGAACCATTTTTCTGGTGCTGCGTCTTGGATCAGAAGCTCTCGGTGTGCCGCCGCATCTCAGACATGACGTTCAGTGCATCATGGATGTTGGACCAACCAGGCTGTTGCCATGGGAGAGTAGATCGCTGAATACCACAAACACCATGAGCGACTCAGCTTCTTCTAATCGCACCAATACCTCGTTTGCCAACCCGACAAACCCGAGAGGTTCAGGCACGCCCGCTAGAACTGCAGGTAAATCCTGAAATTTTTCCTTTTGCCCTATCTGACTTGGTTCTCAAAGAAGCAACAAATTCCACGACGCGAAGCAGCAATCCAGCGGCTTCTACGACATCATCGTCAGCTGCGCCGTCCACCAGCACGCCACAACGTGCATGGACACCTTCGCGTTCTACGGCATCGTCGACTGCCACGGTGCATCCAGCGGATAGGAATGGTTCGCAGAGAAACTCCTCGAGGCGTTGCAATCCAATCATGGCTACATCGAACTCTTCAGCCGGCAACACCAGCAGTAGTCAGACAGCAGCTTCATCCCCGGTTCCGGACTCTCTCCGTACCAGTGCTGGCTCATTTTCTCCCGCCAGCCGGCGACAGCCGACTTGTGAAGAGTCGAGCACCCAGTCTGGTGCTGCCACTGAAAACGCTGCAGAAGAAACAGCCAATACTCGCAACACCCAGTCGCCTTCAAACGGGAGCGCGAGCGAGAGCGAGAGTTCTCAGCGGTTCCCTTCCGCCACCAACGAAGCCACAGACTTCGTGGAGGGCGCATTTCTGATGGCCACGACGAGTTACTCTTCTGCTGTGGGCTCGGCCTGGAGTAAGGTCTGGCGGTTGTCCGGATCCCATGAAACAGCGCAAGTGGTCGATGAGAAGGAGGGGATGACTGGCCTGTTTGATGGCACTTGGCAAGTAGTGGCCCTCCAAGCTGAGACGGCTCCCCTCGAGCATCTCCACCTCATGGGGTCTCGACGTGGAAGCAACAAATGTCGTGGCGACATTGCAGAAGTTTTGGTGTACGATCACTGCTTGAATGAAGAGGAGGTGGGGAAGGTTTTCGCTCACTTGAAGACCAAGTACTGTATTCAGAGTGCTGAAGCGGATTCTGCAAGCGAAGACAAAGTTCCAAAGGAGCTTCTCGTCAGGAGGATCAAAGATATCCATGCGTCCACACCTATCGGTTCTCGCCTCGACATCCCTAAGTGGCTCGACAGATACATCAAGTGCTTTCAGGTGGTCGACACATTGATCAAGAATGCCGCTTTACCACGATGGTTCACCTCAGAAATCGAGCCTAGAAGCAGCGAACCTTGTTCTCCATGTGCCACGATCTGTGGATCGGTGAACACCGTACAGTCTATCGAGGCCTTGTTTGATCCAGCAAGATGCGGCTCTCACGCGACCTTGGACGCAAACCGTACGAAAGTAGAGTTCTCTGGTATGGCTACCGCGCTGATAACTGCTCCTGTCCCTCCGGAAGGCGTTCATGTGATGGAGTTCGATGTGCACGGACGTGATCAGTGTCTTGTGGGCATCGCCACTCCCGATGTGGACTTGGAGACGTATCTTGGACATCGTCGTGGAGGATATGGCTTCTTCGCTGGAGAGGGAACCCTCAAGGTCGACGGGGACTGGAAGGGGGGGCATGGGCTTTGCAAGTTCAAACGAGGTGACAGGGTTGGAGTACACGTGGACATGACTCGGAGGACTCTGCAGTTCTCGATCTCCAAGTGGACCACCGACACTGCCACAGGACAAGGCAAGTGGAGCAGCAAGATGCTCGAGAGGATCGTGGAGGGACTCCCATCCGTCGTTCACTTTGCGGTCGGTGGAGCAGCAGGAGGTGAGCTGAGCATCGCAGGAGGAAGTGCCAGCGCCAGTGCGGGAGAGGAGCGGATCGCCATGATCGACATGTACGTAGACGGCGGTTACGACAACCCCAACTGGCCCAGTGAGCTGGATGAGCAGCTAGTGGAGTTCTTGAACGAGAAAGCATCTGAACGCCGGAAACACCCCCGGAACATCCGGTCGTCCTCCATCGTCGGCGACTCCGAAGCACACATCATACTGGCTGACGAGAACAATGGTACGAATGGACCAGAATCTGCGCCTCAACCGAGTCCAGTTGAGACCATGGAGGAAGAGTTTGTGCCGGCGTCCAGCTCTCCACAAGTAGAGGCTGCCGAACCCGCAGAAGCTGGAGTGGAAGCGAGAGAACCTGAAGAGCCTGAGGTTCAGCGTGCGGTACAAGTTCGAGGCGAGGCCGAAGCCATGCCGCATGCGTCCGAGAACGTTTCTGACGACGGAAGTGAATACGGGGAGAAGGAGATGCGTGATTATGTCAGGTTTCAGCGATCGCAATCCAACTCCTTGGGTGGAATCCGCTCTGTCTCAGCTGTGCGGGCAAGGTTTGTCGTGTTGAAGAAGTTGGAGTCCTTGGTAGCTGTCTCCCTGCCACTCGTGGACCTACGGACGGCGTATGACCCTGACTCAGCTGCTGGTCGCCTAGTGCGTATCAAAGGCAGACTGTTTGAAGCAACAAAGACTCACTTGTGGGATGCGGCGATTCGTCTCACTCAGGATCGTAGAGAAGAAATCCCATCAGTCACTTTGTACCGAGGCGCTGCCGCACAGCACAGGAAGAAATCAGGGTTGCAAGACACCAAAGGTACTGTTTTCGGCCAATTGTTTGCAGCGCTGGAGGACTTGCCTCTACTTAGAGCAAAGAGCAAAGGCAAAGGAATGATGGCATGGCAAGTTTCATTCGTCGGAGAAGGTGGTGACGATTATGGTGGTTTGTTCCGAGAATCTATAAGAGAACTTGCCGCCGATCTGCAGAGCCCTGCTACTCCGGTATGACATCACTGAATCTCTTGCGACCCTAACTTTCCTCGCAACAGCTCTTCATCCCTTCTCCCAACGGCCGGTTCAACATCGGGTTTCACAGGGACACATTCGTTCCCAACCCCACGTGCACCTCAGCGGTGCCGATGCGTCAGTACACCTTCATCGGCAAGATCATGGGGGCTGGGATTCGAACGAACAATCCGCTTGGTCTGGACTTCCCGCCCCTCATATGGCGTCGTTTCCTACAAGAGCCGGTATGCTCCGAGAGGGGAGCATTGCGGTCCTGTGACATGCTAGTCCAGGTCTCTGTCCAGGATCTCTCCGGTGTGGACGAAAGATTCGTGCGTGCCATAGAAGCGATTCGGACGCACCCTTGTGCTGACACTTGGACGGGTAACTTTGGTAGGAGCCTGTACCTGATCTGACTCTAGTGCAGAGCTCGGGTTCAGCCCCGTTGCTGCTGTAGTTGGCGGCAGTGCAGCTAACAACTCAACGCTGGAGGACTCGAGCTTCAACTATGTCGGGCTCGTGTGGACCGTACGCTCGATCTCAGGGAAAGTGTTCGAGCTAGTGAAGGGCGGCTCCACCCGGCCCGTGCTGTACTCGGAGAGAGAGCAGTATGCAAAGGAGGCAACTTCGTTCAGGTTGCAGGAGTTTGACAAGGCGATCGACGCGATGAGAGAGGTCGGTGAAAGAGTCTCGTTGGATTTGACTGACGGAGAACTTCAGGGACTTGGGCAGAACGTTCCCTTGCTGATGCTGCCGCTCCTGACGTATCGGGAGCTCATGGTCCGAGTCTGCGGAGAGGTCAGTGTAGAGCTGGTTGACGGCTGGACCGACTGACCCGCTCTACAGGTCACAGTCGATCTTGACATCCTCAAGTCGATCGTCAAGAACAAGCTCGACGCCTCTGATGCGGAGACGGTCATGGGATGGATCTGGAGCACCTTAGAGGAGTTCAGCAACGAGGAGCGCAAGCAGTTTCTTGGTTTTGTCTGGGGGCGCGAGAGGCTACCAAGAGATACAAGTGGGCTGCAGCTGGAGGTTCGAACTCAGGTGAGACAGAGAGCAGTTGAACTTGAGGTCGCCGTTCTTATTGCGTTCAAAGGCGAGCCATGGGGACGGACACTTGCCGTCTAGCCATACCTGCTTCAATGCCCTTGATATCCCGAGATACAGCTCTATGCAGGTCTGAAGAAGAAAAGAGCAGAGGATTGTGTGAAAGAGAAGCTGAACTGAGGAGAAGGAGAGTGCAAGTATTTGACGTGCCTCGACAGGTGTTGAGAGACAAGCTCAGATACGCCATCGCTCATTGCAAAGCCATTGACACTGACTTTGCCGCGGTAACTTGAATGTGCGTTGCAAGATTCCAACTCTGACATCCTTCTCAGCGAGGAACCATTGGTGAGGAAGTTGACGAAGATGAAGAGTTGATCACGTCCGATTCGGCGATTCCTGAAGAACATCTCGAAGAGAACGATTCAACATCAGAAACTGTCGAGCCGAGCTCTGAAGCAGAACAGTGTAGGGTATCGTAGGCCGACTCAGCCGCTCAGTGAAGTATATGAACTTCGGAAATGTAATTTGTAATGTACTGCCTGAACGCAAAGTTCACGGTTTGCCGCGCCGTGACTTCGCCGGGACCCGAGTCCGAGGCCCCCGGTCGTCACCGACGGTGGCACCAGTTGAACTCGCCCGATTCAACGGCGTGACGACTGTGAGCCCGACGGTCCTCTGGAAAGTCCCGGCCCGGCAGACTCATCTGAGTAGTGCGGCTGACCACTCAGCCGGCCCGGGCCAGATTGACCCGGCGGCCCCGGCCGATCCGGCGCTCGGCCCGATGATTGTCTCACAGTGACTGGTCGCACCGCAAACGGGAGGGAGGGAGATACAGCGGTAAGGTGATCGATCTCTCGAGTGGCACCCTAATACAATCAACGATAGCCGGGTACCTATTGGAGGATGTTGATAGTACCATGGATGGGTTCAGTTTGTAGGGGGTGGTAAGCGAGCGAAGTTGGGGTGGGGGTGTGATGACTTTGCTCTAACCATGGTGTCCAACAGGCCTTGCACAAGGCTGCTTTCCAAGGGAACCCATTGCTCGTGTCGAGGTTGATTGAGCTAGGGGCAAATCCGAATGCACAGACGGAAACAGGCGCAACCCCCTTGCATATTGCAGCAGCGTATGGACACTTCACTACTGTAGGCCTTATCACCAGCCTGCAAGAGCAACTGACTATGACAACTCAGATTTCTTATCTCTTGCAGCTGGGTTCAGACCCTTTCATCAAGAATCTTGATGGGGACAGACCCCTCGATCTTGCAAAGTTCAAAGGAAGGTTGGAATTTATGTGCGTGTGTTGACTAGTCCTCTCTTCTAACTTTGGTTCAGGTTCTCAGACCGTTCTGACTTTATCGAAGTCGTCAAGTTGCTTGAGGGTGCTGAGGTGATCACCTCTCGTGCTGTAGTAGATTTCTGGTTGTTAATCATACTCTGTCTAAGCAGAAAGGAAATATTCCAGGGTTGAAACCTCAGGGAAGAAAGTACATGGAGTATTTTAGTGAACCTCGCGAGGCTTAAACGAAATCACAAGGAATGTCGGTCTTTAAGCTCTGAATATTGTTTGATTGAACATGCTTTACTCTTTACAATTTATATTTGCGCCAAATGAAGATCAGACTTAATTCTGAACCGATGATATGCCACATGTCAGCTCTTTGAACTGGAGCTGAATGGGAAAGACAATCCTGTCATTCCAATAAATCGTCTGCTCAAATTAGCACTGTTGTCCAGGAATGGCAATATGAAAAGAGAAGCTATCATTGGTCCGCTGGTGCAGATGTAGGTAGAAATGGTCCACACAGGCACAAGAAAAATGTAGAAAGACAACTAATAAATGGGTGAGTGCAAATATCTGTTGAATCATGTAGATCAAGTCATACCGTTGCTATCAGAGGCCCTGTCCAAGGAAGCAATATGCCGAAGGAAATCACTGAAACTGCAACCAGCAACAGCAGATGCATCCCAGAGATAACAAAAAACCATATGGGGCTCGATATGTAGGCCACCTGGATCAAGTAGAGTGAATGAACATGCCTTTTTTCTCAGCACTAAACTGACCAGGTTGAGAGCCATGAATCGAAATAATCTCGGTAACTTAATCTTGCGAAGGATCACTTCTATCCAGACCACAGGCAAAGCAGGGAGGGAGACAATTAGCTCCAGGGGCCCGCCCTTCTTTCTGCGGTTGAGAGATCTATTCCCTAGAACAACACCTTGAGAAACATGCTTGTTCTGGCACCCCATCAGGTTTACCAGGAGACAGGGTCGGGCTTGGAGAAAGATATCCTGGTGAGAATTTGCTAGCTTGAGGTGACTGGGCTCTAGCTGGGGATCTTGCCGGCGAGCTCAAACCTACAGCTTGCTCTAGAGACGTTTCCAACGATGATATCCCAGCTTCGGCAGTATTGACAAGGAGCCAACACGCTGCTGACAGCCAACAACCTTCAAGGACCTGGTAGACGCTCACGTTAATCATGGCTCTTACAACTGCTAGGGCACGAGTGAAGAACTTGGAATCGTACCTGTACAGTGATGGAGAGGAAAGGAGAGGAGAGGAGGATCACTGGTACGATCACTGTCGCAGCAGCTGCCATCCCCGCTACTCGCAACCATCCTTCCATGATCACCAGAAGCCTCTAGTAGTCCCGGCGCCCCAGTTCAAAGAACCGTTCACAAAGTTGGAAGGATCCTATCCTAAAGGTCTGACGGGCAAATCTAGTGAAGTCGTGAAGTCACCGGGCCGGCGTCCGTCGAGCACTGACCGTCGGAACAGCGAACCAGGCCCGAATATGTTAATTAAAACGATTATAACCTCCTTTTTCCACGGAGTAATAATAACCTTCTGCTAAAACTTGACCTCGCAGGGGTGCAGGCATGTGGTGGGGAAAAGAGCCCGTGCGAATCCCTTGGAGTAAAAGTGTACCACCACCTCACGTTTCTCTATATAACTTTTAAGTCGAGCCAAAAGTAGTTTTAGTTTTTAACAAGACTTTTAGTGTCACACAAGCTTTGTTTTTAAATATTTATTTTTCGTCCCTTATACTCGTAAAACTATTTGTAAACGAAGCAAGAAGTAAGGGGTAAATCGATTAGTAGCCATGGGATAGAAGAGGGTAGGCGTACTAATATTTCAGCTTGTCCTATAGGAAAAGGTGGGTGGTTTCCTCTGTTGGTATCGGGTGGTACCTGATATTGTGGGGTAGGCCTGTCACTAGGGTGGGGGAAGACAGGGGTAAACCTTCCCGGTGGGGTGGTTTGTTTGTCAAGGCGCGGTTTCAGATGAGATGCCGGGAGCAAAAAGATGCAGGGCAGACTCCCAGAGGTTGAAATGAAGGCGGAGGTTAGGAGATGGTAGGTGCCCATGAACATGTGCGACATAGAAATCATGTTTGAGCTTAAAAGTGTAAGTTTAGTAGCACACTGTAAGATATCAGCTTAGCCTTGTATTGGGGTCAACACTTTGCACAATGTGCCAAGAATGATTCTTCCGATATAATCATAGTCCAGGTGTAGCAACGATCCGGTTGAATGTGCTGACGTCTCAATGCGTAGCTTGCGCCATATGCATGTAGATGAATCGTTTCTGCAAAGCAATTTCGTGTTAGAATGTGTGTCATTTCTTGGATGGAAGCAAGTTTTGCTCTGACCTGATTCGATTAGGAACCGAAATGATTTCGAATAACACTTTGACGTGCTAATTATCATTCTTATGCAGTCCTAGTAACTGGTTGTGTCTTTCCAGTACAAAGTAGCGACTCATCACAAATATCAACGAAAGCAATTTTTCTGTAGGAATTTCACAAAGCGAAGCAGGAATGGATACAATGGTTGATGCTCAAAAGGCAAAAACGCGACAGTTTCTTCTCGATGGTATTTCCTCTTCTTTCAAACAAGAAACTTTGTTACCCTCGTGTTTCCTTTTTCGTCTTGTTATTTTATCGCTCTGTTTACCAGATTGTTTTCAGACTCAACCCAACCACTTTTCGGAAGGACAGCAAGCGCGGATAGTGGTCTTGGATTGAACAGAAACTCGGGATGCTTCAATGCTAATTTCAAGTCAAGACCAATGTCTTCCATAGATCTAGATGGTGTTCCTGATATGGGTGAACCTCAACACATGGGCTTTGGTCGCTTAGCAAGGTGCTCTGCTCCTTACTCTCCTTTGCATTGCGTGACTATTACAATTTCAGTTGCCCAGCGGACTGGACACACGATGACAGGAAAATTGAATATAAGAGGCTGATTGGCGAGGAGATATCAAAGGCTTCTAAGTCGCCAGCATGTATGCAATCGTGGAAGACTGTCTCGTTGTCAGCAAAGCAAATCAACATTGCTTTGCATGCCAAGTTTGGAGATTTGGTTGATGATGTGAGTGACAGACTTATCATGACCTTTGGTATTGACTTGCTCTTAATCAGATTCCCACCCGTTCAAAACAAGAATGTTTAGACAGCATGGATGTCAGTGGGAATCACCATGATGTAATCTCAAATCATGCTTGATTCATATCGGTGACACTCATTCTTTTATTTGAAACTCAGATTGAATTGGCCCAGGGATACGACAATTGAATAACAAGTCATTGGACAGTGTACAGTACTACACTTAATCCTCGTAGTGTAGCTATTTTTGTTAATATTAGACGAGGTAGCTTTTCATACCTGCAACTCGATGTGCCTATACAAAATTATGCTTGTTTTCACATTTGAGAGAATTGAATGTATGACGTAACCTCACAGTGCAAAACTGTAAATCATCGGAAGCTGTCACGGTGTGCCGCTGGCAACATCACTGCATACGGCGATTGGATCCGTGATGAAGTTGACAAGCATCGATTGTAAAACTTTGCAATCATGCTAGTTTGAGCTGAGCAAACATAGCCTCATGTCGGCAAGATTGGACCAGCGACGTCTCCAAGAAGTGCGAAGTTGACCACTGACACAGCAAAAACAGTTGAGGCCCCCTTCCAACCACACCTCCGTAAAATGCAGAATTGGATGTAGCCAGTCACGAAAGATGACAGCAGGAACATTATCAAACCTACTGCAAGACCTGACCATCTGATCTTATCTGAGAAAAGTTTGTATCTGCATTCGGGGGGGCTGCCTTGATCTCCTGTCATGAAACCAAAGGCTGTCAGCGCCAGAAAGCTTATGGGGACATAGATGAAGCAGTTGCAGCATCTCCCAGAGCAGCCTTGGATTTCCAGATCAATGCTCAGTCGGCAACTCAAAACACACAAGTTTTACCTAATCTCTGGAAGATCCCTGAATCGTCGGTATCGCGCTGAAGGATGTAACGAAAGAGCGGAACAAGGAAGATGAGTTCATACAACGAGCTTATCATACAGAATGTAGCCGACCAAAGCAGAGCATCCAGAAGGCCCGAGTTTGAATTGTGATCTTCTTCACTCTCACAAGTGTTGAGTGACCTTATGCATGTCCCAACCGCAAGATTTACAACAAAGGTATAGCACCCTACGTTGAATCTCTCCCATCGCGTGTAAAATTTGAGTTGTTCATCGTCCGATATAAGATACCAACTGACAGCCTCAACATTCAGCTCAAGATACTTTAAATAGTCGGCAACAAAACCACTCCACAAACCTTTGGTCTCTTCCTGTGAAGAAGGCAGTCCATCTCCAAGGTCTGGATCCTCGTCTACATATGGTCTGATGGCTCCATAGTTGATTCTTTCCGAAGGATTAAATTTAAAGCTCGTTGCATGAGCAACTTCAGTCTGGGAGCTCATAGTATGATCGTCTGACTTCTGAATGGTCTGAAAAAAAAACCAACTCAATATTCTCCTCAAGAAGAAGACGAGACTCAAAGTTCTATGTCATTATCTAGCCTTGTATCCAATCAACCACGTGGCAGGTCTCATCTACATGAATCTTGCAGCGTGAATCTTCCTACATCAATTTCTCCTGTCTGCTTCCTGGCTTTCCTTTGATTCGTCTTTGGCCAATGAATGCAACCCTTCCAGCCAATTGTCCATTTTTTCGTGCAAATTTCGCCAGCCATCTTGATTCCTTTCTGACTCTTTGGAAAACAACAACATCACAGCAACATCGAAACACAATCATTCACCCAACATTTGTTTCTTCTTGTGTTTGTTTCCGTCTTTTTTTCCATCTCTCCTCTCCTCTCCTTCGCCAGGCGACCTCGAGCATCGGTGCGCCCCTTGCGGCAGGGGACTCGACTACCCTTCAAATGCCGACCCCTCCCGGGTCTCCCCTCCCTACCCCTATGGAGCATTTTTGTCTGATCTCTAAATCAGGTGGGTACAAAGATACTTATGGGTGGGTGGTGTATACACCCCCTCCCCCCATACTTAACCCACCCTCGCCATTGACATCCACAAAGTGGAGGAGTATTCATGACCGTAGTAGACCGTTACGGATATAAGAGATCGTTACGGTAATGACTCGGTTTTTGAATCGGTTACAGACGTTCCATCTGTAACGGGTTGGATCGTGCGGCCTCCATGGCAGGGAGGCGCCGGTCGCAAGCAGCGGCTGCGATGATGCTGATGGCCTTAGTGCTGGCCATCACATCATGCGTGGCCGAACGAATTGAACTTAGAGGGGCAGATAAAGCTGGAGAAGCAAAGGAAGGGAAGGGCTCGGGGTTGGGCGAAGAGATTCCTCTGCGGGCTGACGATGGCGACCCCGATGTTGGAGGGGCTGGTAAGGGGACTACATGTCCTGTCAACAATGCGGGGAGCGAGGAGAATGAGCCAAAAGTTGGATTACGAGGCTCAGATGCGAGTGAAGAGAAGAGAGGACCGACGAAACAGACCATGGAGTCGGTGACAGAGTCAAACAAAGCCGGAGAAGCAAAGAAGGATCCGAAAACGAAACAGGCTGACAAGAAGCAGCCAAAGACAGCAGATGCTAAGCAAGGACGCCAGAAAGATAAAAAACGCGAGCAAAGCTCTGCAGCAGGATCTGCTTCTGAGAAGGCTCCTTCGAAGCTTGACCAATTGAAAGAGCTCAATGGAAGTATATACTTTTTGCTTGAGGACGACATTTCTGCAAACTACTCTCTTCTGAGTCCAAAGCGCCTACAAGTTATCAATGAGAGTTTGTTGGTCTACAATAATGATTCTTGGTTCACAGACACCAGGTCATTCTTCGAAAGTATCTATCAAAATGCAACAATGCACGGCGATGCTCAATGCCAATTCTGGTTGGGGCGCATGTTCGAGCAAGGAGCAGTAATGGATGATGGGGAGGAAATCGTTCCCAAGGATGTAAATCAAGCGGCTCAACTATACCTCATGGCGGCAGAGCAGGGGCATCATGAGGCTGCAAGGTTACTGGGAATGATCTTTGAGGAGCATGGAGACCAGGACAGGGCAGCTCAATACTACATGAAAGCTGTGGAGCTAGGAGATGTCAGGTCGATCTCGCACTTGGGAATCATGTACGAGCAAGCGGGTAGCGTTGAGGAAGCACTCTCTCTCTTCACACAAGCCGAACTCGCTCGTGATGGGCTTGCTCTTACGTCCCTCGGACGTATCTATCTGCAAGGCAAGGGAGTGCCGCAGGATGGGAAGAAAGCAGTTTCTTATCTCGAGAGGGCCGTAGCAGAAAACGAAATATTGGCATTCACTTATCTTGGAAATGCTTATGAGCAGGGGATAGGCGTTGAACAGAACTACAGCAAAGCTTTCGAGCATTACAAGCGAGCAGCAGATGCAGGAGAATGGAACGCTCAAGCTCGGCTTGCCTTTCTTTACTCCGAAGGGTTCGGCGTCGAGAAAAATATGGAAGAAGCTGAGAAATGGGCTTTCAAGGCCTCGCAGAATGGCTACGATGATTCAGCCCAGATTGCGAAAGAAGAGATCGAGGCCTATGCGAACCTCAAAGGGAAAGTCTTGAAAGGTGGGCGACCATCAAGGTATGAGTTCATACCGCATACCCCCTTTCCTCTGAACGAAGAAGAGAAGAAGGAGAGAGATGAGAAGGGGTTCGATGGGTTCAGTGCAGTGTTCGACAGAGTCGCTCTCTTTCGCTACACCAACTCAACGGTCTACTTCTCCAACCCCGAAGTGTTCTACAACGGAGGTGAAGAAACAAAGCGACGCCAAGTTAAGAATTCAAAATAATATGTTGACTTCATTTTGGCCCACTGCATGTTTGTTCTCTGCACAAGTTCATCGATCTCAACCAATCACTGCATTCCGGCGTCATTCTGATGGATGACCATGCAAGAGAGCAGCGGGGATACTGCAAAGCGCGCTTCCACTGATTGCGACCTGCCCGTTTGCTTTTTCAACAACAGTTTCCATGCTGGCGACGCACACATTCTATTCGCGAGTCACTCTCGAGGGTATCACACGCATTGACCTACCTTCACTTGCTTGCATCGTGTTACAGTGACTCTTGCTGTAACTTCCTCATCAAAGAAGACAGGGGCAGAAAATTTGAGCTGCTGATTAAGGTAGATCGCTCCTGGAAAGTTGCGGCCTATAACCGCTGAGAACATGCTGGCAACAAAGATCCCATGCACAACTGGTTGGGCAAATGTAGAGGAAGTCAAATCGGCACTTTGATGCAGCGGATTATCGTCTCCCGACAGATCGGCGAACTTTGAGACATCTTGCTGTGAGAAACTACGCCTGAGCTGGAAGCAATCTCCTTTCTTGAGGTTCGAGCCCTGTGATGTGATGGACTGAACGCATTTCAAGAACTCAGAAAGGAGAGAAAGTCTCGAATACCCTTGCATCGCAGATCCAGCCATTGCGATATCGCTTTACTGCCCCGCTGATCTGGATGCAGCTCCGCTGCGCTGCATTCTTCAAACTAGAAAAGTTCATCTTCTTACACGCATGTGACCTGCGTGAATCTGTTTCACATTGATGTTACCAGCATTGTGACACCTTCGATCTTCTCTGAACTGTTTCAAACCAAAGATTCCTTAATCATCTCAATCAGATTCATGTTCATGTTCTTTCTTCAAGCTCGAATATGAAGGCTACATCTCTCCTGCCATATTTTCTGATGCTTTCTGCGTGGAGGATTCAAATATCCATGCATGTGCATGCCCTGTCTCGTACATTTCTAACCCCACCTTCCCTCGCTTGAACCTTCTTGTCATCCATCCTCCTGCCCCCGTTCCCGCTTCATGCCGAGTCGTAACCTCTACCGAGGCGGGTTCGCGTTTTTAAAAGGCTAGCTAGGTTCGGGCTTGACTCGGCTCAGCGCTGCCGGTAGCTCTCCCCCATCCCCCCCCGCCGTCGTCGCCGCCCTGAGCTACATGCAAGGTGTCAGTGCCGTTGAGAGCGCAAGCATCGTCCCTCAGAAGCTTCAAGCTGACTCCAACCGCTGAGCTCTCCGAAGCTCAGTTGAACTCGAAAGTTCAACGGTTTCATTCCGAGTTCACTGATCAAGTACGGTCACTGCCACGGTTCGTGCTGAGCTCCCCGGCGCTGAGCCTCGAACGAAGTTGACGGCCCTGTCACTGCTTCTCAACGTCACCCTACAGCTGCAAAGTGGCAGTGACTGTCATAACTGCCGGACTCCTCAGTAGCCGCCGCCCGCGGCAGTAACGGTGGGCGCCGCCGCCGACCTGAGGCTCTCACTCGGCCTGTCAGTGGCATGCACCGAGCACTGGCGAGTAGGGTAGAGAGCAGGTCAGGTTCGGGTGAGAGGATGGCTGCGAGGTTCTCTTCGGCAAGGCTCAGAACATTCACAGAGGATACAAAGGTTGGAAACACTCAGAATGATGTAAGTGGAGAAGGTGGGAAGCACATCTCAAGTTCAGGGGAGTGGCTTGTGCGGCAAGAGCCCAAAGATGTTGACGTATCAACTGCTCAAAGACGAAGGAAACTTTACACTAAGTGGCGAGAGCTTCTTGCTGATGATTCTTCAGTCTCAGATAGTTCTGATCATGGTGAATTTGAACTCAAAGATCAAGCACACGAATATCAAGATGACACAGAAGATCAACGGGATAGAAATGAAGGGCTTCATTTCAATGATTCATCTTCTGATGCCCCAGCGCTCCCAAGAGCAACTCCGCAATTTGCGCGAGAGGTGGCATCGGATAGCCAAGAGGACTCCGAGGGCCAATATTTCATTCCAGTGATACCATCAACCGTTGTTGTACATACAGATGGAGATGACAATCGGCACCAAGAAAATTGTATTGATGATGATGTGGAAAATAACAGAATATCAACACTTGCAGAGCAGCATCCAGATGCGGGGCATCCTCAAAATTCACAAAAGGAAGGCAAGGAAGTTGTGTCTCATAATAGAGATAAATCGAACTCACCTGGGCTCTCAATGCTTGTTGTTCAACCGAAATTGGATAATTTTGCAGGAATGGACCAAGGTGTGTCAGCTCAAGTTCCTCGAACATTTTCCCCAGGTGTGATTGATTGCTATACGCTCTTGTTACATGCTTGTTTTTTTCTTCGTTGCATCGCCTTTTTGCATGATTGCATCTTTTGACTCATCGCAGACGTCGGCTCCGAGCACAGGGTTGACCCTGTTGTCCAAACGCCCAGTCATGTGGATTTGAGCAGATATCCAAACGTCGGAAATCACCACAGTGACCTGAGTTTTGAGAGTTCCGCTGCGAAAAACTTTGAGCACAGCATAATAGAGGGAAACTCAACTGTCTTGCATCGTTCGAAAGGATTCGAGCGACTGGTTAAGGAGATGAAAGCATACTTCGACTGCAAAGAAGACGGGCTAGTAGGATGGTTCCTAGACCTCGATGAGGACGGTAGCTTTTATGGATGGATGGTTACTTGGTCTCATGCTGATGCTGCCGCCAGGTGATGGGCTTGTTACGGCGGGAGAACTTCTTGATGAGATCCATACCATGAGATGCGACGTTGACAAAGAGGCTGCTGCGGAGCTTGTAGGCATTCTTACAGATGAGGATATCAAGGCAATCTCACTTTCACACTTCTGGAAGTTCTTCATGCTGCCTGATCAGCGACTTCATCATGTGCCTAAAAGTTTTAACGGGGACGAAATAGAGCTGAGGACTTCACAGAGTTTGGGCGGGGGATCACGTTCTACCGAATGCAACTCTTATTCTCTCCTTATGCCGTTTCTCTGCGAAAGTCAGTTTGATTTTGAAATCTTCGAGATGTCTCGTGCAGCTTCCCGAGAGATCACGAACATTCGAGCGAGGACGCGAGAGATAGAAAGGATGATACGACTTCAGGCACTTTCTTCAGGTGATTATTAAGATTTGGGAGGTCTATCTTCTGTTTTCTCAGATATTTTTTGAGGCGAGGACTTCTCATTCGAAGCTTACGAGCTCCAACCTTTTGGGTCTTCTTCGCTTGTCACTGTATGCTGTGTTCCACCACATGTGAGCCTTGAAGCCCCATCTCATTTGCTGTGTAACGCAGACTCCGAGGAGGTCGAAGAGCCCCAGCCTTGGATTTTTGTCGAGCCGAAACAGTCGAGAGGTTTGTAGATATTTCAAACCCACCTGATAATTGTTGACATTCTCATCCAGATTTCTGCGGACTCAGGGGCGAGCCGGAATCATAATAGCAACAGCATCTCGGAGAGATCAAGAAAGACTTTCTATAGCCCTGTGAGTCTCGTCGGAACGTTTCTTGTCTTACAATCGGATGGGATGCAGGAGAGAATACGTAGTGAATCACCGGCATCATCTGGGCTGGCTTATCTCAACTTTCACTTCCCACCTTCAGCGAAAAGAAATTCGAGGTAGAAGGTCTGGCTGATACCAAGAGACGTAAGGCTGATTCAAAGCTGTAAATGAAAATGCATGTCAAGAAATTTGTTCTGAGGAGTATTACGGCATTTCGATTCATGTGCTAAAGATACTTGTCTTCGTCATCTAGCAGTTCTTCTTCGCCGTTTTCTTCCATTATATCGTAAACCTCGTTCATCGCTGTCCAATTGACAAAGTAGTCGGGCCCTAATACCAGGCAAGCCAAAACATTATGCAAAGTAACGAGAAAATTTTAGAATCATACCTGTTTCAATCTCGGAGCGCCTCAATGCCATCCCATTATTGGATGATTCATGCAAGGTGAGATTGTTTTTGTTTTCCTCTTCCACTGCATGATTTGTGTGCGGCATTGGCTTAAGGGGAGGTAGTGTAGGATTTTCTATACTTGTCTCGCAGGATGATATGAGCAAAACAAAACCTACAACTATCAGCATGAGATTCTTGCATTGATACAGTATTCTCGTCGTGCAGTTTCCTGTCATCTTCATCAAGGACTGCATCATCAAACTTCGAGGGTGAAAACTTTCATCATCCCCTGGAATCCCCCTTGCCTTTACTCAAAGTTAAGTTAAAAAACGCTACGGTACGAGGATAATCAAACTGATACCTGATACCTTCATAGTGACTTTTACCATCCTAGTCTTTACTCAAAGTTAAGTTAAAAAGTTTACCAGTTTCACCTTCGGCAAGCGCTGGACCATTCTCCTCGACTCTCCTCATTGTCCTCGTACTGATTTTTAACTTAACTTTGAGTAAAGGTCATATTCTCCCGGCTCACGCTGAGCCTCGTGACTGCTAATGAGTGGCAGGTTGCCCCTCACTGAGACAGCTTTTAAGTTCCCGAATGGTTGGTCATGCCGACTCCGTCAAAATCACAGGGTCAGCAAAAGTGTCAGCCAACAATGAAAGTACTGATATTCATGAGATATGTAGTTGAAATAATATTATATTTAGGTCATCAACTGTCAGCTCAGACTCAGCATGCTGACAGAAGATCTCTTAAAGCAGTCTGATGACCACAGCCAAATTTTGGTTGAAATTTTGCTCCGAATGTTTGGCTATGATTTCAAATGCCATGCACATGTTCTAACAGCTTCATTTACTACATATGGTTATGTCTGCTCTGTGCTTACAATTATGTCAGCATTTTTCTCGAAATAGAGTTCAATCATTATTTACAACACAGTTCTGAGTGAATCAGATTCGAAACGGTGTCGATTTCCCCCAGGGCAGTGTATAAGACGAGAGATGAACAGCACACTACCGTAACTCTCTCATCTCTGCTCACGATTAGACAATGTGCAACGAAATGGAAATTGCTCACATTGTGGAACATGAAGACTTTCACAGACAAAAGGATGAAACAATATTTGCGAGTGAAGATGAAGACACATTCAAGGACACCAAGGTTGTGATTCACAACATTGTTGTTCCAGAGCAAGTACGCAAAATGTTGAAGGTCATCATTGACGTAAAAGAAGATGATCTCGACTTCATGGACATGGCAATGAATACTGACACAGACATCTTTGAACCTGAAGAATGTAAACGATATACTAGGGTTCTTCCATGAAAGTTGTTTTCAAGGCCTAGAATCTTTCTATCACTAGTTTGTATATATCGGGATCGAAGGACTGGCATGGTAACCCGTGTTACCTTCGGATACGAAATGTAGATGTATTGTTGAAATAAATTCGAAAGACTTAAAACACGATTCGCTACATCAACGCGCAAAAAATGCTTACTCCAAACCAGCTAAATTGATACTTCGTCAGTAGCTCACGCTGAACTGATTGTGATACACTATAAAGAATTCCTCATGAAGTCGCCCAACTTAATATTACCCTTCATCGGTGAGCGAAGATGAACAAGACTTAATGGAATTCCCATAGGATTCAAAGAACTTCTCGTACCAATCTTCGAAGAAGTAATCAAAGTATTTGCTGTTCTGAAAGCAAGCTTATCTTACACGGTAAAGAGATTCTCGGTGCCCAAAAAAGTCATAGATGCGGACCAGACATGCGTCAAACCATGCTTCCATCTTCCATTGAGTCTTTGATGAACCAATCGTTGTTGTTTTTTTGCAAATTATCCAAGAATGCGCGGGCTACGCAACCACCAAACCAGTCTTCTGCCTGGAAAAAAACTTTTCGAATTCCAATTCTTGATCCCCCCTATGGCTTTCGAACAGCATACTGTTAATGATGCTGTCCCATGATACATAAGTCACACACTGTAAATATTTGCATCCCATTGTACAAAGCAGCACGACATCAATCGAAAACGCCAGTATAGTGAACAAGTGAAAACATTGTTTTTCTCATGTCTAAACATATGATCATGCAAGGACTTGAGTAAATTGCTTGCTGTCTTCGGGTTCCAAGAGAGATTTTTCTGAAGCAGGCTTCTCTGCAAACATGTCTTCGATGTCCAGAACTTCTCTGCATGTGAATACCGAAACAAGTTTCTGGACATCTGGAGGAAGCCAGCTAGATCTTCGCTTTTCTACAGCAGAGTCACTTGTACATCTTGCCAAATCAATATTCTGCAGTTCACTTTCCAAATGAGACGGTGGCTCACTGAAAGCATCAAAATCCCATCCAACAGCAGCTGCAGTAGGTTGTTGGTTCTGTGTAGTATGTTCGCTGGAGCTTTGAGTAGTTATGATAGAATCGTTCGACATAACTCTCATGTTCACTTCAATGTCATTACTTTTGAGTACAATTTTGCAAGTCGTTGATCAGTTTTGCGCCACTGCAAATTCACCTCCCTTGAGATGTGTTACTGGTTATTCTCGTTTTTGGTTTCGGAGGGACTGCAAAGACAGATTTCAAATCACAAATTCACCAGTGTAAGTATGACTGTTCGTGTTCATGAGCATTGTGCTGTAATGAATGCTTTGCCTGGGCTGTCTGTCCTCGTGCAACACCAGTTGCCCTTTTCCTCTGACGTGCTGGTTTCGACGTTCCTTCCTGGATGGCACTAGGTGGGTCCGGTATACTGTTAACAGTTAGGTCTCTGGTACAAATTTTAACTGTTAACAGTTAACCGTTTTTCAACGGTTTTCATCTAACTGTTAACAGTTAATGGTTAAGTCTTAAACTTCAAATCCGATCAAATTAAGCACCGCGATTGTTTCATCGCGGTTAGTTAAATTTAAAAGTCAGATTTTTAAACTCCCCTGGTGAGCCCCCCCCCGACCCGCCTTGGCTCCATGCTGCCCCTCCCGCACTGCGGCGGCACAAGTCGCCCCCAACGCGCTGATCATCAAGAGCAATGCTCCTCTTACTGGGTTATGCTATGATACACATCGATAGCATCCAATCCACCGTAAAGTGCACTTTCTCAATGCATCACGTTGAAAGATTTCACGTCAAGAGCCGATGTATTGCTGCTGTCAATCGACTTGGATCATAGCTATCCAAGTTTATTCAGAAGCTAGCACTGATGATTCCAGGGATAGCAACAGGTCTCTCAGACACTCAGAAATACGCAACCAAGACGGACTCTGTCATGAGGAGGGTCGCAACGAAGACTGACTGTCATGACTCAAACATGAGGTGATAGCGATGTCCTTCCGAGTTCGGAAATGTCGGCTCAAGGTGAACACCATTTCGCAGATGTGAAGCTGATGATGTCGCAAATTCTAATTTCCCAGTCGGTGTATTCAAACTTGGTATGTTTGTCTGACTTTACATCGTCAACGATGTGCATTGGTCATGGTTTTGAAAGCTATAGTTTGTCTGTAATAAAGTCATTCTTACCGAGCTCTTATCATCGTTTAAGCCCATGCCAGCTCACTTGTTTCAACTTAGAGATCTGTTCTGGTTGCCCTTGTGTTTGACATTGGCATCGGAAGCACCTTGATCTGCGTTCGGAAGCATAGCATCTTGCACACAATTTTTTCATGGACCGCCATTAAAATTTCACACTTTTGGAGGCATATTTTAAAAATTGACGACGAAAACGAAAATTTGCTGGAATACTGTTAACAGTATACCGGAACACTTTTCATGCTAACTGTTAACAGTAAAATAAGGCCCGAAAGAATTTAACTGTTAACAGTATACCGGACCCACCTACTTCTGACTTCTTCTTGGGTTCTAAAATAACTTTTTGTACAAAATGACTTGTGCTGACCTTTGATGTCAGCAACGATGACACAACCGACATAACTAAACTATGATGACATCAAACTCTCTCTTTTTCGATTATGCTGACAAGATGGTCACACTACGGCAGGGCGGCGGACCCGGCGTCGTCACGCCGGGCCGGGCGGCGTCCCGGCGCCGGGCCGTCCCGGGCCTGCAGTCAGTGCTCCCGGGGCCCACCCCGCCGGACTCCGGGACGGTGACTGATCGGACCGTCGGACCGCGACACCCCGGACGGTCACCGGGTGGCAACTTGGCAACTTGCCGCAAGTTGAACGTGACGGCGTGACGGCGTGGAATCATACCTGTTTCAACTCAGGACTCCCGGCCGCGATCGGCCCTGAGTGACTGAGCTGCTCGGCGGCAGCCGACTGGCGAATACTTGAACTGACTCTTCATTTCCGAGTTTGCCGACGGCGAGCCGCGTGGCAAAGCGGGAGTCACTGTGGTCCAAGTTGCGAGCCTCAGCCTGGACCCGGGTCGCCCGGACTCGACTTCGGAAGTTCGGCGGCGAGACTTCCGACCGTACATGTCAAGTTCAACGGTTACTACTACGGTTAAGTTTAGCCGCGCCGGTTCAAGCCGGCTGACTGGCGCACGGTTCCGGGCCGGCCGCGAAGCAAGTTTTCAGTCACCCCAGGCTGACCCGTTTCAGGACGCCCCAGCCGCAGCCGCGACACTCGGAACTCGGCCGGGTCAAAGCGCACTTGAACCGTTGAACCGTCGCCGGCGCAGCGTGCCAGGACTCGGCCGCATCGGACTCCGATCATCATCCGAAAGCCTGATTGGGTTTGGTTCTCCGCGGCTGTCTTTTCTCTTCTCGCTGTTTGGCCCGGCCTGTGCGACTCGCCAGTGTCAGGGTCAAGCCTCCTCGACTCTCCTGATTGTCCTCGTACTGCTTTTTAACTTAACTTTGAGTAAACAAAGCCTAGCTCGGATGCCCCGGCGCGGCTAGTGACAGTGTGTCAGGGTCAACCGTCGTCGACGCGACCGTACGGTACGGTAATCTCCCGGATTGTCGGGCCTGCTACCAATGTTTAACTTAATTTTGAGTAAATTTTCTATCCTGGCTGGCACCACCGGCACACTACTATCTTTACTGTACTTTACTCAATGAAGTTAACTTAAAGATCAGTCAATAGACAAGGACTTTTAACTCCTAAATTCATGTTTTTCAAAGGCTTGTGTCGACAATATTCTTGAAAAAGAAACTTTTGAAGTTTTGCTTTGCTTGATGGATGCCAGGGTTCCTCATCTCAACGTATGTACGGTTCTTGAATGTCAAGGGCCACAGGGAAGAAGCCACTGACCGATATCTTATGTCGACAAGGCAGGTGGGGGGGCAAGGAGGCGTCAAAGGTGGCCCTCAGGGTAGCCAAATCTATAAGTAAACCATTAATAAACTATCACAAAGAGCAAGACTGTGGGCAGGATACGTTTGAACTGTAATTGAGTGGGCATGGGGTAAGAGGATGAGGAGGATAGAGGTAGCCGTTCTTATCTCAACGGAAAATACATCAGGAGGAGCTAAGCCTGCACCCCTGCCCTGCCTTCCCTATAACCTTTTAAGTCAAGCTGTTTCGATAATCACGTGGCATCAAACGGTATCGATGCACTATCGCAACGTTGTAAATCTCACTTTTCTCAACCATCCAGCGTTTCGATTGTACCGCCTGGTATGAAGAAGTCATCAAAAGGCTATTGAGGGAACTAAGAGGTGTTACAGTCAGCTAGTCGAACGAAACGTTTCAATTTAGAGGTTTATGTTTGCTCCAGCTGACATATAACACCTTTAAAAAAGTTTTATTCATTTTTTTCGGGGAGAGTCGGTACAAGATGTCAGCCCCTGCCCTCTCTCCCTCAAGCTCTCATCTCCTTCCTCCACTGATATCTTCTCGTCCTCCTCAGCTACTACACAGATCTTCGGACGACATCCTTCACTACGAACCTACTCCTTCGTAACTAGACTTCTCCTCCGCCAAACAACATCTCCTCTGGATCCCAATTTGCAGCGCCCTTCACGCCCTGCCACAGTCAGAAAGGTTTCGTCGGTTTGGAGCATGACCGCTGAGATGAATTCCTGCGAACTTATTATCGAACCCAATTTCAGGAACAGGAGGACGGAGTCTACTGATAGCGAATCCTCACTCATACCAAAGGTCAAGAAGCTGAGCTTTGTGGACATGCCTATGGATATCAAGAAAATGATTCAAGTCATCACATGCATTGACGATGAAGGATTCGAGTTTCCTGACTTTGAACTGAATACTGTTGAGTCTTTTTGCGAAGTCGAGAATGAGAACTGTAAGCAGTTTACAAGAGTTTTGGCCTGATGATATTCAAAGGCATGTTTCAACAGATTGTATTCTAGTGTGTAATGAACCATATTGATTGCAAATTTCCAAGACTCCTCCTCAAGCCACCGAAATGATTTCATTCCTCACAATCCCCCATGCGTGTGCATTTGCAGAGAATTCGATAGTTGGTGAAAGTGATTTACACACATCGAACCAGCCGGTTCGTTTGGTTGAAAGATAGTTCATTCGCGATGATAGATATCATGTCTACACATTGAAGCGGAAGAGAATGGAGTCTCCATCTTGTACCACATACTCCTTGCCTTCAAGGCGAGCAAGTCCGTTCTCTCTTGCTGCCTGTAGTACATATGAGAACAGATAGAGTGTTGGGGAGAAGAGTGAGAGAAGCTGAGTTAGCGGCAACCTTCTCGCTCCCTGAGCTGACGAGGTCGTTGTAGGAGATAGTCTCTGCTCGGATGAATCCTCTCTCAAAATCCTGCAGCAAGAGTTCAACACGCGCACAAAGCCTTGAAGGCTCACCTGATGGATCACGCCAGCGGCTTGGGGAGCCTTTGTTCCAGCTGTGATAGTCCACGCTCTTGTCTCGGTGGGACCTGATGACGAATGGAAGTAAGAGGATGGAGGGTCCTGAGAAACAAGAGATAAAAGTGGAGAAACAGATGATTGTAAATTGTGATGTAGCAACACATGCGATGAATAGAGTGGATCACAACAAAGGGTCAAATCAGGACAACAATGTCAAAACATGAATGGACGTTTCAGATTGAAAATTGGAAGTGCATATCTACCAGTTGTAAAGTAAGTCCTCAAACCAAGCAGTTCGTACGCAGCTCTGCAAACACATGAGCATAGAAGCAGGAAGGGAAGGAATGGGGGCATGCAAACCTAACGAGAGCATTCAAACCAGTCGCATTGGGGTCCTCGATGCCAAGGGCTTGAAGAAACTCAGCTTTCTCTTCCTGCCCGTTTATGAGACATGGTATGCACAGCACAGGAAAAACGCACCGCACTGAGCTCTGCCATCTCTGACTCGACCTGAGCAGATACCAGGACAACCTTGGCACCTTCTTTTCCAGCCTGCTCTTTCACTCTGTGACAGGAGTGTCAATACGTTCCTTTTCGTCTTTTGTTCTCACTTCTCCACCATGGTGTTCCCCGTGCTGCGATACCGGAGATTCAAATCAGAAGCAGTTATCATCAAGAAAGGAAGAAGAAAAGAAAATCAAGGTCCTCTTAGACTTGATAGGTTGCAGGGAGTAGGGAGGAAGGGCAGTCAAACCTCAAATCACTATCCGGAACATTGGCAGCGTAGATGACAGGCTGCGAGTGAGAGTTAGGAATATGATCCTCTGCTCCCTTCCCCTTCCCTCCCCTTCCCTTCCCCTCCCCTCCTTCCCCCTGCTCCCTCCAAAGTCAGATGAGGGTTTTCACCTTCAGGGTGAGCAACCCCAGGCTCTTGATCGACAGCTTCTCCTCATCGTTGATCTTTGCCTGTACAGCTTCGTCATAAAAAGACCATGACAAAGTGATGCTCAGATTCTGACCGTTCTCGCAGCCTTGCCTTCGTCGAGCTGAGCCTTGATCCTGAACAAGCTTGAGGTTTGATTGAATTTAGAAAAGGGTAAAATCACTTGCTCAGACATCCATGTTCAAGGACATCTTCTGGTTTCTTTACTCTCTTCATGTCTCTGTGCTTCAAGTCAGCGGAAACGTGTCCCTTCACCCTCACGTCAAAACCTTTCAAGCCTTTCCAGCCTCTTCTCGACCTGAATTATAGGGTCAGCAGCGTTCGGGCGAGGAGCGATGGCAATAGCAGATAGTTGAGAGGCCAAGTAGAAAAAATCAGGATTATATGTCAACCTGTACAAGATCTGCAAGGATCAGCTCCAAGTTGATGACCTGCCAACAGCTTCAGTGTCAGACTTTCTTCAGACCGAATTCACTTCACCTCCATGTCACGAACAGGATCCACACTCCCATCGACGTGGATGACGTTGTCGTCTTCGAAGCACCTTACAACCTGAGATCCCATCTAAGGAGCACATACAAGACGCTTGCCATGACGATTACATGCACAATGGCGTCGCACTCGCGAATGTTGGCAAGGAATTTGTTTCCGAGACCAGCCCCCTCACTCGCCCCCTTCACAATCCCCGCAATATCCACGAACTCCATCGTCGCAGGAACAGTCTGCATGCCACAAGTTATCTAAAATCTTGTAGACCATGAGCAACTATCACGGATACCTTGACCGACTCGCTGATCTTCGCCAGGACCTCTAACCTTGGATCAGGTACTGGAACGATTCCAACATTCGGCTCAATCGTGCAGAAAGGGAAGTTTGCAGCCTCCGCCGTGATCTTGTTCAAGAGCGCATTGAACAAAGTAGATTTTCCCACTTGGCTCAAGACGTCAGGTCAATCTCTACAGCACCCGCTACAAAGGACTCACCATTCGGAAGGCCTACGATTCCAGTTTGCAGCTTTGCACTCAAGGAGAGAACTCCTTGTCTGTCTGCTGTCCTCAAGCTTGGGACATGGACATTGAACGGAGCTGAAGGCTGTGCATGCCCGTTTCTGTTGTAGCAAATAGGATGAAGTGAAGGTGCAAAACTCAACGCAGAACCTGGACGAGGAGTCAGAATGGCCACGAGCAGTCATTGATACGAGACTGTGAACCTGAGCGGCTCAAACCTATCGCTGGAGACAGGGAGAAGGCTGAAGCTTGCTGGATCGACATGAGCAGCAAGCTGAGGATCACCAGTGCATGATGCCGACGAGAACCCTGAAGCGCGAGCATGGGGGCCGAGCTCCTTCAACCCTGGCTAGGCTCCACCCTACCCCCGTCGAACAAGTTTCATACAATCCTTTGAATCTTGAAAAATACAAATGTAATCTTCAAATGTTCTCAGGAAAAAGTAATAGTGTCTTTTAAAGTTGTCCTCCGATAGCGTAGGACCCTCTATCCTACTATTTATCGAGCTTGCCTCAGCACAGCCGGTGGGGGGGTAATGGCGTGTAGATTTAATTGAAGTTGAAAATGGTGGGGGCGACACCTGTCACTGGAGCAGAGGGAGGAGAAGGGGATCAGCAGCACGATTGAGATTGCGATGCAGTCGCTCTTGGAGGCCTTCCAACGGAACACTGAGGTCGGAGCATGGGATCTCTCCATCGAGCGATCCTGCCATTGCAGACAGCGGCTCTGCTGTCAGGCAGGTCAAACGCACCAAGTGCAAGGGCCATGCATGTCTATGAATCAACTTGCCTCTGCCATCATGCTACCATGATGTTGAAACAGAAATGATAGCACCTCTCTTCGCTTCAGGCACCCATACTTCCTGGTTCATGTATTGTTGAAGATATGTGTCATGCACGTGAGAAAACTGCTCTGCAAAGCACGGTGCTTAGAACTGCAAGCGCGAGGAGATCAGAACGTCGCACGACGACTGGGGAGTTTTTCAACACGTTTATCATCCACGTGTAATGATAGTGACAACTTTGGTGTAGTCTCATCCTGAAGCACCTGCCTTCATGACCCTCTCACGTCCTAAAGACGTATTGCTGTCTCTTCCTCCAACCAATTGCTGAGGCCCCCCTTGATGCAGCGAGGTCTTAAGGATTTCAACGCTCGCTACCTCCGCATGCTTCCTTTCATGCCCGCTCTTTCTCCGTCCTCCTCTAGCGCCCTGCAACCCTCGATCGAGTCGATCCGACAGCTTTCCAGCCTGTCTGCCGCAACGATGAAAACAACTTTCACTTCCCATCCTCCTCTAGGAATGCTAGGGCCCCTCAAGCACGTTGCTCCTACTGTCATCTGCATAACCTCAACCAACTTATGGCACACGTCCAAAATAATGGCATCAAGGCCTGCACAATGATTGCTGAGTGATGCGTACAATGATTGCTGAGCGATGCGTACAATGAATGTTGATCGATGCTGTGGCACTTTCTCCGCTCCTCATCAAAATGAAGTCTGTAATCAGCATATAGCTACATGTCACGCATGATTGAATTGATCCTGCCAGGAATCCTCGTAGAGATCCTGCTGATGTTCTCTGTACCGCTGTCTATCTTCTGGTCTGTCCTGCCCAGAGCATGCCGCAAGTTGCATGCTGATCCGAGCAGGATCCGAGCCTGGCAGGGATCCGAGGCTCTGTACGGTCCGAGCTGCTGTCCGAGCAGCTGTCCGAGGCTGTGTCCAGGCTGTGTCCGACGAAGCATTGTAAGGGGATGAGGGCCTCACTTGGGGAGGCGAAAATGTCGATGCGGGTGTGGGGACTAGCGGTGGCGCTGGTGGCGATGCAGTTGGCCGAAGCGTTTCAGCTCACAGGATACTCGGCATGCAGACCTCTGCTGCCAGCTGCGTCCTGTTCTTTCCTCCGTAGCCGCGCTCTTTGTGCTGGTTTATCTCCATCGACAGGTAGAGGCCGGATCCAGAACCAGGGGAATGTGAGGACGACTTTGAGGATGGCGGGAGCTGTGGAGGCGGTTGATGCCGAAACATTTGAGGTCATCATTCAGGTGTGAAATGCAGTTGCAGAGCTCCTGCAGCTCTAGTCTGGAGATCACCTCTGATGGTTGCGCAGGAAGAAACGAAACCTCTGGTGGTTGATTTCTATGCTGAATGGTGCGGCCCTTGTCGGTTGGTTGCCCCTCAGCTGGAGGAAGTAGCACAAACCATGAAAGATCAAGTGAGATTCCTCAAGATCAACACGGACGAGAATGAGAGACTCGCAACTCTCATGCAGGTAGGACTTGCCGACTAAGTTACTTCACTCACTCGATAACAGGTGTACGCGCTGCCAACTCTTCTTCTGATCAAGGATGGGGCTGTTGTCCAACGAGCTGAAGGTGGTTCAATCTCGTGCAATCTTGTTCATTGACGACATTCGGAAGGTGCAATGATGGCGAACCAAATACGGGATCTCGTAAAGACTTCATTCTTTTGATTCTATCGCAACCGCTCACTGTAACGAATGATAGCGACTTGTCGTTATGATTGCAATCTCTTAGCAAGCGAGGAACAAGGACTTGGCAGAGTGAGGATGACACCAACATCAAAACATCTCGGCCAATGGTCGCACATTCTTCATCCTTTTACCCCAAACTTTCTCCGCGCAAGAGGCTACGTCGCCCCTCTCGTACCCAGCATCGCCCTCTATCTGCACATCATCACCCTCCCATTCTAGCGCATTGCTCCTGCGATGATCCCCTGCCTTAGCTTCAGCAAGCAGGTCGGGCATGTTGTTGTCTGCGACCTCAGCTGCAACAAGACACATCAGGACTAAAATGATCACAGAATCGTCACTTTCAACAGCAGCTTCAATCACTTTCTTGTTGTGTTTTTGTTCTTTTCGCCCCTGTCAGTGGATCCGCTTCTGCACAACAACTGCTAGGGTTGCTGTAGCCTCGACCACTATCGCAATCATCGCCATCATCGTTGTCCATTTGTAGAGATTTCCTTGAACTACCAGAGTCTTGAACGTGCCTCATATAACAGCTCCGTCCTTGACAACTTGACTCTTATGACCTGGCTGACTCTGGCAAACTTCGTGGTAGCTGTAACACAGCTTGAGGAGCGTCTTCTCATGGAGGTCCGCGCCTCAACTCACGTTGCCGCATTGTCAGAGAAAGAACTCAGCAGCAGCGGGTACAGCGAAGAGATTAGTGTATGGCAAGTTCACCCATCACGGCTTGTCCTTCACTATGATGTCAGATGCAAACTCCCTCCAGCTGTTCACAAAAGCGTTCCCTCCTTCTATCATTCGAGCATCGATCACTCCTCTTCGGACAAGAGTGGAGAGGTAAGTGTCGATGCCGAGAGAGTTGATCTTGGGGTCACCCAACACAGTGTTGTCGAGTAGCTTCTTGATGACCTTGGCAGAGACCACGTATGCGTCCACACCCAGGTAACTCACCACGTTGCCAGGAAAGAAATTTGGCACTTGACGCCCCGTGAGGTAGATGATTTCAACTGACGGATGTAAGCATGTCGTCAAACTCAATTTTTCCATGAGAGCATCGACATCGTCGATCATCTTGACATCATCTTCGACGATGATATACCACTCATGTTCATGGCGGATGCTGAGAATTCTTTTCCATACCATCCGATGAACAATCCAGCTCGCAATCCTGCCCTTGTATAGATTGCTTTCAATGTCTGGAAACTTCCCTTGCACCTTGAAATGACTCCAAAAGTCCTCTTCGGAGACGGACAAGCCTTCCAGTTTCGTGATGATTTCTGTGGCGTTGGAAAAAAGACTCCTATTGACACCGTTCTGACGGATTACATGCTCCTCGACGTCAACTCCTTTTCCTGCCAAGTACGACAGCAGGTTCTCTCGCCTATCGGATCTGTACGCCAAGTTGATGTAAAAAAGAGGAAGCATTCCTTGAAAGCTCCTTGAACAACATCGCTAAACGTTTGACAGGTTTCTGTTGTACAAGTACGTCACCTCATGTACCTTCGATGGCTGCACCCACATCTCGTTCCTCTGACTGTTCCTTCCTCGCAGCTCCCACTGCCACTCAAGCTCAGGCATGCTCGCCGCCTTCCAGTATCCCGTTATGCCTCCGCAGTCTTGCAGCTCCTGGCACCGCTTCTTGGCCGCCTTCAAGCTGGTCATCGTCTGAGTTGCAATGCGGACGCCTCCCGTCAAGTAGAAGGGAAAGTATGGTCCCACCCATGCCATGCCTTTGACCGAGATCTCATTGCCGCACCCCACGGCAGGAGAGGCTGACCCAACCACTTGTGAAACCGCCCCAGCTCGTTGCTCTAGGGCTGCCGGGGGTAAAGAGTACCTGAGATTGAGATTGAGAGCTACGATCAAAGGGTAGAGGAGGAGGGCAAAGAGAACTAGCTTACGGAAGCTACATGTTCTACTGGCTTTATTTCGTTGCATCATGCTTCATGGAGCGACTGTGTGTGGAGCACTAAACTTGAAAACACTGATTGAAGTTCACGGAGTCCGATCACAGTTTCACTTAGATGACCTCAGCCTGACTCGATGCCGCTCGTCGATGCCAGGCCTGAAGTATCGGCGGCGAATGATCTCCCGTGACGGTACGGCTCTGAGTCGATACCGTGACCGTAATACCTTGACCATACCTACCGTCCGGCTGTCCGTCGCCGGACTTCCGCAGTCCGATCACCCGTTGCCAAGTTGACCGGACCGTACTAGACGGCACTGTACTACGGTAGTACGGCCGGGCGGTGTCACCGTGAGGCAGCCGCTGTCACTAGAGAAGGAGGCTCAGAGCTTCTTCCTGCTTCAAGGCAGTGGAGGTCTTGAGGAGCCTGTCAACATCACCGCACCATGCCGAAAGTTTGACCGATGACGATCACCCATGGTCCAGCACGGTCATCCTGAGGTCAAAAGTCGTTGTAGCTGCAATAGCAAGTTTAGCCCGGGTTTTTAACGGCTGCAAGTATGCGGTGTGGCGCTGGAAGCTGCGAGGGGAGATGAGGAGAGGAGAGAGGGACGAAGAGGCGTTGGCATGAGAGGAGAGGAGGACGACGAGAGTCTGCATCCTCCTTCCTGCTGATCTCTCCTGCCCTTCACGCCATGCTGGGAGCAGCCACTCCACGATCGTGACAGCCTTGCAACGATGCCCTCGGACCGACTCGACTATGCCCGTGAGCCGAATGTCTGCTCGCATACCGAGGAGAAGCTCTCATGAATTCTGAACAGTCTCTTCTGTTGTGGGCATGTGCTTCGGCGCCTTCATATCTCTCATCGTCGATGCCGCCCTCTTCGAGGTTTTGTCTTTGTCCGCATCCTCCCTTCACTCCGTCACGCAGGTGGGACAGTCGCCATACTTTGCTATGCTCTTCGGCCTATGCCTGATCGTCATCGGCGGGCTGATCATATGGAGAGTCGCGCCTGAGCCTGGGGAGAGGATGACCCGCTGGCGATTCCTCGTGTTTGTTTTCTCTACTCTCATCCTCTCCTCGGGAATCTGCTGTGAGAATCTCAATTGTTTCTCCCTCCCAAACTCCCACGCTGTCACTTTGTCCACTCTTCCTTCTCCTCCTCCTCTTTCTCTTCCTCCTCCTCCTCCTCCTCGTCGTCGTCATCATCATCATCATCACCACCACCAGCACCACCACCATTACCATCACCATCCCATTGATATATCTACATGCCTCTACTTCTGTGTCCCTCTTCCGTCTCATTCAACATTGCAGGTTTCCTCCTCAACAAGGATTGGTTGGTCGGGCTCAGCCCAGCCATTAAACTTCCAATGTACACGATCCTAGGGACCAGCTTGTGCTTTGCCTTGACATTCTCGATTGTTGATCTTATCAATCAACGCAACCTATGCTGCAACAACGCCATGTGACTGCTCCATGTCAATCTTTCCGCAGCATTTGCTCATGCTTGTTTGCAAAGATACCTTGGTGATGTTGCCGATTTCATCGTGCCTCCTGTCGCTAGTTCGTCGAAGCAAGTGCGTAGATGAAGTGAACAATCACGAGCATTCGTGTCGTCACCCGAGCTCTGCAGATATATGTTGTGATGATCTCGTCTATCATTATGGGCGGCATTTTTGGATTGTCTTTCGGTCTTTTCGATGTCGAAGATGATACAAAGCTGCACATCAGGTGTGTGAACCATATTGTTGATGTCCAGGACGTGAAGCTGCTGCAGATTCGACGAAGATCAAGCATGGAACACATTCTGTATTCTCCTTCATCCCAAGTGCTGTCACTGACTTGCTGTTCTAGTTGGAGGCATCGCGGGCTTCTTTGTTGGTGGAGCATTACAATATCTACGAGATAAGGCAAGAGCTTCGCGCCATTCCATCTTTTGTTTGATACAGGTGCACTTCCATGTCTCACCGGATTGATATTTCAGGCCCTCCAAGACAGCGCTACCCACGTTCGGATTGCGTATGAAGATGACATCTGATCTTATCTGCGATACAAGATGTTTATTCTATCTTAAACAACACTTCTCCTGTACAAACATCCATGGCTCGAAAACCTCCAGCAGGAGTCCCATAGTTGGCTGGTTCGGATCAGTCTAAATCAAGTGATCGATGGTGTGTACGAGCCTCTCGTGTCTTCGCATCTGCTCAGCTTTGAGTTGCTCTTCCTTTCGGAAACGGTTCAGTGCGATCCGCTCGCGGAGCGAAAGTCGTGCATGTTTGGGGGCTTGGCCAAATCTAAGAGATTTCTTATCCTCATCTTGGCTGTAGTTGGCGATCAGTTGCAGTCAGAGAGATGTACAAAGAAACAACCTGGATGCAGTCTTCTCGACCGCTGGGACCGATACCATCTCGGGATTTCTGCGACACTTGTGAGGGAAACCCGAGGCAGGTAGTGCAGCAGCACTGCAAGAGAACAGCACGCGAGCCTAGAGAGGAGCATGCAAGCTTACCCAGACCATGGATCTGCTGACGGCGCACTTGGATTGTAATCGGCTACACTGTACCCAGCCAAGCGGTATGGCGCGTCCAGCACTCGCTGCTGCAACTTCTGCTGCTTCATCTGTGCGCGTACGGGCTTCTTGGTCTGTCGGAGAAGGACCAGAGGGATCAGCTCTGTTGCCGTGCTGGCTGCTGCCGCTGCATCGGATGCGATAGAGGCTTCAGTAGCATCGGCAGCCAAGATCGATCCAGCTTGCGCGCCCTGCAAGAGGGAACACAGGTTCAGGCGAGGCAGATGCGATACAGCTAAACATCGACGATACAAGTTGATGGAAGGATAACAAATCAACTTTGAATGAGAGAAAGAAGATCGCAAGGCAGCATTGAGAGAGGATTCAGATATCATAGAAAATTGCAAGACTTTCAAAAAGAGGAAGACAATGGAGAATATCCCACAATGACATACCTGTACCGCAGCGACATCGGCAGTGTTTGGCCCGCAATCCTCACCCATGCAGGAATCTCCGTCCATCATCTTCACTTTGCTCTCCAGCACGTGCCTCTGCCTTGAAGGCTGCATGACTAGGCACAGCACAAGGAGAGCACAGGCTCCCATGGCCTGCATCACCGCCGCCCTCTCCCTTCCTAGCCTCCCAGACCAAAACAGCATTATTGTCCCTTCGCTGTGCAGCTCGAATCCGAGAAAGATGGATGACTGGAAGTCAACGGCCCCCGGCCCGGCCCCCGGCCCGCCCGGCCGCCCGGCCCGGCCCGGTCCGGCGCCGCTAGGCTAGTATCATCAATGATGCTGAGTCACATAGTAGTACAGTATCATGGCAGCGGCCTGTGATCGGACGGTGCAATCCAATCCGTCAGGGGGCAAGATCAAACGAGAGTCTGCCTCCGACCCGGCGGCCGCAGTGCCGACTCAGTTACCGTACTACCGTACAGTCACAGTCACAGGCAGGCTCGGCCTGGCTGGGACTGCCCGCCGGATTGACTGCCCCGCCGATCGGAGTGTCTGAGTCGCGGGGTGGCCCACTCAGTAGCCCGGATGATCCGAGATGCCAGGATCATCCGATCGTGATCGCGGCGCCGTCACTGCGTTTCGGCCCTACGGGTACCGTGAGACTCGCGCTTGCTGCGGCTACTCGGAATTCATTTCATCTTATGGTGGGACTTGTCACTAAGAACCTTCAAGAGCCGATGCCTCTGCTTTCCTGCCGCATCACAGTCACCGTGAGTCGCTTGTAGCACTGAGAAAGATTGACGGCTGCTTGATCACCTTGCGTGGAGTTGGCGAGGAGTAAGCTCGTCATGCCCAGCTTGTCTTGGATGTCAGGATCTGCTCCGTTTGCTAGCAATACAAGCACGGATTCCACGTGTTCCCCATCGACCTGACGCAAACGAACTTCATTATTGTTTCACACTTTCCTCACTTACAGCAAACATCAATGGGGTTGACCCTGAGTTGGTTTGTTCGTCAACCTTCGCACCTCGCTCTGTTGGAGAACACGTTATTTTCCATCGCAATCCTTCGGACAAGAACACAAGGGAAACGATACATAACATACATAATCAGAAAAACGACTCGTAAAAAACAGAAAGCTCAAAGAAAATAGGAGAACAGGAACATTTCAGGAAAACACGCATGTAGAAAGAAGCATCGCGATTTGCAAGTATACTACAAAACTCTACTAGCCAGGATTGACAGCAGGCCAAATTTGACAACAGATCAAAATTACACCCCCTTTCACTCACCAAGGAGTTCTCTTGCCATGTCTGCATGGCCCTCGGCAGCAGCAAAGTGCAGGGGGGTCCAGCCCTTCTCGTCTCTAACACCATCCATGTCAGCACAAGAACCTCCCGTGGCTGTTAGGACCTCGCATTCACCTCCCCTCCTGCTCGCATCAGAACCCCACAGACGTCAAGGAGACCTGACATGGAAGCATAGTGTCTGGTGACAGCACAGAACGTCAGCCTCTGCCATCGCGTAAGCTGAGCTCACAGCGCAGTCTTTCCTTCCTCGTCCATAGCGTTCACGTCGGCTCCATGTTGGATCAGCAACTCCGCCATCTCTAGTCTCCTTGCTCGGTGAGACTCCTCACACTGCTGCCTGCCCGAGAGCGTCTTGGCAGATTGACAAGGAGAGATGTAGCAAACTGCATGCAATCTGCAGCAGCTGGTGAGAAAGAAGAGGGAGCAGGGAGCAGGGAGCAGGGAGGAGCGACGAGGGACGAGGGACGAGGGAGCAGGGAGCAGGGAGCAGGGAGCAGGGAGCAGGGAGCAGGGAGCAGGGAGCAGGGAGGGAGGTGACGAAGGAGGAGCAAGGACCCCAGAGCCAGAAGAGCAGAGAGGCGGAGAAGGAGGGAGGAGACGATGCGGATTGCTCACGGTGTCTGCGACAAAGCATCTTCGGCATTGACAAGATGGGGGGAAGAGAACAGCAGCTCACGTGCATGCTCGACCTTGCCGTCAGCAGCCACTTGGTGCAGCAGCGAGTCAGATAGAAGGGGCTCTATGCTGCCGGACTGAGGAAGGAACAGGAGGAGCAGGAGGAGCAGGAGCAGGAGGCGGAAGGGGAGGAGGGACAGGAGAGGAGCAGTCATATCTCATGCGCATCTGCATCCATCGCAGCCTCCTCCACCATTGCGCCTCATCCTAATCGGGGGTCTCGTCATTGCTCCCTGCACGGCCCCCGATCCCTTTTCCCCAGACCGCCCGCACCTCCCCGCCTACCCTGCTCCTGCTCCTGCTCCTGCTCCTGCTCCTGCTCCTGCTCCTGCTCCTGCTCCTGCTCCTGCTCCTGCTCCTGCTCCTGCTCCTGCTCCTGCTCCTGCTCCTGCTCCTGCTCCTGCTCTTGCTCCTGCTCCTGCTCCTGCTCCTGCTCCTGCTCCTGCGCCTCTTTCTCGTCATCACTCGGCTCTGAGCAGCATGGCAGACTCTAAGGGGATGGAGCAGCCTAAGTTCTCCCCCTTCGCTTGCCATGCCGACAAGAATCGTAGGGACGGGATAAGGGTGAGGGAGGAGGAAGGGAGGAGGGCGCGCGCTGATCTCACACTCAGCTGCTTCGTGTGAATGGGCGACTTCTCTGTCACTTCTACATGAAGGGAGAATGTCCTCACGGAGAGAAGGTACACTGGCTCCCTCTAGTTCCTCCTCCTCCTGTCTCCTCCTCCTGTCTCCTCCTCCTGTCCCTCCTGTTGTTTCCTCGTCTTGTCTTGTCTTTTCCTTCCTCACCGTCACGGTTGCGAAGTGCCAGATGTTGCATCTCCCTAAGGAAGAGCGACCGGCATGCCCGAACTTCGTAGCATGCGGAGTGTGCAAGTTCGGGTCGCAATGGTGCGAAAAGTCGGGCCATGGCGAGGAGCTGACCAGCCATGGCAGTTGGTACCCCCACTCAGCTGCTGCTCGCAAGAGAGACATGAAGGTCAACCTCGCTGTCCAGGTTGATGAGGAGGAGAAGAGAGAGAAGGAGCAGGGCAGGAGGAAGAGGGGCAGATGAAGGAAAGGAGGTGGGGCAAGGGGAGAGCAGGAGGGGAGAATGAGGAAGGGAGTAATGAGGATGGGAAGAAAAGGAGGAGGCATGAATGTGGAACATGTCTTCAGGTCCAGGGAACCCACTATCAGCGCATGCTGGACTTTTTCAACGAGCTAGAAACGTGCGATGTCGTGGAGACAGGACAGGTAGGGAGGAGGTTGCGGTGCGAGAAGTGACGGGCAGAAAGCTGGCGGCAGGCAAGAAGACGGTGAAAGTGATTCTGCTGCAAGTAGACGAAGATCCGATAGCGTTCGCTCATCAGCATTTCATACGGTGAGACAGGAGAGGGTCTATCGGGCGTGTGACTGCCTGCTGGGAAGGAGCGAAAGGATGAGGTCGGCAGTAGCTCGTGTCTATCATGTCTACAAGCAGTCGCAAGACCTCCATCAAGTCCTTCAGTCTGGTGGAGACCAACACCTATGAACCACCCATCTTTCTCCTCATCCACCACCACCTTCTCCTCCTCCCTGCCCTCTCCTCCTCCTCCTCCTCCTCCTCCTCCTCCTCCTCCTCCTCCTCCTCCTCCTCCTCCTCCTCCTCTCCCTCCTCACGTTCATGACAGTTCTGTCTGAGTTGACCTCGGTTGATGAGTGTGTCTTTCGACTTCAGGTGAATCCTCAAACTTCTTCCCACCCTCACTGACTGAATATTTCCCTCCCTCCCTCCCTCCCTACCCCGCCAAGGTTTCCA